GGTCTCAAGTTCGAATCCTCATAATATCTTAGTTGTTGTGTGTGCGAGAAACCTCCCTCCCCTATAGTTTAGACTATTGCTTATAATTTTTTTTTAATTTTTAAAAACAATGTAGCAATTGATAATGAAACTTTTGGTTACACTTTCTATTGGTTGATTTCATTTCCCAAAAAACTAAAAGTATTTTTTTTGACAACATTATCTACCCTCTTTCCTCATCCAATTAAGTTTGGTTTGATGATGATCTTTCTAGAGATCTTACCTCTCTCATTCTCTATCTTTTGTGAAAACAAGTAAACAACTAAAACGATAAGACACGAATGATAACAAATGTATTGAACAAGTATGAAGTTTTAATTAATATCCTATATTAGAATGCATATCCTTCATGCATTAGTATGAGTGAGTAATTTTCACTCCTTTTATGTGTTTGCATTGTTGTGATTGTTATTTATCTATTTTTTGCTTCGATATTTGGAAGGATGGATATGAAGTTGATGTCAATTGTTTAGGGAAAATTGTATTTCAATATTATGACATCACAATGTGTCATGGTAAACTGTGAATATATGAAGGTATGACAATTGTTACATACTATTTCTAAATATCTTATATACATCTTACTTTTTTGTTCATGTTACTTACATGTATTTCTTAAATTCGTTTTTAGTATCCCATCAAACGATTAGAGTATGATTTAATCAAGTGTGAAAATACCTTTAATGGATTACTGTATTTTAAAGGCAGAATGAAACGATGAGTGACCTTTTTACAAAACATAAAAAATAAAAAAAAATTTAAACCCATATTTAAGATGACTTTAACAATTGGCGAATTGGAAGGTATTAAGTACTAACATACTATTAAAATATAATTTCATATTGAAAGCATTTGATTACAGAGTCTATACTCATACAGATGGAGATGAGTTGTTGACATTCCTTAGAAATATGTATGCATTATGTTGTTGGTTGGAATGATAAGGTTATTGATCACTTTGTCAGATATGACCTTGGTCCTGATTTTCTCAACATACTTCATGACAATATGGTGTAGTGTTTTTGAGACATGATTATGATAGATTTTGTTGAAGTTGAAGTTGAAACATGCTTATAATGGTTTTGTATTGTTGAATCTTGATACATGCTTATGATGAATTTTGTATTGTTGAAACTTGAGGTGTTTTGTATTGTGTTACAATTTTTTGAACCTTTGATCATTTGTACCATAGAAAAGTCATTTAGTTTATCGTAACGTGCACAAAACTAGCTACTCCTAAAAGGTTCCTTAGGGTTGGGTTTCTTTTACACTTTGGATCTTCATTTGAGCTCACGTTGGTATTGTAATATAAAGCAAGCAACCAATAAATGTTAATTTTTCAATATGTTGTATGAAAGTTTTGGTGGGTTTGGTGTTGAAACTATTGATTTTGAGCAATTTGTACTAGTCACACAACCTTTTTTTTTTATTAAGTTCTCGCTCTAGGTTAGAATATGCATATGTTCTAAAATCCGCCAAAGAAACGAAGGATGTTGGTAGCCAAGATGGCAGAGATGAGTTCGTTTACTTTTACTTAACAATGAAAAGTTATATGCTTTTCATAATTGGATATTAATTAAACAGTTAAGAACTTTTCTCGGTATTAGTTAGGGGCTTTGAGTAATGACATACTGTCATAATATAATGTCATACTGAAAGCATTTGATTATAGAGTCTATACTCACACATATGCAACATTGTTGAAACGTAAGACATGATTATGATGGATTTTGTGTGGTTAAAGCTTTAAACATGCTTATGATGAATTTTGTATTGTTGAAGCTTGAAACATGCTTATGATGGTTTTTGTATTGTTGAAGCTTGAGACATGCTTATGATGAATTTTGTATTATTGAAACTTGAGATATTCTTATGATGGATTTTGTATATAAATGATTTGAGTACAATTTAATTGAGTGTGAAATTACTTTTAATGGATGGTTGTATTTCAAAAGGGGTACAAATGATAAAAAAAAAAAAAAAAAAAAAAAAAAAAACATATGCAACTCATATGGGAGAAGACTTTGACAATTGGTGAGGTGGAGGGCTCATAGTGATGTTGGTTTTGCATGCAATGTCCTATCTTGAGGTGTTATTTATTGTGTTACGATTCTTGTTAAGAAAAATTAGGTATTAGACATAATTAACTTTACTATTTAGTATGTGAGATATTGGGTATTTTGGTTTTGGTTTTAATATCTAGGAAAAAATTGCTATTTTAGATTAGGCCAAAAGGAGGCCCAAATTCATTGGGCCAGCTTAAAATTAAAAACTGATAAGACAATTACCCTTCTTCTTAAAAACCTTGGCCCATCTGTAGTTGTTGGTGGCAGTTGTTGCTGATCGCTGTACGATCGTTTGAGATTTTTGAGAATAGTGTGGAAATGTTGAAGCAGTTTATGTAGTTGAAGATGAAAGGTCATGTGAAAGGGTTTAGATTCAATTTCAGTAGTGTCGTTTTTGGTTCTATTTTGGGTCTTGTTATGTCGTTTTGACATGTGTAGGTTTTGGGTGAAAACTAAATATCTATATTTGACAATAATAGCATAATGGCACATGTAGTAATTTTAGTGTTCTACGATTTTATTTTGGTAAAAGTAGGTGTTACTTTATTGTCTTTGGTCTTATATTAATTAGGTAAAATTGTATCTCTATCTTCCAAATTAGTAAACTATTTTGTGTGTGAAAACTAAAGCTCCCTTTTTTTTAACTCTTGATCATTTGTACCATCAAAAAATCGTTTAGTTCATCGCAACATGCACAAAACTAGCTACTCTTAAACAGTTCCTCGAGGTTGAGTTTTTTTTTGCAATATGGATCATCGTTTGAGCTCATGGTGGTGCCATAGTATAAAGTAAGCAACCAATAAATGTTGGTTTTTCAATACGTTGTACGAAGTTTTTGATAGATTTGATGTTGAAACTATTGATTATGAGCAGTTTTTATTGGTCACACATAATTTTTTATTAAGTTCTCGCTCTAGATTCAATATGTATATGTTTTAGAATCCACCCAAGAAAAGAAGGATGTTGGTAGCCAAGATGGTCGAGATGAGTTTGCTTTCTTCTTACTTAACAATGAAAAGTTATACGCTTTTAATAATTGGATATTGATTAAGCAGTTGAGAACTATTCTCGTTATTAGTTAGGGGGTTTGAGTAATGACATATTATCGCAACATAATGTCATAGTGAAAACATTTGATTACATAGTCTATACTTGCAGATATGCAGAAAAATTGTTGACATTCCTTAGAAATATGTACGTACATTATGTCGTTGGTTAGAATGACAAGGATATTGATCAATTTGTCAGATATGACATTGGTACCGGTTTTCTCAGGATGCTTCATGGCAACATTTTGTAGTGTTCTTGAAACACGAGACATGATTATGACGGATTTTGTATTGTTAAAGCTTGAAACATGCTTATGGTGGTTTTGTATTGTTGATACTTGAGACATACTTATGATGAATTTTGTATTATTGAAACTTAAGACATTCTTATGATAGATTTTGTACAAAAACAATTTGAGTACTATTTAATTGAGTGTGAAAATACTTTTAATGGATGGTTGTATTTCAAAGTGGGTACAAATGACGGGTGAACTTTTTTTAAAATATAAATAAATAAATAAAACATATGCAAACTCATATGGGAGCAGACTTTGACAATTGGTGAGGTGGATGGTTTATAGAGATGTTACTTTTGCACGTATTCACGACGTGTTAATTATGTGTTACAATTTTTTTAACCTTTGATCATTTGTACCATCAAAAACCCTCATTTGTGCCAAGACAGGGCATCTAAGAATGACATTATAGAACGTGGGACAATCAACAATGAGGAAATGAGTTGTGACCGTTGCTCGCTGGGGTGATTGCACATTTAGTTTTTTTATTTTTTGTTCACAGATACTCTTGTTCCCAGAGTGTAAGCTCTGGAAATTTCTAAACAGACACATTTTTCATCTTCTTTGGACAGGACAGACAAAAAATTCCCAGTGAAAAGGCCTGATAATGGAGGCACATAAGCTAGCAGAACTATTAGGCTTCATGCTAACCATTTTAATCTCTCGTACAATCCTGAGAGTATTATAAGCCACTATGATGTTGATGTCAAGCCAGAGAACCCTGCTAAGAATGTCATTCAACATTTTCACCGATGCTTTCAATGAACACCAAGTCCCTACTCACTTGCTCGACCGAAGCATCGCGCCTTTTGTGTGCTTTTCTAGTGATGTCGTTTAGCCCATTAGAAGCATCAACCCCCTCATCTCTATTGCTTCAGCACCTCCGGGAGCAACAGTGACTACTCCCTTCCTCATTGTTGATTGTCCCACAACCTATAATGTAATTCTTGGACGCCCTATCTTTGCACAAATGAGGATTTTCTCATATATTCTTTGAGCTAGTTGAAAGCGTTGTCGCATTCGGCTATCCAGGTGATACTTCGTTTGTGGCCTTTAAGCGCCTTGAAGAAGGGGGCGCAACGATTAATAGCCTTGGAGATAAACTTGATGAGGGCCGCAACGCGTTCGGTAAGGCTTCAAATGTCCTTGACCGCCTTCGGTAAGTTCATGTCCAAGATCACTTGAAAACCCTTATTTGTGCCAAGACAGGGCATCTAAGAATGACATTATAGAACGTGGGACAATCAACAATGAGGAAAGGAGTAGTGAGCGTTGCTCGCTGGGGTGATCGCACATTTAGTTTTTTTGTTTTTTGTTCACAGATACTCTTGTTCCCAGAGTGTAAGCTCTGGAAATTTCTAAACAGACACCTTCTTCATCTTCTTTGGACAGGACAGAAAAAAAATTCCCAGTGAAAAGGCCTGATAATGGAGGCACATAAGCTATCAGAACTATTAGGCTTCATGCTAACCATTTTAATCTCTCATACAATCCTGAGAGTATTATAAGCCACTATGATGTTGATGTCAAGCTAGAGAACCCTGCTAAGAATGTCATTCGACATTTTCACCGATGCTTTCAATGAACTCCAAGTCCCTACTCACTTGCTCGACCGAAGCATCACGCGTCTTGTGTGCTTTTCTAGTGATGTGGTTTAGCCCATTAGAAGCATCCACCTCCCCATCTCTATTGCTTCAGCACCTCAGGGAGCAATAGTGACTACTCCCTTCCTCACTGTTGATTGTCCCACAGCCTATAATGTAATTCTTGGACGCCCTATCTTTGCACAAATGAGGGTTTTCCCATATATTCTTTGAGCTAGTTGAAAGTGTTGTCCCATTCGGCTATCCAGGTGATACTTCGTTTGTGGCCTTTAAGCGCCTTGAAGAAAAGGGGGCAACGATCAATAGCCTTGGACATAAACTTGGAGACGGCCGCAACTCGTTCGGTAAGGCTTCAAATGTCCTTGACCGCCTTCGGTACCTTCATGTCCAAGATCACCTGAAAACCCTCATTTGTGCCAAGACAGGGCATCTAAGAATGACATTATAGAACGTGGGACAATCAACAATGAGGAAAGGAGTTGTGACCGTTGCTCGCTAGGGTGATCGCACATTTAGTTTTTTTATTTTTTGTTCACAAATACTCTTGTTCCCAAAGTGTAAGCTCTGGAAATTTCTAAACAGACACCTCCTTCATCTTCTTTGGACAAGACAGAAAAAAAATTCCCAGTGAAAAGGCCTGATAATGGAGGCACATAAGCTATCAGAACTATTAGGCTTCATGCTAACCATTTTAATCTCTCGTACAATCCTGAGAGTATTATAAGCGACTATGATGTTGATGTCAAGCCAGAGAACCCTGCTAAGAATGTCATTCGACATTTTCACCGATGCTTTCAATGAACTCCAAGTCCCTACTCACTTGCTCGACCGAAGCATCACGCCTCTTGTGTGCTTTTCTAGTGATGTCGTTTAGCCCATTAGAAGCATCAACCTCCCCATCTCTATTGCTTCAGCACCCCCGGGAGCAACAGTGACTACTCCCTTCCTCATTGTTGATTGTCCCACAACCTATAATGTAATTCTTGGACGCCCTATCTTTGTACAAATGAAGGTTTTCTCATATATTCTTTGAGCTAGTTGAAAGCGTTGTCGCATTCAGCTATCCAGGTGATACTTCGTTTGTGGCCTTTAAGCGCCTTGAAGAAGGGGGCGCAACGATTAATAGCCTTGGAGATAAACTTGATGAGGGCCGCAACGCGTTCGGTAAGGCTTCAAATGTCCTTGACCGCCTTCGGTAAGTTCATGTCCAAGATCACCTGAAAACCCTCATTTGTGCCAAGATAGGGCATCTAAGAATGACATTATAGAACGTGGGACAATCAACAATGAGGAAAGGAGTTGTGACCGTTGCTCGCTGGGGTGATCGCACATTTAGTTTTTTTATTTTTTGTTCACAGATACTCTTGTTCCCAGAGTGTAAGCTCTGGAAATTTCTAAACAGACACCTTCTTCATCTTCTTTGGACAGGACAGAAAAAAAATTCCCAGTGAAAAGGCCTGATAATGGAGGCACATAAGCTATCAGAACTATTAGGCTTCATGTTATCCATTTTAATCTCTCCTACAATCCTGAGAGTATTATAAGCCAATATGATGTTGATGTCAAGCCAGAGAACCCTGCTAAGAATTTCATTCGACATTTTCACCGATGCTTTCAATGAACTCCAAGTCCCTACTCACTTGCTCGACCAAAGCATCACGCCTCTTGTGTGCTTTTCTAGTGATGTCGTTTAGCCCGTTAGAAGCATCAACCTCCTCATCTCTATTGCTTCAGCACCTCCGGGAGCAACAGTGACTACTCCCTTCCTCATTGTTGATTGTCCCATAACCTATAATGTAATTTTTAGACGCCCGATCTTTTCACAAATGAGGGTTTTCTCATATATTCTTTGAGCTAGTTGAAAGCGTTGTCGCATTCGGCTATCCAGGTGATACTTCGTTTGTGGCCTTTAAGCGCCTTGAAGAAAAGGGGGCAACGATCAATAGCCTTGGACATAAACTTGGAGAGGGCCGCAACTCGTTCGGTAAGGCTTCAAATGTCCTTGACCGCCTTCGGTACCTTCATGTCCAAGATCACCTGAAAACCCTCATTTGTGCCAAGACAGGGCATCTAAGAATGACATTATAGAACGTGGGACAATCAATAATGAGGAAAGGAGTAGTGACCGTTACTCGCTGGGGTGATCACACATTTAGTTTTTTATGTTTTGTTCACAGATACTCTTGTTCCCAGAGTGTAAGCTCTGGAAATTTCTAAACAGACACCTTCTTCATCTTCTTTGGACAGGACAGACAAAAAATTCCCAGTGAAAAGGCTTGATAATGGAGGCACATAAGCTATCAGAATTATTAGGCTTCATGCTAACCATTTTAATCTCTCATACAATCCTGAGAGTATTATAAGCCACTATGATGTTGATGTCAAGCTAGAGAACCCTGCGAAGAATGTCATTCGACATTTTCACCGATGCTTTCAATGAACTCCAAGTCCCTACTCACTTGCTCGACCGAAGCATCACGCCTTTTGTGTGCTTTTCTAGTAATGTCGTTTAGTTCATTAGAAGCATCCACCTCCTCATGTCTATTGCTTCAACACCTCCGGGAGCAACAATGACTACTCCCTTACTCATTGTTGATTGTCCCACAACCTATAATGTAATTCTTGGATGCCCTATCTTTGCACAAATGAGGGTTTTCTCGTATATTCTTTGAGCTAGTTGAAAGCGTTGTCGCATTCGGCTATCCAGGTGATACTTCGTTTGTGGCCTTTAAGCGCCTTGAAGAAGGGGGCGCAACGATTAAAAGCCTTGGAGATAAACTTGGTGAGGGCCACAACGCGTTCGGTAAGGCTTCAAATGTCTTTGACCGCCTTCGGTAAGTTCATGTCCAAGATCACCTGAAAACCCTCATTTGTGCCAAGACAAGGCATCTAAGAATGACATTATAGAACGTGGGACAATCAACAATGAGGTAAGGAGTAGTGACCGTTTCTCGCTGGGGTGCTGAACCAATAGAGATGTGAAGGTGAATGCTTCCAATAGGTTGAACAACATCACTAGAAAAGCTCATAAGATGTGTGATGCTTTGGTCGGGCAAGTGAGTAGGGACTTGGAGTTCGTTAAAAGTGTCGACGAACATGACACTGATCGAACTGCCTATGTCGACCAGGATGCGCCCTACGTAGAAATAGAAATGTCATCCTGAATGATCAATGAGTCGTCATGGGTGAGGATGACACCACGCTCCTCCTAGTTGAAGGTAATCGGGGCCCAGCCTGACTTAGGGATCTTCGGCAGGCGCTCGTGCTGAGTGCTAAAAACCTGGTGTGCGTAAGAAGAGCAGACATAGTGCTTGATGGAGTTATTGGAGGTCCCGGCCAATGTAGGACCACCACTGATGATGGAAATCATGTTGATCTGCCGTTGGTGAGGGTTCGGGGGAGGAAGGAGGTTGTGCACATACTTGTCTAGTTTCTCCTCACGGATGAGTTCCTCAATGATGTTGCGTAGGGTGATGCAGGATTCTATATCATGGCTAGTAAACTGGTGAAAACAACATAAGACGCTTGTGTTGTGCTTGTTGATCAATCTCCGCGGGAAGGGGGAGAGGTTTGGGTATAATAGGTGCCTCATGAACCAGGACGTTTTCGTAAGAGATGTTGAGGGTGGTGAATACTTTGAACTTGGGCTTGGGCTCGAAGAGGAGCGGGGTGCAACCATTTGTCCCTGAAGGGTTGTTACCGCTAGACTCATGGTGGGTACCTTGTCGACCGCGCTTCCCATTGCTGAAGGTGTGAAGGTAGCAATCCTTCCTCTTGGGGTGATGGGTACTATGATTATCAGGAGTTGAAGCGGAGTAGGGAGGGTTAACTGGGGTGGGTGCCGGAGCAGATGGGGGATCGCCAAAAGTACTCCGTGACGGGTTAGCTAGGCCACGTTTGGAGTTAAAGTATTCGGCCTTCACATGGATTGTTGTCAGCTTCATGAGTTCCGCATAAGTGTTCCATGGGTTATTATGGACGAGATAGCGAAAGTGGGATTCGCGAAGACCACTTTTGAAAGCTCCATAAGCAGCCCGATCATTTGTCTCTGGGCATTGGGAATACTCGTGGCTGTAGCAGGCGACATACTCCCGAAGGGGTTTGTTTTCACCCTGCCAAAGCATATACAAATCGTCTACGCAGTATAAGTGATCAGTCTAGATCACGAAAGGTCAAGGAAGGTTTGTTTCAAGCTATCGAAGGAGTTGATAGTGCAGGGGTTCATCCGATAAAACCAGTTCATAGCAGCGCCACTGAGGGTAAAAGGGAAAAAGAGACACATGCCTTCGTCACTGAGGCCCTTACATCCGAGGGCGGACTGAAAAGAGTGGATATGGGTTAGGGGATCCTCCTTGCCCGTGTAGAAGGCAATGCGGAGCGGCTGAATGTCCTTTTCTTGACGATAGTTGAGGATACGTTCAGTGAGTGGCTAGGGCGTGGCTTCATCCAGAAGGCCTGATGGCTGCTGCGCTGCTCACTCTTAAGACGTCGGACCTTCTCAAAGAGAAGCCTCGTGGCCGGGTTAACATGAGAGAGAACACCAAGTGTTGAAGGCTTGTGGTTTAGGTGGGTAGGAGTTGGGTAAGCTTCCCAATCCTCAAATGCTTTGGTATGGTATGGCCCCCAGTCCTCCGGACGATAAGGTTCCTAGTCATCCAAGTCCCTCACTGTAACAACCCGATCCTAAATTAATAGTTAATTATTAATTTATTCCATTAAAAGACCATTATACCCCTAGAATATTTTAGTGGTTTAAAAGTTGACTTTTTGACCGGGAAGGAATTTGGGGATTTCAGTTATACCGTTGCGTAGAGCGCAGCGAGATGAGTCCGCAGACAGGTAGTAGGCTCAAATCTGAGTTGTATTGAGGGAGATGCGATCAAAATAGATTCTTCCTCTGAAGCTCATGTCAAGGCATGTGGTTCCAAGCCCAAAACCATCAACTTTTAGTCGCTAATGAATGAACATGAGGATGCCTCTGGACCCCTACTTCCTCGCTAACTCTCTCTCTCTCTCTCTCTCTCTCTCTCTCTCTCTCTCTCTCTCTCTCTCTCTCTCTCTCTCTCTCTCTCTAATATTAAATAGAAGTTCAGACATTTTACATGAGAAATTATGTCACATGCACTGTTTTAGTTAAAACATAAAATATAATATTTGTTTTTCTTGAATCATGTCTCGCTTGTAATTCTTGAGTTGTAGTTTAAGTGGCTTTAAAACTTGAAATTCTTTGGGAATGTGGAACAGTCGATCCCATCATATTATTGTACTTTTCATTTTAAGAGTATATTTATTAGTAATCACAAATACTAACTCATGAATAAAACTTGAAAAAAAAAACAACAAATAAATTCTCTCGTTCGGAGTTGGAGAAATTATAAAATACTACGGTAGTATGGTCACTTGTTATATGTACACGTGTTATAATATATGTGGTCTCTTTTAGGAAATAGTATCAATAAATATCCTCTTATATTATAAGAACGTCTCCAATAGTAGTTGCAAATTAAAGTTTGTTGACCTATGTGGTAATTTGAAAAAATATATTTTCTACTTGAATATTTTTTGCTCCAACAAACAATTCAATTAATGAAATAACATGGAAAAGAATGAAAAATATATGTATTTATTATCTGAAAAGAAAAAATACATGTTTTTAACACTTTCAAGGTATGTTTTGTTTTTCCAAAGTAAAATTAAATGTTTTGAAGAGTCAAAATCAACTTACCAATCTTGAAGAGAGAAAAAAAGTTTGTAGCTTTGATGATTGAGTTTGACAATGTCGTTGGAGAGATTTTTTATGATGTGGCTCACTTATTTGAGCATTCCAAAGTGATTTAAGAGGCCATTGGACACATATACACGATGTATTATGTGACCGTACTATAATACTACCATATTAGTATTTCAAATCCCAACAACCCAAAATCTAGTTCTTGACTTATGTGGTGGGTTTCTTAAATTGAACTTTATCTTTGCTATAGTGAGCAAATTTTTTAGTTTTTTATTTTATTTTTCTTTTTGTGCAGCCATGGACCTCACTGCAAACCATTCTCTCAGTTTGGTGATCACACCATTGCCTTTGCGGCTGCAGGGTGGGGTTTTCGAACTCGTTTTTCTTCAAACTAAAAAGGAAACTTATTTCACTTACAATTACATTGCATGCAATGGATTATCCACTTACCACAAAACTGGATGTTCAGTTTAAGGCCCCAATGGATACACCTCAAATCTGCTTCAATAATGCATGTATCTTTGGGGTTCTCAATTTTTTTAATGTCCAGATCCCAGCCCTATTTCTGGGTCAAGAGACAGCCTGTTTGTTGTGGAAACTCATAGAGATTTGGTGTTCTTTTGGTTCCGCTTGGCCCAAAGCTATAACCCCACAATCAAAATGTACGGGGGTGTTTTAGAAAAATAAAGAAAGCATGAGAAAATGTGTGATAGGAAGAAAAAGCAACATATCCCATTAAATTTGCTCTCATAGATAGGACCATAGGCCATGGTTATTTTGTCACATCATTAGAAAAGGAAAGAAATGTGATCCAATAATGCATGGTTGGCAACTTGATCTTGGGTCCTCCCCATTTTTTAAAAAAAAAAAAAAAAAAAAAAAAAAAAAAAAAAAAAAAAAAAAAAAAAAAAAAAAAAAAAAAAAAAAAAAAAAAAAAAAAAAAAAAAAAAAAAAAAAAAAAAAAAAAAAAAAAAAAAAAAAAAAAAAAAAAAAAAAAAAAAAAAAAAAAAAAAAAAAAAAAAAAAAAAAAAAAAAAAAAAAAAAAAAAAAAAAAAAAAAAAAAAAAAAAAAAAAAAAAAAAAAAAAAAAAAAAAAAAAAAAAAAAAAAAAAAAAAAAAAAAAAAAAAAAAAAAAAAAAAAAAAAAAAAAAAAAAAAAAAAAAAAAAAAAAAAAAAAAAAAAAAAAAAAAAAAAAAAAAAAAAAAAAAAAAAAAAAAAAAAAAAAAAAAAAAAAAAAAAAAAAAAAAAATTCTGGGAACCACCTTGACAAACTGGCTAAAGGGGTTGGAGAGTAAACCAATTAAGCACGTTCCGCAGTGGCTTCATCGTTCTGATGGTCTACGTCACTCAAGACCCCTTGGAAGTGGGAAGTCGAAGAGATGCAGAGGAGATGGCTCAAGAAAATGTTGGTTTTTTGAGCAGGAGATTCTTCCTCTGAAAGCTCAATGTCAAGGCATGTGGTCCAAAGCCCAACCATACTTTTGCTCTAAAGGGTGCAGATTAGTTAGTTTTTGTTTACGTATGAAAGTCAATTGTATTTTATGAAAGCCTTTTTGAATGGTGTAAAATGTAATACATTATTCTATGATTTTTTTGTACTAATATAGAGCAAATAATACCAACATGCCGTGTGGATCTCTATTTCCTTTCAGTTTGGTTTGAGTTCATGATGTACATTTCTGACTATATTGGCAAGTTCAAAAAGCGTTGTGCACACATGAACTGGCAATTTGGTCTCCTCTCTCTCTCTCTCTCTCTCTCTCTCTCTCTCTCTCTGTTGAAGTAGGGCTACATTTCTGCAGGTAACTCTCTCACTTCCAAGTCCTCTTTCACTGTTGTATGCTGTTAGGCTTTAATCTCTGTATCTTCTTCGCAATTGTTTAGTTCTCCGTTTAATAATTTGGTACACTGGAATTCTCATTTTTATTGGGTCTTATATCTGTTACTTTCACTGATCCAGAGAATAGCTGTTTGAACAGATGTGAAAGAAATGTGACTTCCAACATTTTAACAGTTTGAAGTTTTCTATTATTGCTTAAGTTTGTCATAAGACTATGGCATAGCATTCATCCAAACAATGAAAAAATTGAAACGGGAAACAAAAAACATCTAAACAATTGTGTCCACTCAGACCAAAAAATAATAATAATAAAATTTTTTGTCCACATAAAATATAACTCTGAGTTCATTCATTTGTTGTGGTGGAAATTCCTGTAATGGAATGGATTTTAAATTGGAGTTATGGACAAATGCCAGAACTATGTATAACTTTTTTTTCTCAAATCCCCTGCTCTTAACAATTAGGTTGCGCTTCTTCCCTCATTAGAACGAAGGTTTTAGTTTCACTCAATTGCAGGGTGAGGTTTCATGCATCACATCATCTACAATTTAGGCTCATCACCTTGATTATGTTGCAAATGGAGCTGCTGCAACCACATGATTTAAACATTTTTGTGCTATGTTTATGTAGAAGTAGTTTGCAGGCATAATTTATTGTTCCATGATCTGTTTCTTCTTTGTATACTAGTTCTTTTATTATAGAGTCACTACTACAGGGGACTAATTCTAGGGCATTGTCCAAAAGGGTGTAGAGATACTGAGAAAATTGGGAAAGAGTGAATTGGTTGAATGGTCCTCTGCATAAGTTGTTTGCACTGCTATCAGTCAGATGCAGGAATCTCTCTACTAGACACACACTTGCACACATATGTTGATGCTTCTGATAGTTTATTAGGCTCCATATTTCATTAGTTTATGATGAGAACCAGAATTGTTGCAGAGCGATAGAATTGCACCACGGAGTATTTGTTGGTGTGACTTGATTAGGACTCGGAATACACATACTATACTTAGGAAAAGAAAAAGAAGTTATTCCAAACCATTCATCAATTACCCTGTTGTTGTGTGCAATCCAATAACCAGTGAGTTTATACACCTTCCTGAAGTTTTTAAACTTTGAGTATCTCTAGTGAAGAGTTGTTTCATAAATATGCATCAACTTGAATTTTTTTATACATGAATTTATGTAGGATACATGTTCTTTTTCATGTTAATGATATTTATGCAGTAGTGAAGCAATTGAAAGTGCCTTGCTATTGTGGTTTCAGAACCAAGTATGGCAGAGTTTCAGGTTGGATGGTCATTGTTGATATCTTTCATTCAAGTTGCAATTAGGGAAAGGGTAATTCATTGGGAGGGATTACTTCTCTGCATCTTCCGATGCAGAAACACTGTAGTTGACACTTCAATTCCCATCCTAAGCCTTCTTGCTTGGTAGAACTGTATAAATGATGGGGACATTTTATTAAAATCTCTCATATATAATGATGGTGGAAAATTGAAAAGGGAAGGTTTCATACATCACATCCACTACAATTTAGGCTCATTCCCTTGATTATGTGGTCAATGGAGCTGCTCCAACCACATGATTTTGAAATAAAGAGTCAACTACTATACTTAGTTTCCACCAATGTGTATAGTTTGAGACTTTAAGCAACTAAATTTTTCATTTTTGGTAATTTTTCTAATGGTGATGTCATTAAAATGGTGTTATACACATACGTACGTATTTTTCAACAATAATTTCATTTTTCACACACAAGTAAAACGTACAATACACGTACGTGCGGATTTTGCATGTTGAATACACGTGTTTTTTTTATACAAAATTGTCAACAATACACACAAAATTCACGTATTACACACACAATTTTACATATTATTGAATAAAAATAATATATATTGATCATTCATATGCTTGGTAGTAAGGTAAGTTAGCCTAAGAAAAAAGAAGAAACAAGTTAGAATAGTATAATACCCACTCGCAAAAAGCACATTAAGATATATCCAGATGCTAATTAATACTACAAGTAGTCCAGACAGAACGATGGGATAAAAAAAGAGCAGCTGGTGATTAAACTCTAAACTCTCTGCTACTGGATACATTAGCAGCAGCAGTGAAATAGTTAAAAATAGTAAAACCCAGTTCTTTTAACTCTTAGTCATTCTCATCTAATGTCACAAATCCAACTTCAGGAGCATGAAGCGTGTGATTGCCAAATTCCAAATCAACTTCAGAACTTCAGAGCTTGCCCAAAGTGAGGCCTCTCTTCAAACAGAGGCCAAAGGATTTTCCAGACGTGCGCTTGGTCCCAATCTTGGTCCTGGGCTTGATCCCACGCTTGATCCCGAGCATGCAGTGTCCTTTCCGTTTGCATCTCTTTTCCAGTGGTCCCTGTGAAACCCAACCACATGTTTTCAGAAATCATAACTCAAAACACTTGTACAATTTGATTTATGGCATTAATAAATAAAAATATTTCATATACTTACATGTATTGGTTTCACCTTAGTTTCTTCTCCTTTGGGTTCGTTATCCTCGCAATCTCTAAGTCATAAGAAAATAAAAAATCATACAAATAAGTATATTAAATTGACAGGGGCAAGAAGAGTTAAAGACAAACAAGAAGGAAAGTAACTAACGGAGTGAAGCTGAAACCGATTAAGAATTTGTGCGCGCCATTTAGGTCAACATCATAAACAGTTGAATGCAAGGTGTTGATAGAGCTTTTTCCTCCTTCACAGACAATTTGGAACGTGGTGATCCAAATGGGTTGACGACCACGACAATTGTAGTCAGTGCCACTCTGGACAAGACAAAAATCCAAGTTCCCTAGATGAACCATATACTCTGAGCACTGTTCAAAATATCCGTTGTACATGGATCAAAGGAGAACTTTGCAACCATCCCATAATGGGTGGATAATAAACAATAGATGGTATTGCCTACAACCACAGCCCTCCCGCGGAAAGAAAAAGACCCCTTAGCTAAGACAGGATACCATTTCTTTTCCTTCACATTAAAAGCAATGAAACTTTTGCTGGCACCCAATGAGAGCAAAATATTATTTCCGTAAACAGCATAACCAGCCATCCCTCCTCTGCACTGATGGAGTGCAAAGGGAACAGGTGGCAGGGGCTCCCAACAGTCATTGCAGGGATCATACCGCTCAAAGGCTACCCTTGGATTATTTAGGGACCAAGAATCTGGAATTCCAAGATGATAAAGCTTGTTATACGCAGACATCAAAGTTGACCTTTGGTTAAATGATTTGGGGTGCGTAAATGTATAGAATGACTTAGTCTCTGTCGAAAATACGTCCCTTCAAGTCCGGTTTCGTGGGGGCGGTGATGGTGGACCTAAGGCTGTGCCTAAGGACATCGCGAGCAGTTACCAACATATATAACTTGGACAATCCATTGAACCTCAGAGCCACCAAATGACAACTGTACGGCTGAACCATATCGCTCTCACCAAAGATCTTGTTTACAGGATTGAGCAATGGGGGTCGATCTTCTTCACCCACGAATGCTCCGCCTGGTCTTCCCCCTATAATTGCTCCTGATCCTTGCTCGATTTTTACTTCATATAACACACCTTCATATAGTCTTCCAAAATGTTGTGCCACTATGAACACAGATTTATAGGCCTTCTCACACTCCCCTTCCATGTGCAAGCTGGACAACAGAGGTAGGTACAATATTTTATCTATCTGTTTAAGTTTTGAAAATAGAGGAGATTGAGTTTAAACACCAACCTTGGATAGTAGGATGGCTGCAATCCACTCGAATTGGTCCCTTTCGTATTCTTGTTGGTGCTGCAGTGCCGTCCGCCATTAGCATCATCCTCGTGATCACGGATAGTTTGAGAGTTGCGCTTATAGGAGAGCTCAGAAAGCTTGTCCAAAATGTTTTGCTGACCAGAAACAAGAGAGCGGACTTGAATCTCAAGCTCTTTCAATCTTTGATCCATGTCCAGGTCCTGATACCAAATGATATTGGCTGGATAGAAAAACGTACCAAAACAAGAATAGTGAAGATGAGTTTATGGAGGAATACATAACAATGAGAAGAACAAAAACAAAATGAAAACCTAAACAAAATGAAAATTATTGATAGAAACAAATATCATAACCAGAACCGCACAAACCTATATACTTTCGAAATTCTGTAGCCAAAATCAAACCCTAAACAGTTTCTTGGCAAAAAAGAAAGCAATTGAATCTCTAAAGAACTTGCACATAAATTGGTGCAATGGGTAGAAACAAAAAAGCCAAAACGATGGTGCTATGATATCACTACCAGCACAACTCTTCTACCTTGTATTTCGTATCTTTACTTGGCCACTTGGAATCTCTAAAGATGAAAGCAAGAGTAGATGTGACTGGAAGCGGGTTCAATATTCACGGCTGCGGTTTTTTCTTCCTTTTTTTTTTGAGCCATGATTTTCTTTTGCTGTTATAGCATCAATTTGCTTTTGCTGTTATTTGGGCCTCTATGTTATTGGGCCCAATAATGTACTTCTCCAAGAATAAAATTGCATAGAACCCAAAACTAATTATGGACACCCAATTCCCATATTTTTGGTCCAAACCAAACCAATTTTTATTTATTTATTATTTATTTTATATTTATACAAACGAGATATTAGGGGATGATCTTTTTCTCATCTTTCAATAGAAAATGGTTTTGCTGGATCTTGGTACTAGTATTTGATTTTGAAGTGTTTTCATGACTTAAAGTTGTCCATTACAACACACTATTTTGTATGTTTTGCTTTTCAGGTCCTACAATACAGGTAAATTGAAGATAGTTTACCAATAGACATGGCTTAAGACCTGTCGCACAGGCACCTATTGCCACCAGGAGGTCTATTACCTATAACACTGATATAGGTAGTTTGTCTATTGCCACCATGAGGTCTATTTACCTGTAACACTAATATATTATGCCTTGTTAGTATGTTTTTTGTTCTCATTTTGGGTTGGCTTTGGTGCCTTTTTGCCTTTTTGCCTTTTTTGAATAGAAACATGTAACGGTGAAGGACAAAGTGCAGATTTCTTGCACAATGTAATGGTGAAAAACTAGAAATTAATTATATGATTCAATATAATTTCAAACGTAGAAACCTGGCCCTCACGTGTTTACAAACATCCATATACTATTGTGTCATACCAGAACTTCTGTATTGAATATCAGGAATATGCAACACTGAATTTCTCTGCCTAAGTGATGATCTAAGCTTAGTGCTCACAAATACAGGACATCCAGATAGATCAAAGAATAAATATACGTTCTCTCAGTGACCTTGGTTAGTCATTCAGTTTGAGATACCTTGAAACTGTTGCTTTTGGAATACAGATAGTTTAAGTTACCATCTTCAATATACCTCATAGGCTACACTGGTTCTCTACCAATTAATCCCACAACAACGGAGGAAAAAAATCACATAAAAGAGAATATGTATATATATATCTCACATGAAAAGGAAAGGCCTTTTCAGTGTGGTTGAGCGCCTTCTTTTGTTATTTGAACTGCATCGTTTTCTCTCCACCCAACTCAGAATGGTTGGAAGCATCACCTCAACCGAAATCCCGACGACATATCTTTGAGTAAGGTTCTGGCATGTGTTGCAGAGCAGGCACCTAACATGCCTGAGAGCTAAGAAATTAGCCCCATGAACCCATTGGTCACATTTTCTACACAAATATGCATCATCTGCTTGGCAATACAATGAAGCCCTTCTGCTGCAGAGCTCACAACACACATACCCTGTTGGGGAACTAACTGGCGGCTGGCAGAAACCACTCTCTTCTACACCTCTGCACATTTTATGGCACGGCCAAGAAGTTGGAGCCAAAAAAAGCCATTTATAAAACTTTTGGCTTGGTATGTCAACTCTTTACATGGAGTTAATGGATGGAGATGAATTTCTGTCCTAGAGTTTTCAAAGTCTTCATTGTAATGACAACCATGCGACTACATGACAAATGTGTCATTGTAGTTCCTTTTCTTAAGTTCCACCTTTCCATTTTCTTTTTCCCATTTAAACTTGTGATTCAGAAAAAACTTGGGTCATCAATCGTCCACAGCTTTGAATGGGAACCATGAGATGGATTCCTGTGGGTTCTTTTGTTTATCAATTTTTCCGGGGGTGGATGTTATTATGGGCCTAATTTATTTGTCAAATAGAGGGCTATGAAGGAATCAAACACAAAAAGGATTTGAAACACCACTAGTTTTGACAAAATAGAAACCACTAATTTGACAAATTAGAAAAGGCTAAACATGATTAAGCTCTGAGATTTACAAGATGCTTGGTGGGATTTTCTGAGCCATGATTTTCTTGTTGAGTGGTTGCCCACTCAATTTTGGTTACTAATAAAGAAGAAAGCTTTGTTTCTATGGCCTAGAATTAAAGCTTTCCAACTGGGGCCCTACCAGTATTGTCAATAGAGTTTGTATGAATAAAATCATGCAGCAAAATGTCATTGTCCACGTATTGTTTTGGTGTTGACATATCAACCCATTTGACAAATACTCCAATATGTTGAGTTGGTGAATGAATACCAATAATTTAAAAATTAGTGGATAAAAAAGACTTGGTTTGGTGCATTTGGTCAATCTCAAAAGACTGTTGTTGTCAAATATCATGTCCACTTATTTGATGCATACTTTTAAATAAGTAGGTATGTAATCATATCAAAAAAGGAGGTGCAGATGGATCCCTTCCCGGGCCATCAATATTGGTGATGCTTGGGACAAAAACAAAATGGTTTGGTGAAGGAGAGAGGATTTCACACACGCACTACAAAGATGCTATTGAATCCGAACATGAGACAATTGATCTGCAAATGAAGGCTCTTTTTCATTGACCCTTTTTACTTTAATTGTTCCAATGTGAACAAATTTGTTTATCATAATGATGTAGACAATTTTAACAATTTTGATTAAGTTATGTAATTCTTGAAAGGCATAAGTGGCTTATGCCAAATTCAGGCATTGTGTTTGTCTCTTGTATCTGAGTTTCATATTCCTTTTTTGTATATTAAATTGTAGGTCAGTTGATCTAGGAATTGTGCCTGCATTTTACACCGGAGTTTTATATCCTCTCCCCGTACTAGAGTGTTTCGCTTTAGAATATCGTTGTATGAAAAAGACTGAAATGGAATTGGGCTGCAGCCTGCACCAAGCTTCTAGCATACTGATAGGGGCACTGTGAGAAAGCCCAAGCAAATGTATTCCGAGAAAAATTTCAGTTAAAACGACCCACATAACATAATCACGAAAAAAAAAAAAAAAAAAAAAAAAAAAAAAAAAAAAAAAAAAAAAAAAAAAAAAAAAAAAAAGTCCGCAATTCACCGGATAATCACCATATCTTCTCTGTCACTGTGATTGTGAGTGGTTTTATTGCCTTCTCTGCAAATTTGTAATGTACCAAAAAATCAAAAGAAAAACGAACTCTGCTTGCAAAGCAATCCGATTCCGCTACCTCTCTCTTTCCCTCCCATTCGTAATGCCCAAAACCCTGACCCTATCTCGCTTCAAGACACTCCTCTTGATCATCTCCATCTTCTTCAACCTCTACTTGCTCTTCATCCACGCGCCGCCGACCTTTATCTCGCGCTACTCGTCCTCTCCCACCACGCGCCGCCACCTCGTCTTCGCCATCGCGTCCTCCTCGCCCTCCTGGGCCCGCCGTGAGCCCTACATCCGCGTCTGGTGCTCCCCGATCTCCACTCGCGCCTTCGCCTTCCTCGACCGGGCCCCGCTCGATTCCCACGGCTACGGCTCCGGCGCGCAGGTCGTCGTCTCCGGCGACGCCTCCCGATTTCCTTACACTTTCCGGGGAGGGCTCCGGTCCGCGATCCGCGTGGCGCGCGCGGTCAAGGAGGTCGTCGATCGAGGCGAGCCCGACGTGAGGTGGTTCATTTTTGGCGACGACGACACGGTGTTTTTCGTCGAGAACCTGGTGAAGACTTTGTCGAAGTACGATCACGATCGGTGGTTTTACGTTGGGAGCAATTCGGAGAGCTACCAGCAAAATGTGAAGTACTCGTTCGAAATGGCTTTTGGCGGTGGAGGGTTCGCCATTAGCCATTCGCTGGCTAGGGTTCTAGCAAGGGTTTTTGACTCTTGCCTGATGAGGTACGGCCACTTGTACGGAAGCGATGCTAGAGTTTTCTCATGTGTGGCGGAGCTCGGCGTTGGATTGACCCATGAGCCTGGGTTTCATCAGGTATAGAATGTGAATATTTAATTTGCCTTTTTCATAAGATTTTTATGGTTTGTACCTGCATTCTCCTCAATAGTTGAATTTTATGTATCCTGAACTTGGTTGAAACTGGTTTTTGTAATGAAAGTAATTGCTTGATGGTGTTTAATGGATTGCACTTTTGCAAGGAAAGTGTAATTAATTATCATAAACTTTTTGATCCAGATTGAAAGGCTCACTCTTTTAGTAGGTGGCCGATTGTGTTTAGTGAAGCTTTCTCTTTTTAAGAACTAAGGAATGGTTTGGACCTTCTAGAACTTGCCCTTGAAGTTGGGGAAATGGGAATAGTAATCTGTTATGGCATGATGGTTGGTGTAGAGATAGGCTCTTTGAGACTGATTCCTTACCTGCACACGATAATTTAAGGGAAGACGGCCTTGGAGAGAAGTTTTTCGGTTTGCTCAGGAGACGTTTTGTAGGTGTTCCCTAGTTTGTAGGGAGCTACAGAATGGGAAGGTTGGTTTGTATCTTTGATGCAAGCTGCCAAACTCTATGGTGTGCTCTACTGAATGGAGAATGGCGGTACTGGGAATAAGGGAGGATGGTACTTCTCTACTAGTTATTCTATTGGCTGTTGATCCATCTTAGATTTGGGACATCTATCATTTTCAGATTTTATAGATCCTATTTCCTTCAGAGACCGAACTCTTCCAGCTGGGCAGCAGTTGATTTATACTAACTTTGTATTTGGGCCTTGCCCATTCCCTTTTCTTTTTTTGTTTTGATAGTTTTATCTTTGTTTGTAAAGAAATAAGGTTTAATAAAATCAAGAAGTTGAGAAGAAAGAGTTAATATACGCTATGGGAATACTTGCTCTTAGATTAGGTGTTCTTTAGTTTTACAAGATTGTTGACAAACATGGCTTGATTATGCCCATGAACCCCATTGCGTTATGAGATGGACAAAACTGGATAACTGAACTGTAGTAACTTCAATTGGATGATTTCTAGGTTTTATTTTTCTTCAACTTCTACAATGGAAGCTACTTGTCTGATGGCCCAAAAGTCATGGAAGCTACTCCAAGGAACTATTGGCCGCATCAATAAAAACGTATCCTGCCCTTAGGGCTTACCAAGAAACATACTAAATAGAAACATACTAAATACTTGACCAAAAAAGAAACATACTAAATAGACATTAGTACAGTAGTTATTTGACTTGGACAAATCTATATTACATTTTGTGCTCCTCTGCTTCGTCATGTTTCAACTTTGAAGATGATGCGATTACATTTTTTTTTCGGACGGCTGATGGAATTACATTGTTGGCCTGATTTTCTAGTTATTAGCTTATTTTGCACAAGCTAAGTTGACAATTTAGTTGTTGCCACGTTGTGGATTTCATTAATGACAACCAAGTTTTCAGATCATGATATAGTTTTGATTGGTATCCTACATCTATGGAATCCAATTTGAGCTTGTTAGCTGAGATTCTTGTTGCAGACTTGTTTCAAGTTATGTGCTGAGTTTTAAGAGCATTATCTTCATTTCTCTAACCAGGTTGATATGCGGGGGAATTTGTTTGGAATGCTATCTGCGCATCCATTGTCACCATTGGTGTCCCTTCATCATTTGGATGCTGCAGAGCCAATCTTCCCAGACATGAACAAGACTCAAGCTTTGGAACATCTTTTTGAAGCTGTGAATGTTGATCCAGCCAGGATTTTGCAGCAAACTGTTTGCTATGACATTTCGCATTCATTGACTGTTTCTGTTGCGTGGGGTTATGCTATTCAGGTCTATGATGGCAATGTACTCCTCCCAGATCTCCTTTCACTGCAGAAAACTTTTACTCCATGGAGGAGGAGTGGTAGTTTTGATGCAAGTCAATTTATGTTTAATATGAGAGATTATCCTAAAGATAAATGTAAAAGACCAATGGTCTTTTTTCTAGAAAGCGTAATAGCCAATAGCCATGGCATCTGGAGCACCTACACTAGGCACAGTGTGGAAAACTGCTCGAAAGCAAATGCAATAAAGAATTTGGAGCAAATCAGTGTGTTCTCACATAAGCTAGAGCTTGATGTTGATGAGGTATTATTTAACTGATTTCTTATATTAAATTTTGTTTCATATTTTAGTCATTTTTAGTCAATGCCATTTAACTACAGTCCACTTTTACATTCCAGATGAAGGCTCCTCGTCGTCCCTGCTGCAACATTTTGCCGTCTTTTAATGACTCAATGACTATCAACATTAGACGGTGTGGAGATGATGAAGTAATATCCATGAATTTCTAGAGTTTCTCTCTTGGAATAGTTGCTCCGAGGTAATTAGTTTAATGCAGAATTCAGAGGACAAGCAATTTTGGTCAACTTAACAGCTCATCAAGGTAATTCGTAATATCATTTCCTGTTCTTAAACTATGTTTGAAAAGTTCTTAGGGAACATTGACTTCTACATGGCCATTTGAATGACTTTCGTTTAGCCTATTTAGTTCCCTCCTCCCTTCTACATGGCCATTTGCTTATTTTCCCTGCTCATTATTCTGTTATTGAGATGTCCTGACGTAGGTTGTTCACTTGATAGTAAGTATGCTTGCGATTCGCAAGTTCTTTTTCCTTTTGGTTTGTCAAATGGACCTCCAAGCATTTGTGTTATAAGTGATATTATCTGATTAAATGATCTTCACACAAGAACGCTAAAGTTCCTTTTCTTCTTGACAGGAGGAGGAGAATATAGTTGGAGATGGCCATTTATCTTTGGATCAAGACATGGAGCAAAAACTAGGAATCCTGGAATCATTTCCTTGAAAAAAAAAATCAAGAGAAAAAGATATTGGATCCTGTTGTTGAAAGGAAGCTACTGTGTGAAGCCAGTTAAGGTTTTGATGTCTGATAGGGCCACTCTTGTTAAACTTTCCAGTTTCCAGTTGTCTCGGAAATTTGAAGAACAGAGAAAAACGAAGAACACCACGCCTAATCTAGTTACGGGGAGACGACCCAGGCAAATGTGGAACTGCAAAGGATTTAACTTTAGCTAGTGAAATCGTAGGCACTACAAACGGTACTATTCCTCATGGTTTTTGTTTTTTTTTGGGTTTTCTGCTCAGACTTTATCATCAGTTTCAATTGAGAAAGAAAAAGGTGTGTAATTTTACCTCAATATATATAATAAAAGTTATAAGAGTTATGTTAGTGTCACGTTGTATTACATTTATAACGTTTAAAGTTATTCATCCAAGAAAAAAAAAAGCTAGTCCAAGCACTTGCTTTGCGTAACAGTTTTATCTGCTAAGACCGTTAAAGTTTTTTATTTTCTTCTAAAAAACTTGGAGCTGAAGTTGCTGCCTTCTTCACGTTCTCTCCCTGCATCAACGAAGCTACCCAATTAATTAATTAATCCTTTTGTAACTCCCAAGGGCCAAGTCCTAATCCACTGCCAATAGTGTTTTAACACCTAACCCTCTTCTTAATCACTCAAAGCTGTTGCTGTCGAGTAGCTGACGTGATTTGAATCTTAAACGGACGCACCCAACAGCTGGGTTCTTTGGGTTGGAGCAGAAAATGTGGACTCTGCGTGTAAAGGCCACGCCTACCCCATATTTGATTTTGGAAATTTAACTAACCTAATTACACTTTTCTGCACAAGTACAGGTCAAAGTTTGCATCTTTCTTTTATGCCGTGGATTTCGGTGTTTATACACTTTGGTTATATGGTCCACCAACTTTGATACAAATTCTTCAAAATCTCTGCAACTCTGTTTCTTTTCTTTTTCTTTTCCATTTTCCATTCAATCTTTGAAAATGTGGCTGCCTCAATCGCCCTCCAAATCCCAGTTGTCTTCTCGGTTGATAAACCTCGTCATAATCTCATCTTCTGTCTTCACGATCTTTCTTCTTGTGTCATTCTTCCTTGTATTTACCAGCTCCAAGCTTGCACATATCAGCTACTTATCTCAAGATGTGTACTCCTCGCCTCCAACCTCTCTTGAGCACATTGTGTTCGGGATTGCTTCGAATCAGAAGTCGTGGTCAGCTAAGAGGAAGGAGTATGTCAGGCTCTGGTGGAAGAACCCCATGAGGGGATGCGTGTTTCTTGAAAGCCTTCCACCTGGTCACGAACATCATGCCAATGATACTTCTCTTCCTCCAGTATGTATCTCGGAGGACACTTCCCGATTTCGTTACACTTACAAAGGTGGCCTGAGGTCTGCTATCCGTGTGGCACGCGTTGTTTCGGAGACCGTGGCACTCAACCATTCGAATGTGCGGTGGTATGTTTTTGGGGACGATGACACGGTTTTCTTTCCGGAGAATTTGGTGAAGACACTTTCTAAGTATGATCATAGGCTGTGGTACTACATTGGGACAAACTCAGAGATCTATGAGCAGAACAGAATTTTTGGATTTGGAATGGCTTATGGTGGTGCTGGTTTCGCTATAAGTTCCCCTTTGGCAAAAGCATTGGCAAAGGTGTTTGATTCATGTATAGAAAGATATCCTCATCTGTATGGAAGTGACTCTAGGATCTCCTTTTGCTTGGCAGAGCTTGGCATTGGCTTAACTCAGGAGCCTGGCTTCCATCAGGTACTTATTTCTCTGTACCATCAATCTCTCTGTTTTTATTTTTAATTTGTAATTGAAAGAACTAAATTTTTTGGTTCTGGATTGCGAAATTGAACCAGAATGATATTCATGGAGATACATTTGGTCTGTTGGCTGCGCATCCACTAACACCCTTGGTATCTCTGCATCACTTGGATCACATAAACCCTATCTTCCCCAACATGACAACTATCAAGGCTCTGCAACATTTGTTTAAGGCTGTGAATGCTGATTCTCAGAGGGTTCTACAAAAAACAGTTTGCTATGACAGATGGTTTTCATGGACCATAGCAGTGTCATGGGGTTATGCTGTTCAAATTCATGGAAACCATATCCTTCTGCCGGACGTCCTCCCCGTGCAAGAGACGTTCAGCCAGTGGAAAAAGGGAAATGTTCTGTCAGGAGCTTATACTTTCAACACAAGAGAACATCACAAGGACCCGTGTCGGAGACCCGTTGTTTTCTTTCTGGACAATGTGTCCTCTGCTGGGGATGGGATCAAGAGCATCTACAAAAAGTCCTACGAAAATTGCACCTCTGACATGGGTTCGCCGAGGAAGCTGGAGGAGGTCAGAGTGTACTCACATAAGCTAGACCTTGATATCAAACAGGTATTTCTTGCTTACAACATTTTGACATAATACTTGTTCAATCCCTTAATCATTGCCTATATGTTCATGGAGCTTAAACAATCCTAATTCCATATTTTCTTGACTTTTATCAGTTGCAGGCTCCAAGAAGGCATTGTTGTGACATATTACCTTCTACAGGTGGCCAAGTGATGGATATTGGAATCAGAGAATGCAAAGATGAAGAATTAATATACATGCACCCATAGGAGTCTTTCATACAGGCATATAGCTGTATCACAGGCAATCCATTACAGACCATTTATAATACAGATGTAATTGGTCTTATCAATCACGAATTGTTGTAGATGTTAGGAAATTTGATATTCTTATCCTATGTAATTTGTAAATTGAGGATGCCATGTACTCGCCAATGGAATCAGGTTTCGAGTTCGATCAACTTTTGGCATGGAGATCTCAAGGATCCAGAAATTTAGGCAGGCCTAAATTCAAGATGTCTGACCTGAACTTATATATATATAAGCAATTTGGTTTTTGAGAGATTTGAGGAAGGAGGACACGTGAGATTGCTTAAGGATCATTTCATATGCAGTTTTGACATCAAATTTCTTTGTATTTTCATTTTTCTTTGGCACAATTGGATTAAGAAATAATGGACATTACAACGACCATGTTAAGGATGATAAATGTTGATTTCAGTTCTTTTTGGTCATCGACGAACTCCTTGATATGCCAAACAGGAAAAAGAAATGAAGTCTCTAGTTTGTCTTTTGTCATGTTTTTGTAACTCCTACGATCGATTAAAAAACAGAGCGTTAGATGATGATGGGAAGAAAATAAAATTCACAAAGTAGAAGTCAATTAACAGTAAAAAGTTTTGTTGATTGTAAAATTTGATAAGATGATAAGAGGAAAGTTGGAGAGAGAGGCCATGAAAATTCAATACGCATTTATATATTAATTCATGTTTGCCCAATTCATTTTAGAAAGAGTCATACTTGCTGTGTATACATAATAAATAAATAATTTTAATATAATATTCTTTTAAAGACTATATATTAAATTTTTGTAATTTTGTATATAGTTAATGGGGTAAAACATTGCACGTGTTCCTGTAAAATACTAGTATATAGTTTTCTTTTTAATTTTTTCAAAAAATAATTTTTTTTAATGATTTGATGGATTATTGGATGACATGTTGTTGATTTAGAAGGTAGGGAGAATTGGCAATAAAATTTAGTTCGAACTAAAAAGGACCTTCTATTTGCATTAGTTTATACTTTAGATATTAATTTACTAGTTTTGATATATATAGTTTATAGTTTATAGATTTAAAATTTTAATATATATTATTTTTTTGAATAGTATGCGAAAATTATGTGTATAATATGTGAATTTTGTGTGTATTATTAAAAATTTTGTAAAAAATCAAGTGTATTAAACATGAAACATACGTACGTGCACAATATGAGTATTTAATGTGAAAATGCTAAATTCTTTATACGAGTAATAATTCTAGAAAAGTAAAAACTCAAAAAGGTACAATAGAGACTCGGGTATTGGCCTATAATAGTAATGTATAATGCTTTAAACTATCGATAAAAATCGGGGAAAGACAATTAAAAAAAAATAACAAAAATAAAAATACTATTATTTCCTGATTTATGAAAGAGTATGGACACGCGGCTATTATCGATAAACAGTATTTATGAAAAGAGTATGGCCACGCGGCTATACTATTTATGAAAAATAAAAATAACAAAAACAACCCCAGTAACGCCGGTCGGAAATACTGTTTTTTTAAAATCCCGAGTAAAGCTGAGCGGCTATACTATTTGTCAAAAGGAAAGAAAAGGAACTCGTAGCACCCATTCAAAAGGGTATAACCGCGCAGCTATTCTAGTTTTACAATTAAAAAACCGTAGTATCGCCGTGCGGCTATACTATTTATTGAAAAAAGCCATTCTATTTGCATTAGTTTATACTTTAGAGATATTAATTTGCTAGTTTCAATATATAAACTTTATAGATTTAATTTTTTTAATATATATTATTTTTATTCAATAGTATATGAAAATTGTGTGTATAATACATGAATTTTATGTGCATTATTGAAAATTTTGTAAAAAATCAAGTGTATTAAACATGAAAAATACATACATATGTGTAAAATATGAGTATTAAACATGAAAATGCTAAATTTTTTATATGGCTAATAACTCTAGAAAAGTAAAAACTCCAAAGGGTACCAGAGAGACTCATGTAAAGGCCTAATAGTAATGGAAAATGCTCTAAACTGTCAATAAACAAAAATCGGGGAAAAAAGATAATAGTATCCATGTAAAGAGTATTGCCGCGTGGCTATTCTATTCATTTATTTATTTTATATATAAAAAAGGACCCCTGTATAGTCGCACATAGAAAAAAAAATGCCGAGTATAGCCGCGCGGCTATACTATTTTGAGTGGAAGAGTTCAAATCTGGCTCAAAACTAAGCACCACAAGATGCTAGAGGAAAAGACCATGAGATTCTAGAGGTACATAACATATTAATGATAAAATAGGTTGCTTATTTATATTTGAAGTATCAGTGTGACCTCAAACGACATTGTTTTAGACTATTAGTTAACAATATCTTCACATAAAAAATAAATCTGGAACACAAGGATTCACAGAAAGCCAGATCATGTCTTAAGGTTTACATTCTATTTGATTAATACCTCAATTGATATTGCTCGTCTTTGTGCTTCTCTAAACCCGCAAACAGCTGCTGATATATACCTGCAAATTAAGACTCTCCTTGATAATAATAAGAAGACTCCTCAAGTTGCACATTTGCACCGCAAAAACTCCAAAACAAACTAAACAAACAGGCCCAGCACCACAACCTTAAAGAATATTTGTATGAGTGCAAACTCTGCCAACAATGCTCGTATACAAAACTAGCTTCTATTGTCATATGTCAAATTAAAATCCACATAGACAATATATACTTTCTTACTGCAATAGCTTTTATGGCTACGAAGTCATAATGACAGCAAACTATAGTTTCTCAACCGTTGCTTACAAATTATGAATACTTTGTTTTTTCAAAGTATAGTTAACTTCACTCTATAATTTATATATCAAACTTGACAGAAGCTAAATCAAACAGCAATAATACACTAATACAAGGCTACAACGTAATTCTTTTAGAATTTTTGAGCTAAAATTAGAGTGAATCTTTACATACTGAAAAAAAATGTATACATTACCTTGAGCTTTTTCCACAACAACACACTTAACAATTAAAGTCACCAACAGTTAAAGGCAACTTACCCCACAAAGAAACCAGCAATATGTACTAACAGCACAGAAAGAATAACCACCCCAACTTCTCCAGAAACCAGCAATATGCAATATGAGCATGAGACTTTAGAGACAGATAAGAGGAACATCCCCTTGCGCAATTAAGGTCACCTGAAAGGCTATTTCATAAAAAGCATTGAATGGAGTTGAATAATGGCCTAGGCGGGCGCTAGGCGGGCTAGGAGGGGGCTAGGCGGGAGCTAGGTGGACTAGGCGGGCTAGGCGGTGGCTAGGCGGGCGCTGGCGCCTAGAAGAAAAAAGAGAGGTCATTTTGGAACTCCAAGGTCTGTGGACGAGATGACGATGGTGCTATGAGGTGAGAGAGAGAGAGGGAAACGAGGATTGAAGAAGAAGAAGAGAGGTTGCGAGAGTTATCTTTAGGGTTTAGAAAAGGGCCTGGGCGAGAGAGAAAGGCCTGGGCTTCATAAAATACAACATTATATGGTTTTTGCATTATGAAATCACTAAAGTAACCACTAATAAGTAACAAATAACAAATAAATATTTTAATATTTTAAATTTAAAAATATTATACTATTTGTTTAATATATAATTTATATATCCTTTTATTTTTCATGATTTTGGTATAAATTTATAATTTATAATACTAAATAATTTATTAAAAAAAGCATAGGCACTCGCATAGGCTCCGATTATTCCTCTAGGCGCTAGGCCCTTGCCTGCCGCCCCCTTATTGCATAGTGATTTTTCGAACATTGGGATTAACATCTTGGTAAATCGAGGTGTACCAACACTTCAATTTACAACCCTGCAATTCTAACTAACTCCAATTCCCTTATGTTTGTGTTCATAATGAACTAAAAATTAGTTCCATTGCATGACGTTTAGATTTATCTTTTATGGTATAATTTTTCTCAAGACTATAAACAAAGAAGCAATTTTGTTAGTTCTCAATTGATTGTGCAGTGGCTATATGTCTCCGGAGTATGCTATGGGCAAGATGTTTTATGAAAAATCTGATGGCTACAGCTTCAGGGTCTTGCAATTGGAGATTATTAGTGGCAAAAAGAATATCAGCTTCTATTCTAGTGACCAACATGTAGGCTTCCTAGCTTATGTAAGCTCACACTCTAAATCTTAATGCAAAATCATATATTTCATACAGCTTAAGCAACCTATATGAAGCTAAATGCAGCAGAGTTTAACAATTCTGGCCAACATACATGAAATTTTGTCAAGCATGGCACTCATGGAATGAAGGCAGGGATTTTGAGTTGGTTGATGAAGTATTGGCAGATTCATATTCACATTCAGAATCTCATGGATTTCTATTTTTGAAACCCAAAGGCATTGCATATGCATGGGTCAAGTTTCAGATTGGCAAGCACATGGAATTGCATATTATATTGGATTTTTGCCCCAGTTTAGGTGCCCATTGATGCGCCCATTTTTTTCACAAACATGATCCAATTGGTATTTGGTATAACAAACACAAGCAACATATACAAGTTTTGGCATGCAGCTAGCATACCAAATTCACAAACGTAAGTGGGGATAAAGGGAACCAAGGTCCCAAGAAGGAGTTGTCCAAAAGATGCAATTCCCCACACAAAACTCTCGTCTGGGGACTTGGTGGATTTCTATTTGTGAGGTAATTTACCTCTTCGTCGAGCTGGGCTAAAGTACAACTGACCGAGCTAAGCTTGGGTCCAGGTGGTCGGGTTGAGCTCAATATCAATGGACAAGCTGGGCTTGAGCCTTGGGCGGGATGTCTCCGAAGTATGAGTGATCACTTTTTTTTTTTTTTTTTTTTTTTTTTTTAAAAAATTTCAGAGAAATATTTATCACAATGAGCCTAGCATAAGGAACAGGCCAAGAGATTGTATAAATTTCAGTTTGTGTTTAGGTTTAAAGTATTAATAGAACAACATGTCGAGGCAATATGGAGAATTGGAGAAAATTTCAAACCACACCATTTATAATATGATTCATATTCCTCCTCAAATAAAAATATAATCTATCATAAAACATATAATTTTTTCTTTTATTAAAAAAAAACATAAACTACATCTAACTGTATATATAGCCAGTCAATGAATTGGTAATTGCGGAGGCAAGAACCTAAGGTATATGAACCCTAATATCCCCTCAACAAGAGCCTTGATTAACTAACCTAGGAGAAAAGTATCCTAAACGTGAAGGGAATGGTAAAAGTGAAAGTTTATCGCTTTCATTCGACTCGTTGTTTACAGTTGCCTCATAGTTGTCTTCCTATTTTTTAGAATGAAGGGCAATGTATTTATCAATTTTATTTTCTAAATAAGGACCAAGGTATTAACTTTATATTTTTATTAAGTTTGAATACTAGTGGTATTAGAAATTTAACTTATCAAACATATTATATAAGTAAAAGAAAAAGAATTGAGCTTAAACTTTTAAACATCTTTTCAAACAAAAAAAAATAAAAATAAAACAATTTAGTTTGGATTTTAAAGTAATTTACTTGTTGTGTTTATTATTAGAATACATTTCTATTGAATTCCATACGAAAGTCGTTGACATGTCGTTTCTATATACTCGGCAAAATCGCTATGTGGCAGGCATGGGCCTAGTGCCTAAAGGAGTAATCGACTAGGCATTTTATTTATTTATAATTATTTTGTATTATAAATTATAAATTTATACATAAATAATGCAAAAATGAAAGGACATATAAATGATAAGTACCATAATCTATATATATAAAGAAAAAGGCAGAGAATGGTAAAACATTCAAAATACTAGAAAATGCCCTTGGTTAATGCAAACATTAAAAATTGAAATTATTAATTAAATGAGGATAATATGGTAAATTCACACTTTTTCATATTTAAAAAAAATAAAATTAGATGAAAAATCAGACAATAGATTCTATTTTTATGGAACACAACTACCCATTATCTTTTTTAATTCTAAAATAAATTAAACTTATAAAAATAAAAATAAAGCATCCTCCAGGCGCAGAGAGGCTAGTTGATATAAAACATGGAAAAAAGTTAGGCATAAAACCCAGGTTTTCTTTAGAGGGTGCATTTGCTAACGCATGAGTTGAGAATCTCTTAATTATATTTAATTAACTTTTCAAACTGACTTCAAAAGCACCAGATTAACACACCAACATGAAATATCGTTTATCGAGCCTCCATTAATGTAAAAGGATTGTGACTTCATTAGCTGAAAATGCTTTAGAAGAAGGATTGACATCCCTTTCACCATAAAAACCAGGCTTTTGAGGTTGAGGCAATGACCCTTCAATTTTGAAGGATAGCAAAGAATTTCGTCATCATCATCATCATCTATCTATCTCTCTCTCTCTCTCTCTCTCTCTCTCTTGGTTCATTTGGTATGCACATAATGTCCTATATATATACAAGTAACAAGTAGGCAGGAAGTGATTTCCTATTGGATGGTTTATTGGCGGTTGATACAAACTTACTGTCCAAGTAATAGTTATCAATGTAGTTGCAGATAAGGAAGAATGTTTTTGTGACTCTTCCAATCCCTCTAATCCTATTCTTATCTTCTTGGTGAGTTTATAGCCTTGATACTTAACAGGCTTTGTACTTTGACACGTATTAACAAGAACTATTTTAAAACATATGCATATATATATATATATATAATAGGATAAGTATATATGTAATACACATATTTATATATATATATATATAATAAGATGATATATATATAATAGAATAATATATGTAATAAGACATAAATATGTATTAGTACAAAAGACAATATATATTTTTAACCAAGATAAGCAATTATCTTCCTTTAATTTTTTTTAAAAATGAACTCTCACAGCGACGGTTTAAATTCGTCAAGCAGAAATGTAGGGACGAGAGTGCTTTCGTGTCACCAAAATGTGCATGATGAAGATGGTTGTGAGACGAAATTTTCTTCGTCGCTTTTTCTTAAATGCGAGACAAAGACTTTCGTTGCACAAAAATAAAATTGATTCTGGTATCCTAGAAGAAAAGCATGGCATATGACATTTCGCAAGAGTACCGTGGTGTTTGTGGGTTTCACGTTCACCCAACTTGTGCGAGAGGTGGCAGCCTTGTAATATGATACAAGTGACGATGCTTTCTGCATATTGTTATCATCGCTGCTCATGACTGGAAATTCAGTTGAAAAAGTATGGAGATTCTAGAACCTGTTGCAAGTCAAAGTCGCCTCTTTCTGGGAGTGGAGGAAAAGTCAATGCTGGATATGACGCTTGGAAACTTTCAAGCAACGGAGAAGAGGCAGAGCTATCAAAAAAATCAATGGAAATAAACAAACAGTTTAATTCGGGTCCGCATATAAAATGTGTGTAAAGCAACTTTCTAAATGCAAGTTCTCAAACAATTAGAAGCAGTTAGACCATTTCATTATATCATATAGTAAAAATTAGGGAGAAGCTGAATACAGTCTTTCAATGCAAAAGTTTTCTACAATGAAGATGCATTCGTAAGTTCTTAAACTTCATCTTGAAACCTTGTGAGGAGACATCAAAACGAACTTTAAGTAGCTTTGAGAAATCATTGTGTCAAATACAAGTCATTCCACCCAAGTTGCTTTTAAACAAGCCAGAGAAAGATCTGAATTTACAAGAACCAATTTCTGGAAGAGAAATAGGACGTAGTTCACTTACATTTTCAAGTATCGGCATGCTATAAAGCTCCACAAATATGTCCAGAAGTATCTCGTTCATTTGGTCCGCATCACAAGCATGAGTGCAGAAGGAATCCACCCTTGCAAGCATATTTTAACACATATGTGAGACTTCAAACATACTTCAATATGTAAGTGAGAACTAAAACCAACATACTTCAAACATACTTCAAAAGAGACTATGTTTTGATGAATCTATGCCCTCTAATCCTCTAAGTACAGAGCACTTCAACAGGGTGTAGAGACTAGCCTTTTTCAACTCTTTAAGTTCTGTTCTGATCTGGGTATCTGCTAAAATGGAGAAGGGTCTTGTTGGGTTGCTCAGAACAGCTTGGATTGCAGCGATAGTGCCTATTCTCAAAGCTTCTGTACCTTCTTCTAGGTTGAGCTCATTTCATGGAGCTGTTTTGGAATTTGCCAAGAGAGGAAAGATCATGAAATCTTCTTCTCAAGTTAGTGATTGAAAAAACCGAGTATCGCCGCACGGCTATACCATTTTTTTTAGTTTTAAAAAATAAAAAAAAACATATCGCCACCCGGTTATACTATTTCTTTTTAAAAAAACATTAGAAACAACCGAGTATAGCCGAGGCTATACTATTTCTTTTTCAAAAAAAAATTTAAAAAAAAAGTATCGCCGCCTGGCTATACTATTTCTTTAAAAAAATAAGAAACAACCGCGTATAGCCGCGGCTATACTATTTCTTTAAAAAATTAGCATCGACCGAGTATAGCCGCGCGGCTATCCTATTTCTTTAAAAAAATTAGAAACGACCTAGTATAGCAACACGGCAATATTATTTCTTAAAAAAAAAAGGGAGCTTCATTAATATACCCAAAATAGGAGCTGAAATTATAAAAAAAAACCCCACATGAAATGCACATTAGAAACACACCCAAAATCCATTTATTACAAAAAAAATGAGTGTTGAAGTTCCAATAAATTACATGAAATGCACTTTAAGTTCTATTATGATCTGGGTTTTTGCTAAAATGGAGAAGGGTCTTGTTGGGTTGCTCAGAACAGGTTGGATTGCAGCGATATTGCCTATACTTAAAGCTTCTGTACGTTCTTCTAGGTTGAGCTCATTTCATGGAGCTGTTTTGGAATTTGCCAAGAGAGGAAAGATCATGAAATCTTCTTCTCAGGGTAGTGATTGGAAAAACTGAGTATAGCCGCGCTGCTATACTCTTTCTTTAAAAAAAAAAAAATAAATCAAAAGTATCGCCGCCCGGCTATACTATTTCTTAAAAAAAATTAGAAACGACCTAGTATAGTAGCACGACAATATTATTTCTTTAAAAAAAAAAAGGGAGCTTCACTAATATACCCAAAATAGGAGTTGAAATTAAAAAAAAAAACCCCCACATGAAATGCACTTTAGAAACACACCAAAAATCCATTTACTACATAAAAAATGAGTGTTGAAGTTCCTATAAATTACATTAAAATGCACTTTAAGTTCTATTATGATATGGGTTTTTGCTAAAATGGAGAAGGGTCTTGTTGGGTTGCTCAAAACAGGTTGGATTGTAGTGATATTGCCTATACTCAAAGCTTCTGTACGTTCTTCTAGGTTGAGCTAATTTCATGGAGTTGTTTTGGAATTTGCCAAGAGAGGAAAGATCATGGAATCTTCTTCTCAGGGTAGTGATTGGAAAAACCGAGTCTAGCCGCGCGGCTATACTCTTTCTTTTTAAAAAAAAATTAAAACAAAAGTATCGCCGTCCGGCTATACTATTTATTTTTTTAAAAAAATTAGCAAATCCGAGTATAGCCGCCCGGCTATCCTATTTCTTTTCTAAAAGAATTAGTAAAAACCGAGTATAACCGCGCGGCTATACTATTTCTTTTTATAAAAAAAATTAGAACAACCGAGTATTGCCGTTTGGCTATACTATTTATTTAAAAAAAAGTAAAAAAAAGTAAAAAGCATCTGGATAAAGCTGTTCAGGCTTAGAATGTTCTGATATTCTTGGAACTTACCTGCTCATCTGGCAATGAAGCTGGACCACTAGGTAGCAGTTTAGTCCACCGCGGAGACATTCATAAACTGCTCTACTGTAATTCTTAGCGGATAACCCCAATTTAGGTTTAATAGTACATCCCAATAGGGGGCGGCCATACTTGTTCAATTTATCTCTCTCAACTTGGATCCCATTAGGCGGGCCTTGGAAAGTTTTAACATAAGCAGTAGGAACTCTATGAACAAATAAAAAAACACAAAGGATTAAACTTGTTTATTTTACTTATCAAATAAACCTCATTTTTGTTTTTTTTTTTCTACTTTTCCCTTTATCTTCCTTAATTTATTCTTCCACCAATATTGTATATATTATATAGTGCCAATCCAACACAAGTACTTAGTTTTTTTTATTTAAATTGATTGGAATTTTAATTGTTAGTTAGATTTATAATTTGTTTTCTCTTTAGTCTTCTCCAAAACCATCTGCAACTAAGGAGATGCGCACTTTAGAGTTTTCCTTTAGTTGATATTAGTATACTCTAAACTTGGTCTATATATAAGAATGTTTGCTTGGATGAGCACTCACCACCAGGTTTGGAGTCCGATTTCAACTGCTTTTCTGCTTCCTAAAAGTCATGTGGAACCTCAAGTTCCTTGTTATTAGATTGGTAACAGACCATATTCATTGATAGTTCAGGAAATAGTTAAGTGAAAACCTTACCTTCTTCATCATTGTCTCTTTCTTCCATGTTTCTATGCCCTTCATTAAAGCTTTTGCCGCTGTACCTGCCAGAACTCAGAAGAATATCTAATAAGATTATTGGGCGTATTCAAAGTAAATAACGAATTTGTGTTCAAAATGTTTTTACCTAAGAAGAGAATGATAAGTAGAACTGTGACCATCCAGTTGGCGAACATGATGTTGAAGGCAACTTCTATGCTGATGCCTAGCATGAGCGTTGGCTGAAAGAGCAATGCCAGATCATAATCTATAAAGGGGCATGTCCAGTGTTGGGTGCCTGAGTCTCAAATTGAAGTATACTGTTGAACATGCAGCACCCATTACCATACCTGCATGACCAATAGGATGGCATACAGTTCTTCAATTCTGTCTAAATTGAATACATTAAGATTAAATTAACAAGTTAAAAGAAAAGATAAAAAGGAAAAGTAGTGATTACTGACACTTAGAAATGGCAGTGGAAGACTTTGGGATCAAAACCAATGATCAAGGCAAGCAATGCCTCCACCCCCAACACCTCCCACACTACCCAATGCTGCACCAAAGAACCCAACTATTGAGCTAACTACAATTTTCCAACCAAACTTGATCTCCTGAACAACCAAAATACATATGTCAAAGTCAAAATACCACAACAGTAAACATGAAGGGAAGAATCATAAAATCTTATTGGTACAAGTCAAAATACCCTAAAATTAGACATAAAAGTTATATCCCCTTTATGCTCTCTCTCTCTCTCTCTCTCTCTTTCTGAGTGTGTGTGTTCTTGCTGGAGATGATTAACTACGGTGTTTAAGAGAGATCAAACTCGCTGGTGGAGCCAGTTTGAGGATATGTCTGCACAAAGTTCAGATACAGTTAAAATCATGGTGCTAATAAACCAAAAGGTTGTAGGAACAATGTAAGCATCATCTCTTTCTTTTCCAATTCTCAGAAATCTTCTTTAATAGTTAAATCCTTGAACACACTGTCACTCATATCTGAATACATGACCTAGGCGGGCTAGGCGGGGGCTAGTCGGTCTCTAGGCGGTCTAGGAGGGCGCTAGGCGGGCGCTGGCGCCTAGAAGAAAGAAAAGGCCATTTTGGAACTCCAAGTTCTGGGATGAGATGACGATGGTGCTATGAGGAGAGAGAGAGAGAGAGAGAGAGAGAGACGACGAAGAGATTGAAGAAGAAGAGAGGTTGCGTGTTATGTTTAGGGTTTAGAAAAGGGCCTGGGCGAGAGAGAAGGGCCTGAGCTTCAAAAAATAAAACATTAAATGGATTTTGCATAATGAAATCACTAAAGTAACCACTAATAAGTAACAAATAACAATTAAATTGTGGGCAAAATGTTATTCCCTAAGAAGAGAATAATAAGTAGAACTGTGACCATCCAGTCGGCAAACATGACGTTGAAGGCAACTCCTATGCTGATGCCCAGCATGAGCATTGGCTGAAAGAGAAATGCCATATCATAATCTATAAGGGGCATGTCCAGTGTTGGGTGCCTAAGTCTCAAATTGAAGTATACAGTTGAAACTGAAGCACCCATTATCATACCTGCATGACCAATAGGATGGCATATAGTTCTTTAATTCTGTCTAAACTGAATACATTAAGACTATGTTAACAAGTTAAAAGAAAAGATTAATAAGAAAGGTGATTACTAACACTTGGAAATGGCAGTGGAAGACTTGGGATGAAAACCAATGATCAAGGAATTTTGAATCCAAACCTCTTCAGTGATTTTTCCTTGCCAAGGATTTCTTGACAAGATTTTCTGACTGACAAAAACAATAGAGTGAATTTTGTCTTGCGTTGAACTAAACCTAAGGAGGAATTCCCAATTCAAGAAAAAGGGGTCCCACGATGAAACCGCCTCCCAGCCCAAGTAGGCTACCCACCATACCAGCTACTATCCCACAGCTGCAGTAAGGAAAAATCTGATGCAACTTTCAATTTGTGATTTCCTTTCCTTTGGATGCAATCACCCTGGTGCCTTTGCATAAGAATTTGGCTTCAAAGAGCGTAACGGAGACTGCAATTGGTACCTACGAAATGATAATATTTATGTTCAACTGGACATCATTCTTTTTAGGTATGCTTGAGTGTATATAGTTATGTGTTTCTATAGTGTCCCTGAAAGAAATCTTACTACTCTGGTTGTCAACCTTACCTGCAAGGAGTTCAGGACCCAATAATTCAGTAACAAAAGTTAAAATCATGGTGCTTTGGAAGGAAATGCAGAGGTATTAGAAAGATGGAACTTGATTGCATTGCTAGTGATGATCGTATCTTTTGGAGAGCATTTTAAGGTCCGGTATGCGAATAGATGAGTTCCTAGAAAAGCTACAGAGTAAAATAACTTACCTTAACAATCTGAACAATAAGAAAAGCCACCCAGACATACACAAGCATCAATAACTCCTTCTAGTAAAAGTCGTCGTCGTTGTGTGATATAGGCACCTGGATAGAGTTGTTCATCATATCAATAAAACAAAAACTGAAACCACTTAAAAATTGCAGATAACAAGGAAGTTGCAACAGAATATAGGCTTAGAAGTTCTGATATTCTTGGAACTTACCTGCTTATCTGGCAATGAAGCTGGACCACTAGGTAGCAGTTTATAGTCTTCTCCAGAACCATCCGCACGGCTATATTATCTCCTTTTAAAAAAATTAAAAATTAAAAAAACCGAGTTTAACCGCGCGGCTATACCTTTTATATATGTATTGTTAGCTCAAGTGCAAAAAACAAATTCACAACTTGCTCCATACTTAACTCATTTTCTAGAGTACCAAACCATCTTAAAGCTCAACATGCTACAAAACTTCAAATTTCAATAACTAATATAACCCAATTCAAATATTCATATATAATTATTACCTAATTAGAGTATTACAATTAAATATGGCCAATGATAGGAGAACAATATAAAAATGAGTAACAGATCATGATCCTAAACAGCTCGAATAAGTGGATGCATTGGGTATGCTTTGTGTCGGAAATCAAGATTGTGGGGATAATAATTCCTCATATATTATAGTCTCACGGTTATACTATATTTAAATATATTATTTGAAGGCGTATAGCTGCGCGATTAATGTAACAGGTGGGCAGATTTCTGTTGTTCAAGGTCTTTTGGAAGAGCTGCCTGGAGAGTTTTTAAGTTACATGCGTTCCATGGACATGAAGCCACTCACCTTCCATGCAGCCAGCCAACCATCTACATCATAGGTTTGTTCTTCTTTACTATTTCTTTAAAAAAAAATTAGAAAACCCGATTCTAAAGCTTAATTTCAATCCAAGTGCACCCATAATCAGCTTATATAGTCCTCCGGAGAGCTTTATAATTTCCTTTCATGGTTCTTAGGACATTCATTTGAGTTATCATGCTTTTGTTGTGATGTGTGACCAAAGGAATTAGAAAGATCGAACTTGACTACATTTCTAGTGATGATCTTATCTTTTGAAAAGCTTATTTAGTTATACAAAACTACATTGTAAAATAACTTACCTTAACAATGTGAACAATAAGAAAAGCCACCGAGACATGCATACACAAGCATCGATAACCCCTTCCAGTAAATGTTGTGTGATATAGGTACCCGGACAGAGTTGTTCACAAATTCAATAAGACAGTATCCGAAACAACTTCAAAATTGCAAATAACCAAGAACTTGGAACTGACCTGCTCATCTTGCAATGAAACCGTCTGCAACAGAGGAGATGTGCGCTTTAGAGTTTTCTTTTAGTTCATATTAGTGCATAATCTCTAAACTCGGTCTATATATACACTCACCGCCACATTTGGACTCCAATTCCAACTGCTTTTCTGCTTCCCGAAAGTCATGTGAAACCTCAAATTCCTTGTTAGTACGTTGGTAACAGACTCATTGATAACCCAGGGGATCCGGATAGTTGTGTGAAAATCTTACCTTCTTCATCATTGTCTCTTTCTTCCATGTTTATATGCCTTTCATTAAAGCTTTTTTTGCTGTACCACCCAGAACTCAGACGAATATGTAATAAGATTATTGGGAGTGTATATTCTGTAGAAAATGTAATGTACTTCTAATAGTCATAGCATATGTACTCATATCATTTGACGGATTCAAATAATTAAGCCTATGTAATATACTTCTTTATCTCCACCATGATTCCTGTTTGAAGGTAATAGATAGAGATTTGAAGGTCAGTAACATTCTCTTGGATGAGAACATGAACCCAAAACTTTCAGATTTTGGATTGGCACGTATTGTTTAAGGCACGCAGAGTCTGGCACAAGGTCGTAGGAACAATGTAAGCTTTATCTCTTTCTTTTCCAACTCTCGGAAATCTTCTTTAAAAGTTAAATCCTTGAACAGACTGTCACTCATATCTGAATACATGGGCTAGGCGGGGCTAGGCGGGGGCTAGGCGGGCGCTAGGCGGTCTAGGCGGGCGCTGGCGCCTAGAAGAAAGAAAAGGCCATTTTGGAACTCCAAGGTCTGGGACGAGATGACGATGGTGATATGAGGCGACAGAGAGAGACGATGATGAGATTGAAGAAGACGAGAGGTTGCGTGTTATGTTTAGGGTTTAGAAAAGGGCCTGGGCAAGAGAGAAGGGGCTGGGCTTCATAAAATACAACATTAAATGGATTTTGCATTATGAAATCACTAAAGTAACCTAGTAAGTAACAAATAGCAAATAAATATTCAATACACAAAATTTCAGGTATGCTGAGTATTGAGTACTACGGAGAATTCAAGAGACACTCTTCAAGAATATATCATAAACCAAGATCCATCGGAGCTATTCATCTATAATTTTGATAGCATATTGATCGCAATGAACAATATCAACATCACAAACAAACTCGGGGAAGGAGGATTTGGTCCAGTTTACAAGGTGATTGTTTATTTGTTTTTCTCTTTCTAAAGGAAAATATAGTATCACACAGCTACAATAACAGATAAGGACATGAATGAAGTGATTAATTTGTAGGTACCCTACGAGAAGGGAAGGGAATAGCAGTAAAAGGACTTTCTAGTAGCTCAGGGCAAGGCATAGAAGAGTTAAAAAATGAGACGTTGTTGATCTCCAAGCTCCAACATAAAACTCTTGCCAGGATCATGGGCTGCTGCGTCAAAGAAGATGAGAAGATACTGATTTATGAGTTCATGCCAAACAGAAGCTTGGACACTCTTCTATTTGGTTAGTTTCACTGGACTTTATCTTTGTAATTTGCCTACTAACTTAAAGCCACAAATGAATTCACATGAACTAAATGTTCGGGCACAAGGAATCAAAATTATTTTCGATTGATACAAAGAATCACTGATTTATTTGCAACACAAACAGTCAAGCAAGACATCCTGCAGATTTAATGCACATAACTGTAAACTGAATTGTATACTACATGAGTACGTTTCAGTTCTTTATAAAGCAGAAGGGACAATGTTAAACTAGACCTGAAATCAATTTTGAATCTGATTACACCCTTGTTTTACTATTGTTCATACAAATGCGTCAGTATTTTCTGTAGAAATTTAAATGTAAAAATCTAGTGACAGTTTCATTGTTCAATGCATAGGATAGGATATATGAATGAAACTATTGGTTATATTTTGAATGCTTGCATTTAAAAGATCCAGCGCGGAGACCTGAGTTTGATTGGGACAGACGCTTCAATATTATTCGGGGTATTGCTAGAGGGCTTCTTTATCTCCACCATGAGTCTTATTTCAAAGTAATTCATAGAGATTTTAAGGTCAGTAATATTCTCTTGGATGAGCAAATGAACCCAAAAATTTCAGATTTTGGATTGGCACGTATCATTCAAGGGACACAGAATATAACAAATACTCATAAGGTTGTGGGAACGCTGTAAGCGTCATTCCTTTTCCTATTCTTGGAAGAACATCAAAACTTAAATATCAATGTTCAGAAGGTTGTGAGGTCTGCAATCCGTGTGGCATGCGTTGTTTCGGAGACCGTGGCACTCAACCATTCGAATGTGCGGTGGTATGTTTTTGGGGACGATGACACGGTTTTATTTCCGGAGAATTTGGTGAAGACACTTTCTAAGTATGATCATAGGCTGTGGTACTACATTGGGACAAACTCAGAGATCTATGAGCAGAACAGAATTTTTGGATTTGGAATGGCTTATGGTGGTGCTGGTTTCGCTATAAGTTCCCCTTTGGCAAAAGTATTGGCAAAGGTGTTTGATTCATGTATAGAAAGATATCCTCATCTATATGGAAGTGACTCCAGGATCTCCTCTTGCTTGGCAGAGCTTGGCATTGGCTTAACTCGGGAGCCTGGCTTCCATCAGGTACTTATTTCTCTGTACCATCAGTCTCTCTGTTTTTATTTTTAAGTTGTAATCGAAAGAACTAAAATTTTTGGTTCTGGGTTGTGAAATTGAACCAGAATGATATTCATGGAGATACATTTGGTCTGTTGGCTGCGCATCCATTAACACCCTTGGTATCTCTGCATCACTTGGATCACATAAGCTCTATCTTCCCCAACATGACAACTATCAAGGCTCTGCAACATTTATTTAAGGCTGTGAATGCTGATTCTCAGAGGGTTCTACAAAAAACAGTTTGCTATGACAGATGGTTTTCATGGACCATAGCAGTGTCATGGGGTTATGCTGTTCAAATTCATGGAAACCATATCCTTCTGCCGGACGTCCTCCCCATGCAAGAGACGTTCAGCCAGTGGAAAAAGGGAAGTGTTCTGTCAGGAGCTTATACTTTCAACACAAGAGAACATCACAAGGACCCGTGTCGAAGACCGGTTGTTTTCTTTCTGGACAATGTGTCTTCTGCTGGGGATGGGATCAAGAGCATCTACAAAAAGTCCTAAGAAAATTGCACCTCTGACATGGGTTTGCCGAGGAAGCTGGAGGAGGTCAGAGTGTACTCACATAAGCTAGACCTTGATATCAAACAGGTATTTCTTGCTTACAACATTTTGACATAATACTTGTTCAATCCCTTAATCATTGCCTATATCTATATGTTCATGGGACTTAAACAATCCTAATTCCATATTTTCTTGACTTTCAGTTGCAGGCTCCAAGAAGGCATTGTTGTGACATATTACCTTCTACAGGTGCCAAGTGGATATTTGCATTAGTTTATACTTTAGAAATTAATTTGCTAGTTTCGATATATATAGTTTATAGTTTATAGATTTAAAATTTTAATATATATATATATATTTTCAATAGTATGCGAAAATTATGTGTATAATACGTGAATTGTGTGTGTATTATTGAAAATTTTGTAAAAAATAAGTGTATTAAACATGAAACATAGTACGTACGTGTACAATATGAGTATTAAACGTGAAAATGCTAAATTCTTTATTAGAGTAATAACTCTGGAAAAGTAAAAACTCAAGAAGGTACAATAGAGACTCGGGTATTGGCCTAATAGTAATGTATAATGCTCTAAACTATCGATAAACAAAAATCGGGGAAAGACAATTTTTTTTTTAAAAAGTCACATTATTTATGAAAAGCGTATGGCCACGAGGCTATACTATTTATAAAAAATAAAAATAACAAAAACAACCCTAGTAAAGCCGGTCGGCTATACTGTTTAAAAAAAAATCCCGTGTATAGCAGCCCGGCTATACTATTTGTCAAAAGGAAAAAATAGGAACTCTTAGCGCCCATTCAAAAGGGTACAACCACGCGGCTATACTAGTTTTACAATTAAAAAAACCGCAGTACGGCTATACTATTTATTAAAAAACACCATTCTATTTGCATTAGTTTATACTTTAGAGATATTAATTTGCTAGTTTCAGTATATTTAATTTTTAATATATATTATTTTTATTCAATAGCATGTGAAAATTGTGTGTATAATACGTGAATTTTATGTGTATTATTGAAAATTTTGTAAAAAATCAATTGTATTAAACATGAAAAATACACACGTACGTGTAAAATATGAGTATTAAACATGAAAATGCAAAATTTTTTATATGGGGCTAATAACTCTAGAAAAGTAAAAACTCCAAAGTGTACCAGAGAGACTTGTGTAAAGGCCTAATAGTAATGGAAACTGCTCTAAACTGTTGATAAACAAAAATCGGGGAAAAAAGATAATACTATCCATGTAAAGAGTATTGCCGCGTGGCTATACTAATTAATAAAATTTTTTTAAAAAAAAAGACCCCTCTATAGCCGCGCAGCTATACTGTCTCTTTATTTTATAGAAAAAATCCCACGTATAGCCGCCCGGCTATACTATTTTGAGTGGAAGAGTTCAAATCTGGCTCAAAACTAAGCACCACAGGATGCTAGAGGAAAAGACCATGAGATTCTAGAGGTACATAACATATTAATGATAAAATAGGATGCTTATTTATATTTGAAGTATCAATGTGACCTCAAACGACATTGTTTTAGACTATTAGTTAACAATATCTTCACATAAAAAATAAATATAGAACACAAGGATTCACCGAAAGCCATATCATGTCTTAAGGTTTACATTCTATTTGATTAATACCTCAATTGATATTGCTTGTCTTTGTGCTTCTCTAAACCCGCAAACAGCTGTTGATATATACCTGCAAATTAAGACTCTTCTTGATCAAAAAAGACTCCTCAAGTTGCACATTTGCACTGCAAAAACTCCAAAACAAACTAAACAAACAGGCTCAGCACCACAACCTTAAAGAATATTTGTATGAGTGCAAACTCTGCCAACAATGCTCGTATAAACTAGCTTCTATCTTCATATGTCAAATTAAAATCCACATAGACAAAGAAGATTGAATATATACTTTCTTAGTACAATAGCTTTTTTATGGCTACGAAGTCATAATGACAGCAAACTATAGTTTCTCAACCGTTGCTATACTTTGTTTTTTCAAAGTATGGTTAACTTCACTCTATAATTTATATATCAAACTTGACAGAAGCTAAATCAAACAGCAATAATACACTAATACAAGGCTACAACGTAATTTTTTTAGAATTTTTGAGCTAAAATTAGAGTGAATCTTTACATACTGAAAAAAATGTATACATTACCTTGAGCTTTTTCCACAACAACACACTTAACAATTAAAGTCACCAACAGTTAAAGGCAACTTACCCCACAAAGAAACCAGCAATATGTACTAACAGCACAGAAAGAATAACCACCCCAACTTCTCCAGATAACACTGTCTGAGCATGAGCCATTAGAGACAGATCAGCTGGCAATGTTACAGCAACCATTGAAGCTTTGAGACGGACAAGATTCTCAGAGAATACACTGGCCCACAAAATAAATCTAGTATGTTTGAGAAAGAGAGCACATTTGGAAGGAACCACAGGCAAGACAATCATATTTTACATATAAGTAATTAAAAAGATATTTATATGCACAACAAATGTACCTGCATTCAAGCAGTGATGCAGCTAGAACAACAAAAAGTGGTGCAAAAGGTATCAAAATTTTAACCACTGCAGGAAATGCACTCTGCATATAATATTACTATAGAGATGACAGAATAGAGACCATAAGCCCAGCTGATGGATAATATTATTGAATGTACCTGCATTCAATAAATAACTCCTTCCAGTGAATGTTGTGTGATATAGGCACCGGGATAGAGCTGTTCATCGTATCAATATGACAAAAGCTGAAACCACTTAAAAATTGCAGATAACAAAGAAGTTGCAAAAGAATACAGGCTTAGAATGTTCTGATATTCTAGGAACTTACCTGCTCATCTGGCAATGAAGCTGGACCACTAGGTAGCAGTTTATAGTCTTCTCCAAAACCATCTGCAACTAAGGAGATGCGCACTTTAGAGTTTTCCTTTAGTTGATATTAGTATACTCTAAACTTGGTCTATATATAAGAATGTTTGCTTGGATGAGCACTCACCACCAGGTTTGGAGTCCGATTTCAACTGCTTTTCTGCTTCCTAAAAGTCATGTGGAACCTCAAATTCCTTGTTATTAGATTGGTAACAGACCATATTCATTGATAGTTCAGGAAATAGTTAAGTGAAAACCTTACCTTCTTCATCATTGTCTCTTTCTTCCATGTTTCTATGCCCTTCATTAAAGCTTTTGCCGCTGTACCTGCCAGAACTCAGAAGAATATCTAATAAGATTATTGGGCGTATTCAAAGTAAATAACGAATTTGTGTTCAAAATGTTATTACCTAAGAAGAGAATGATAAGTAGAACTGTGACCATCCAGTTGGCGAACAAGATGTTGAAGGCAACTTCTATGCTGATGCCTAGCATGAGCGTTGGCTGAAAGAGCAATGCCAGATCATAATCTATAAAGGGGCATGTCCAGTGTTGGGTGCCTGAGTCTCAAATTGAAGTATACTGTTGAACCTGCAGCACCCATTACCATACCTGCATGACCAATGGCATACAGTTCTTCAATTCTGTCTAAATTGAATACATTAAGATTAAATTAACAAGTTAAAAGAAAAGATAAAAAGGAAAAGTAGTGATTACTGACACTTAGAAATGGCAGTGGAAGACTTTGGGATCAAAACCAATGATCAAGGCAAGCAATGCCTCCACCCCCAACACCTCCCACACTACCCAATGCTGCACCAAAGAATCCAACTATTGAGCCAACTACAATTTTCCAACCAAACTTGATATCCTGAACAACCAAAATACACATGTCAAAGTCAAAATACCACAACAGTAAACATGAAAGGAAGAATCATAAAATCTTATTGGAACAAGTCAAAATACCCTAAAATTAGACATAAAAGTTATATCCCCTTTATGCTCTCTCTCTCTCTCTCTCTCTCTCTCTCTCTCTCTATGCGTGTGTGTGTTCTTGCTGGAGATGCATTAACTACGGTGTTTAAGAGAGATCAAACTCACTGGTGGAGCCAGTTTGAGGATATGTCTGCACAAAGTTCAGATACAGTTAAAATCATGGTGCTAATAAACCAAAAGGTTGTGGGAACAATGTAAGCATCATCTCTTTCTTTTCCAATTCTCAGAAATCTTCTTTAAAAGTTAAATCCTTGAACACACTGTCACTCATATCTGAATAAATGGGCTAGGCGGGGGCTAGGCGGGCGCTAGGCGGTCTAGGCGGGCTCTAGGCGGTCTAGGCGGTCTAGGCGGGCGCTGGCGCCTAGAAGAAAGAAAAGGCCATTTTGGAACTCCAAGGTCTGGGACGAGATGACGATGGTGATATGAGGTGACAGAGAGAGACGACGAAGAGATTGAAGAAGACGAGAGGTTGCGTGTTATGTTTAGGGTTTAGAAAAGGGCCTGGGCAAGAGAGAAGGGGCTGGGCTTCATAAAATACAACATTAAATGGATTTTGCATTATGAAATCACTAAAGTAACCACTAATAAGTAACAAATAACAAATAAATATTCAATACATAAAATTTCAGGTATATTGCGAATGCTGAGTATTGATACTACGGAGAATTCAAGAGACACTCTTCAAGAATATATCATAAACCAAGATCCATCGGAGCTATTCATCTATAATTTTGATAGCATATTGATCACAATGAACAATATCAACATCACAAACAAACTCGGGGAAGGAGGATTTGGTCCAGTTTACAAGGTGATTGTTTATTTGTTTTTCTCTTTCTAAAGGAAAATATAGTATCACACAGCTACAATAACAGATAAGGACATGAATGAAGTGATTAATTTGTAGGTACCCTACGAGAAGGGAAGGAAATAGAAGAGTTAAAAAATGAGACGTTGTTGATCTCCTAGCTCCAACATAAAACTCTTGCTATCATGGGCAGCTGCGTCAAAGAAGATGAGAAGATACTGATTTATGAGTTCATGCCAAACAGAAGCTTGGCCACTATTCTTCTATTTGGTTAGTTTCACTGGACTTTATCTTTGTAATTTGCCTACTAACTTAAAGCCACAAATGAATTCACATGAACTAAATGTTCGGGCACAAAGAATCAAAATTATTTTCGATTGATACAAAGAATCACTGATTTATTTGCAACACAAACAGTCAAGCAAGACATCCTGCAGATTTAATGCACATAAGTGTAAACTGAATTGTATACTACATGAGTACGTTTCAGTTCTTTATAAAGCAGAAGGGACAATGTTAAACTAGACCTGAAATCAATTTTGAATCTGATTACACCCTTGTTTCACTATTGTTCATACAAATGCGTCAGTATTTTCTGTAGAAATTTAAATGTAAAAATCTAGTGACAGTTTCATTGTTCAATGCATAGGATAGGATATATGAATGAAACTATTGGTTATATTTCGAATGCTTGCATTTAAAAGATCCAGCGCGGAGACCTGAGCTTGATTGGGGCAGACGCTTCAATATTATTCAGGGTATTTCTAGAGGGCTTCTTTATCTCCACCGTGAGTCTTATTTGAAAGTAATTCATAGAGATTTGAAGGTCAGTAATATTCTCTTGGATGAACAAATGAACCCAAAAATTTCAGATTTTGGATTGGCACATATCATTCAATGGACACAGAATATAACAAATACTCAAAAGGTTGTGGGAATGCTGTAAGCATCATTCCTTTTCCTATTCTTGGAAGAACATCAGAATTTAAATATCAATGTTCAGCATATTGCCATTCATATCAATATATTAGTGAATTTATACGGAACCAGCAGAGAATCAGAGATAACATGTAGGAAATCTGGCTGTACCATTCACTTTATTTGGAACCCTGCAATCTCAACTGAAATATTAGTTGCATGTCATTAAGATATAAATTCGGTGGCACTATTCTTAAGACCAGAAACAAAAGAAATACTGTCAGTTAATAGTAATATGAATGAAATTCCTTTGCAGTGGCTATATGTCTCCGGAGTGTGCCATGGGCGGGATATTTTCTGAAAAATCTGATGTCTATAGCTTCGGGGTCTTGATATTGGAGATTATTAGCAGCAGGAAGAATACCAGCTTCCATTACTATGAACAACATCTAGGTTTCCTAGCTTATGTAAGTTCACACTCTAAATCTTATAAATTGTTAAACAATCTATATGAAGCTAAATACATATATATGAAATTTTGTCAGGCATGGCACTCATGGAATGAAGGCAGGGGATTGGAGTTGGTTGATGAAGTATTGGCAGATTCATATTCCTCATCAGAAGTGATGAGATGTGTATGCATTGGGCTTCTTTGTGTACAAGACAACGCTGCAGATAGGCCAACCATGCTAGATGTAGTAGCGAGACAGATGGTCGACAACCTAAGCAGCCAATATTTACCTTCCAAAACTCTGTCTCTGATCCCCAACCACAGTCTGAAATTATTTTCTCAGCAAATGAAGCTACCATAACAATGATCGAAGGACGATAAGCAATATCAAATTTTTGCATTACAAATGTAATGACCTTTGTACAAAATAAAATGTAATGACCTTTGGTTATTCTGAAGTGTTCCTTCTCCATCAAGAAACTGATTATTTAATTCAATATTTAAATTGGGTTGGGTTCTAATTGAAGGTCAATCTAATTGGATTTGAAATTTTGAAAAACCAATTCATATTGATATGGAATCAGAGATTGAGTTCTAATATTCAATGGTTACAAACAACCAGGTGTTGACTGTTGACCAGATGTTTAAATTAGTGCATTTTGTACTTCACAAGTCAATCTGCAAACCTTTGAACTTCAAAAATTCACAAACTAAAGCATCTTAAACACCAAGAAACACTAATATTCACAACACAATCAGGCGGCCATACTATTTATTAAAACAAATGAATTTTAAAAAAAACCCCAGTATATCCTTGCGGCTGTACTATTTATTAAATTTAATTAAATAAAAAAAAGGACCCGCCTCATAGCACCTAGGCGGCCAATTCTTTTAATTTATTTTTTAGCCGCCATAGCCGCAGCACGGTTATACTCTGTGCGGCTGTACTATTTATTAAAAAAACTTTTGAAAAAAAAATCCACAATAAAAACTAACAGCATGAAAAGCACCATTGCACAAAATGATCATAGTAGTTTAGAGGATTATCCATTACTATTAGGCGTATGCGTTTTATTCGACAAAATTTTGCCAAGTTAGAATTGAAAAGTTCGGCCACTATACAATACTTTAATATAATTTATTTAAATATTTAAATATATATTATTTTTATTCAATAATATTTGAAAATTATGTGTACAATTCGTGAATTTTATGTGTATTATTGAAATTTTTGTATAATACACGTGTATTGAACTTCAAGAATACGTAGGTATGTACAATACATGTATTATATGTTTGCTTGTTTAAAAAAACGTGTATTTTACAGAGACTTTAAGATGTGTACGAAAAAGGGAAGTATTATTGAAAAATACATATGTATGTGTATAATACGAGTATTAAACGGGAAAATGCTAATATACGTGTAATAACTCTGGAAAAGTAAAAAATGAAAAGGGGACAATAGAGACTCAAGTAATGGCCTAATAGAAATGGATAATGTTCTAAACTAATCTTATCGATAAACAAAAATGATGGAAAAAAATTATAAATAAAAAAAAGAGGATCCCAATATATATTTAAAGAGTGTAGCCAATCGGCTATGAAAAAAAGGGACCCCAGTATAGCTGGCCAGCTAGCTATACTCTTTAAATATATTATCTTTAAAGGTCTAGCCGCGCGGCTATATGATTTATTTTTTTAAGAAAAAGAGGACTCACCTAGCCCCTAGGAACTGATTCTCATTTCGTAGGCATGCCATAATTTTGAACTCATACTCGTTTCCTTTGCTTGATCATTAATTTAAGCTTATGTGTAACATACACAAAGTTTAAGTTATATTTCTTCATGTAGTGTTGTTAATACGTGCTGCATGACATTCCTTTGTTGTTTTCTTGACTTTGAAGTTCCTATATCAAGAGGCTTTTTACGCTTTCAATGAATTTGTGACATAACAATTTCTAAGTCTTTGCGTTCTATCAAAAGTTTTTCTCATTGGATCAGCTTTTAACTTGTAACTTTCTTGGTTGACTTGTCTCACATAAGATCGAAGTTCTTAGTTATGATGACATTATGGAGTTGTGCTTCTTTCGGGCATGAGTTCGGAAGCCTTTTATCCAGCTATTGATGATGGTTTCTATACTATGCTTGGAGAAGGATAAGGAGCAGGTTACAACATTAATGTCCCCAGGGAAAATGGTCGGTGTGGGGATGCAGACTATTTTGCAGTTTGGGACCATATTTTGGTTCCTGGAATTGCAGCCAATAACACACCCTCCCTTCCCTGAAAAAAAAAGGGGCAATTCCAGAAAAACATGCTCTCCAAAACCAGATAATTTATGCATAAAACTACATAGAAACTAAACTATATTTCTCATAAATAAGAACACCTACAATATTTACCTTCAGAAAGTAAGATGTCAGCAATTTCATATTAACTGATTATGTACTATCATCTTCAAATATCAGCATCTATTTCTATCATATGGAATAATGTGGTCATCATATTTTGTTTGGCCTGGGTGATCATTATAGTTTATAATCGTCATAAACTACCATTCTCTTACAGGATAAACAACCAGTGATCTATAACAAATATCCAAAAAGCAATTCATGCGCACAAGAACCAATTGATCATCATATAAATTCCCAAAGAAAGGCTTGTAACTCACAGGTTAAGTAGCTTAGATGGTGCGGGACGTAATACAGTTAATGCCTATTTCCACTGCTACTGGTATTCAGATAACGAAAGAAGACGCTGCAAAATTGACAATTGCCATTCCCACTCGTCAATGAAATGTTTAGCAATTGACGCTCTCCACTCATACTTGTCTCCCACCCCTACTTACGCCATCACTTAGAGCATGATCTAGTTCAGTTATAAACTTGTAGTTGAAGGAAGACAGTGATGTAATATATCAAGTAGTTCCCCATGAAAGATACAACTAATTTGTTTCCCTCGTCACGTGTTAGATCAGTTTGCTCCGAAGCACATGTGTAATGTGATTCAGAATAGCTCCAAGGTGAGGCACAATGAGCCAAATTGAGAGAAAGATCATCCATATTTAAAAGCGAACTTATGACATTCGCCATCATGATCTGCATCATTGCAGAAGCATTATAAAATAATTACAATGAAGAACAGGAAAACAGATGCAGCAAACTAATAAAACTGATGATATATATCACAAACAAATTGAGAGCATTACATTTCAAAGGAAAACATGAAACTTCACCAGTCATAGTCCTTCATCACTCCAACCGCAAGAACAGCTAAATCCAGAGCATACCACATGTGCATAAGTTCAATATGTTGCATCCTACCATATAATAAAAGCATGTCAAATCCCAAAATGACAAAAATATGAAATACATTGAGTGCAAAATTCGTTTGTAGATCTAATTTAAGGGTTGGAGAAATCCATTTTTGGGATTGGGCCAAAATTCTCCCTTGGATGCATAATGCATTGGCCTTCTTCCATTTCATTCCCCTCCACCTCCCCGCCCCCGGCACACGCACACACACACACAACAAAAAAGACTCCCACAAACTTGCGAGCTACAACACAATATGATATTATTATTATATTAACGTATCAAAACTAACAAAAATAATATATTAGCTTCTCTTGGGGTGTGTTTGTTAAAGCATTTCAAAGACTACTTTGGTGTAACTCATGTTGATTGGACAGAGTTTTGGGCTGAATGTAATCTGATTTCATATGCCATGTCATGATTGTTGGTCCGATTTTGATGGTTTTCTACAAGATATCTTTGAAGACGAAAAGAACAAAGAAATAGTTTTCCTTTCTTTGTTTTCTTTCTAGCCCATCTTTCATGTAGGTTTTCTTTCACTGTTTTGAATAAGACACAGTTTTCCTTGTAAAAACAACAAAGAAATATACCAGAACAAGATTATTTTGAGAATTTTGAGGACTTACCCGAAGTGGACTTCGATTTCCAGTACGAAATTCTCAACAAAAGGGTCTAACAGGTGATATCGCATGCTATTTGTTCTTTAGCAGACAACATCAACGATAATTTTCAATTCCATGCTTGACTAGAATTGACGCAGGCAACAGAAGAGGCAAGATCAAGCCGATAACGTAAAGAATCACAAGGAAATTTTTGACAAATCGGGCTAGGCGGCGCCTAGGTGCTAGGCGGCCTGGGCGGCTCTGTGGTGGAATATAAAATTAGTTTCTTTAGGTTTTTTTATTTTCTTTTTTGTAATTAAACAATATCTTTGCTTTATTTTAATAACTTTTATTAGTAATTATGTTTTAATTATTATTTCTTTAGTGAACAATTAATATTAAATATTTTAATTATATTCATAAATTATATTACTTAATAAATAGTAATTATTATGTTTTAATATTTTTCGGACTTTAATTTTCATAAGGATATATTATTCTTTTTTGGAATAGCTAATTAATTAATATTTTTAATTGAATCTTAGTCTTATTTAATCAATATAATTACTAATTAGCTTTTAGTTATTATTTGTTTCATAAATTACTTATCAAATAGTAATTAATTTTTATGAATTATTTTGTGCTCTTAAAAACCAAGAAAGTGGTTACAACATAGTAAGTATGTCACATCTCAGGATCGGCTCCGCCGTAGCACGATATTGTCCGATTTGGGCCCCCCTTTTCTGCCCTCACGGTTTTGTTTATGGACTTACAATAAAGTTTAAGAAGAGAATTTTTATATATTTATTACCAATTTGACCAAAGCCGAAACAAAACTGGAACACAAGGATTCACAGAAAGCCGGATCATGTCTTAAGGTTTACATTCTGTTTGATTAATACGATCAATTGATATTGCTCGTCTTTGTGCTTCTCTAAACCCGCAAACAGCTGCTGATATATACCTGCAAATTAAGACTCTCCTTGATCAAAAAAGACTCCTCAAGTTGCACATTTGCACCGCAAAAAATCCAAAACAAACTAAACAAACAGGCGCAGCACCACAACCTTAAAGAATATTTGTATGAGTGCAAACTCTGCCAACAATACTCGTATACAAAACTAGATTCTGTCTTCATATGTCAAATTAAAATCCACATAGACAAAGAAGATTGAATATATACTTTCTTACAGCTGCAATAGCTTTTATGGCTATGAAGTCATAATGACAGCAAACTATAGTTTCTCAACTGTTGCTTACAAATTATGAATACTTTGTTTTTTCAAAGTATAGTTAACTTCACTCCATAATTTATATATCAAACTTGACAGAAGCTAAATCAAACAACAATAATAAACTAATGCAAGGCTACAACGTAATTTTTTTAGAATTTTTGAGCTAAAATTAGAGTGAATCTTTACATACTGAAAAAACGCTTTTTCCACAACAACACACTTTACAATTAAAGTCACCCCAACAGTTAAAGGCAACTTACCCCACAAAGAAACCAGCAATATGTACTAACAGCACATAATGAATAACCACCCCAACTTCTCCAGATAACACTGTCTAAGCATGAGCCATTAGAGACAGATCAGCCGGCAATGTTACAGCAACCATTGAAGCTTTGAGACGGACAATATTCTCAGAGAATACACTGGCCCACAAAATAAAATCTAGTATGTTTGAGAAAGAGAGCACATTTGGAAGGAACCACAGGCAAGACAATCATATTTTACGTATAAGTAATTAAAAAGATATTTATATGCACAACAAATGTACCTGCATGCAAGCAGTGATGCAGCTAGAACAACAAAAAGTGGTGCAAAAGGTATCACAATTTTAACCACTGCAGGAAATGCACTCTGCATATAAGAACCTAACAAAATTGGAGGAACAACGACCTACAGATGACAGAATAGAGGCCGTAGTGCTGATTGACTGTTTGGCAGCATCCACAGGGACGTAAGTCCCTCCCAATATCTTTGTTAGTAGAGGAGTCAGGGCTACTGCCCCAAGAGTTATGCATACCGTCATTACAATAGACAGAGGAACATCCCCTTGAGCATTTAAGGTCACCTGGAAGGCTATTTCATAAAAATCATTGAATGGAGTTGAATAAATGGCCTAGGCGAGGGCTAGGTGGGCTAGGCTGGGGCTAGGCTGGGGCTAGGCGGGCACTAGGCGGGCTAGGCGGTCTAGGCGAGCGCTGGGGCCTAGAAGAAAAAAAAGGTCATTTTGGAACTCCAAGGTCTGGGGATGAGATGACGATGGTGCTATGAGGGGGGAGAGAGAGAGAGAAACAAGGATTGAAGACGAAGAGAGGTTGCGAATTATGTTTAGGGTTTAGAAAAGGGCCTGGGCTAGAGAGAAGGGCCTGAGCTTCATAAAATACAACATTAAATGGATTTTGCATTATGAAATCACTAAAGTAACCACTAATAAGTAACAAATAACAAATAAATATTTTAAATCCAAAAAATATTATACTATTTGTTTAATATATAATTTATATATCCTTTTATTTTTCATGATTTTGGTATAAATTTATAATTTATAATACTAAATAATTTATTTAAAAAAGCATAGGCACTCGCATAAGCCCTGATTACTCCTTTAGGCGCTAGGCCCTTGCCTGCAGCCCCCTTACTGCATAGTGATTTTTCGAATATTGGGATTAACACGTTGGTCAATCGAGGTGTACCAGCACTTCAATTTACTACCCTGCAATTTTAACTGACTCCAATTCCCTTATGTTTGTGTTCATAATTAACTAAAAATTAGTTGCATTGCATGGCGTTTAGATTTATCTTTTCTAGCATAATTTTTCTCAAGACTATAAACAAAGAAACAATTTCGTCAGTTCTCAATTGATTGTACAGTGACTATATACGTCTCCAAAGTATGCCATGGGCAAGATGTTTTCTGAAAAATCTAATGGCTACAACTTCGGGAGTCTTGCAATTGGAGATTATTAGTGGCAAAAAGAATACCGACTTCTATTCCAGTGACCAACATATAGGCTTCCTAGCTTATGTAAGCTCACACTCTAAATCTTAATGCAAAATCGTATCTTTCATACAGCTTAAGCAACCTATATGAAGCTAAATGCAGCAGAGTTAACAATTCTGGCCAACATACATGAAATTTTGTCAGGCATGGCACTCATGGAATGAAGGCCGGGGTTTGGAGTTGGTTGATGAAGTATTGGTAGATTCATATTCACCTTCAGAATCTCATGAATTTCTATTTTTGAAACCCAAAGGCATTGCATATGCATGGGTCAAGTTTCAAATTGGCAAGCACATGGAATTGCATACAATTATATTGGATTTTTGCCTCAGTTTAGGTTCCCATTATGTGCCCATTTTTTTCACAAACATGATCCAATTGGTATTTGGTATAACAAACACAAGCAACATATACAAGTTTTGGCATGCAGCTAGCATACCAAATTCACAAAACGTAAGTGGGGATAAAGGGAGCCAAGGTCCCAAGAAGGAGTTGTCCAAAAGATGCAACTCGCCACACAAAACTCTCGTATGGGGACTTGGGGGATTTCTATTTGTGAGGTAAAATATACCTCTTGGTGGGCTAAAGTACAAAATGACCCAGTTGAGCTCAGGTCCAAGTGGTCGGGTTGAGCTCGATATCAATGGACAAGCTGGGCTTGAGCCTTGGGCGGGATTTCTCCGGAGTATGAGTGCATGATAACTTTTTTAGAGTTCCAACTGTTCACATTTTTTTTTAATAAAAAATTTCAGAGAAATATTTATCACAATGAGTCTAGCATATGGAACAGGCCAGGAGATTGTATAAGTTTCAGTTTGTGTTTAGGTTTAAAGTATTAATAGAACAACATGTCAAGGCAATATGGAGAATTGGAGAAAATTTCAAACCACACCATTTATAATATGATTCATATTCCTCCTCAAATAAAGTTATAATCTATCATAAAACATATACTTTTTTCTTTTATTAAAAAAAACACGAACTACATCTGACTGTATATATAGCCAATCAATGAATTGGTAATTGCGTAGGCAAGAACCTAAGGTATATAAATATCCCCTCAACAAGAGCCTTGATTAATTGACCTAGGAGAAAGTATCCTAAACGTGAAGGGAATGATAAAAGTGAAAGTTTATTGCTTTCATTCGACTTGTTGTTTGCCCCATAATTGTCTTCCAGTTTTTTAGAATGAAGGGCATAAGGAGAATTGTTGATGATCCTGCAAAAACAAAAATCATGTGTAAAGTGCTATGTAAATTGATCAATTATAATTAAATATTTTATGTGTTTTGAAAAAAATCAAATATTTTGTGCCTTAAGAATAAATAAATAGAAACCATGTTAATCTTAATTTTTTTCTAGGGCTACAATGAAAGGGCAAACTCTAGCTATTGATGCCAATCAATTTGCTCATTATACGGTTAAAAAAAACTCGATCTCCTTTCATATTTTTTTCCTTTCTTTTCTTCTATTATTTTTTCTTTTTTCAAACGGTAAAAAAATTGTTGACCATCAATTATTTAGGCAGGTATAGTGAGCAAATTTATGGGTACCAACATCGTTTTCTCTATGAAAATAGATATGATCTTCGGCATGTATGGATTTAGTTTATAAAGTATGATTTTGGCACTGTAGTTTGGATGAAGTTCCAATTTGGTAAAAGTTTCCATTCTCGATATATAACTTTAGTTTATTGCAGTCTATGTACAAACAAAGACATCTTTACCTGCCACGGCGCTTTTCAAGAAAAAACTGCAAGGAATATCTTCTTGCCATTGGAAGTCCTGAAATAGGTAAAGGAAAAAACTAGTTAGGGAAGATCTGTCAAAGAAAAACTAGAGCAAATGTGATTAACATTATTCCTTTTGTGAAGACTAAAGATCAACTAGCAGTCGTTTCCAAAAAAAATATCAACTAGAAGACACAAGGATGATTTTGCAGGGGCGGGTGAAGTTAGGAAGCTGGCGTGTAGACAAAGAAATTTTGGCGCAATAAATTCCATTAGATAAGAAAAATAATTAGGGTTTGATGGATTGAATTTTGGTGACATCCGACGGAGTACATCAAACGGTTCAAAGTGAAGACAAAATTAAAGGAAAGAACTTCTGTGATTGACTTAAATCAAATATTAATCAAGTCAATCAATCGAATATAATTTGGTTAAATTGCCAAATTATTGGAATTGATTTTAAATCAAATCAGAATTCCACAAAGGAATGTCTTAAAGAAGAAAAGCTATTTAGGTCAAGCATCCTGCAGGAGCCTATAAATAGGAGGCCTCAAGACGAGAGAGGGAGCTTAGACAGACCAAGCATTCAGAAGAAACATAAAACTCTCTACATTCTTCACCTCACTTTGGAAGAGCCATCAAGCACAACAAATACATGCCGGTTCCTCCATCCTAGAAAAATCCAAACACCAAACAAGCCTTGTGCTACCCATTTGATCAAGATCAAGTCTCTACGACCCTTGTATCAAACACAAATTTTCTTTAAACATTTTGGAGATCGAATAAGAGAATTTAATACAGAGATTGTAACCCTAAATTTCATTAATACAAATATTATTTGTACACGTGTTCTTGTCTCATTTGTCGCAGGAAATTCATGTTTACAATATTCATTGTAAATTGTTCTCCTTTAACCTTTTTTTTATGGCAAACCAAAAATCACTTGATATATGAGCAATGCTGAGTACTCAATACACAAAATTTCGGGTATATGATGAATGCTCTTAACTAATTGAGATACATGTCGAAATGAACTACTCATCCCTACTCTTATTTTGGAAACTGATAGTGATTTGGGTTTGAGAGGTGGTTTTTGCCTGTTTGTTTTTAACCTTTCTACAACAAGAGGTTTGACCGATGAGTTTTCACTGGCAAGACGCATAATCGCTTGAGCCTACAATGACAATATCTATGGGAATCAATATAGCGGATAATTTTATATAATTATTCACAATTTGGTAAGGATTAACATTATAATAAATTGTTTGAGAAAATTATTTACAAATTTATAAATAAACTCAATCCTAGACATGTATTTATAAAAAAACCCAAACACTATTTAAACATAGAAACACACCCAAAATCAACAATTGTATATTTTTTGGGTGTGTTTATAAATGGGTTTTGAGTGTGTGTAATGATGGGTTTTGGGTGTGTTTATAAAGTGTTTTGGGTGTTGGGTTTTTTTATAATTTCAGCCCTCATTTTGGGTGTTTTAGTGAAACTCTCATTATTTTATCAATGTCCATATTTTAGTCTTTCGATCTTTTTTTATTCAGTGGCTAAAAAGTACGTTGGATGTTTCTTTTTCTCAATAAATTATTTTTATTTAATTTATTTTTTTTTGCATTACAGAAAATTTTAGTTTTGAATTCAAAAGACAACTTGCAAGAATGTTATAGGTCCTTCACCATGACTTGGGCCACGTTGTTTATGTCTACCAAAAACAAAAATGAAACACTTGATGAGAAACACAAATTAAACACCATAATTAAAATGATTCATACACAAAAACTCGTTCTCCACAAATTCATACTTATGGTACGTGAGTCTTCTTACAAAACAAATAACGAAAATGTAGATAGCATAAAAGTTGAGTCTCCATTATTTCACTGCTTGGAGTTTTCCATTGTTGCCAACGGTTCCAAGCTTTTCCTTCTTGTTGATGACTTTGTTGTACAAAGCTTTTCGTTTCTTGTGAGCCTCAGTTGGAAGTTTGACCTCTGTGGCCAAACCAAGAGCTTGAAGAAATCGTATCAAATACCAAGTAGTATCAATTTGCCACCATTCAAGACCTTGCCGAGCTGAGTAGTCAAATGCATGGTGATTGTTATGCCAACCTTCTCCATGTGCTAGCAAACCAAACAACCTAATTAACAAAATTAAAATTCATTACACATTTGCTATTATACCCATCCAAGTTGGAGATTATTGTCTTCCATCCAAATCCAACAGACATATCTATACAACAAAATATACCAATTGTTTCTGGATGAATCACCGGTATCCCATACTTGCGTTCCCCATGTGTGACAAATCGAATTTATTGAGAAAGTAACGTGGACCATATAGACCATTCTTACAGCCTACAAAAAGAAAAGAGCATAATAGACTAATCAAAGTGATCGCCGTGATTGACAACAAATGAAAATGAGCAAAGTACGACTAGTATAGTGGTTTAGAGCATTTGCTCTCTCATGAAAGGTTTTGAGTTCGAGTCCTAGCATATGTGTAGTTTGTATGAATGTAACATGTTATCGTCCCTCTCAATAAAAAAGATCCTTTAATAAAAACAAAAAAAAACAAAAAAAAAAAGGCAAAGCTACCACACCATGTAAATTTTTCTATTTGACCATTGATATTAGAGATTTTGCTCCTTAATTAAGGAGGCATTTAATTTGTTTGTTCTTTCTTCACTTGATCAAAAGGACAATATTAGTAAATAAGACAAATCTTACCATTCCCCAAACTAAAAACGGTAGCCCCCCTACGACATACAGTAAAACTCCAAGAGCCACTGAGTGAAAGGGGTATGTGTAATGAAGAAATATGTAATAGGGCTGCTTTTTCAAATCTCCAACATTATTTAGTCGTCCTTCATACTGCAAAATTTCGAGATTTATGATTAGTTTAACTAAATTTTAATATTGGTATGTCTATTTACACGAGGGAAGTGTGTGAGAGATGAGAAAACTTACATGTAACAAGAAAAGCATTGTTTTCTGGGTCTATACGTATATTTCTGGAAGAAAAGCAATTATTTTTCTTGGGTTCTAATGGCTGCCTAATTACAACGCTGAAGCATAAATTTGGTAAATTAATCAGCTGTAAGTAAGTTTTTCAACTACACACCCATGCAACGCGAAAATCTGGTGAATCTAAGGAAGTGGCAGAGTAACAATTTGCCATCAGTCAAGTTTTGGCTTCCTTCTTCAATTTCTTCTAAATAAATTCTTTTTCTCTGTTATCACCATTTTGGTCTTAGCCAATTATTGGGCCACTCTGGTCCTGCACCCCTTCTAGCCCATAAGAAGGAAAAAAAGGCCCTACTGAACATTTCAAGTGGGCTTCGGCGAAACTCAGATAAAAACTAACCCAAAAATTCTGAAGCTGTTTTCTGAAAACCCTCCGCTTTCTGAAAACCCAAAAATTCTGAAGCTGTTTGCATTCTCATTTTCTTTTTAATATTTAAATTGCTCTGTATTTAACTTACATGACGAGCATTTTTTTCTGGGTCTATATGTATATTTCTGGAAGAAAAGCAATTATTTTTCTTGGGTTCTACTGGCTGCCTAATTACAACGCTGAAGCTTAAATTTGGGTTCTTCTGAGCTTTACTAACTTCAATTTCGTACTCATTTTTCTTGTCCTGCTGTATATAGTTTGTTAATTTACTGTGTATTTTGTTTTGCCTGCATTTGAGTAATGGTTGTTTCGTTTGTTCATTGCCCAACATTTTCAACACACTGATTTTCTTGTGGCCATGAACCAGAATGCTTAAGAGGTATTCGGAATGTGGTTCAGAACAATATGTTTCCTATGGAGGACGCTCAGTCACGTAGATCTTGATAGGTGTCAACCTTCTAAAATCCCAAAGCTGAAAATTTTGCAGCAGAAAACACAAAATCAGTAAAAATACAGAAGCTACAACTCAATAGAAACCAACCTCTGAAAATATTGAAACCACAGATGACCCAGAATTCCATTATTATGTAAAAATTGAAAAGCTAAAAAGAGGGCAAGGAAGAGAATGTTACGATCTGCGGGGTCTTTGGAGATGCGCTTGACGTGAATCGCAGAAGAGAGCTCCATGAAAAGGTCGGTGGCTATCGCCGACTGAGAAGTCCACCGCCCTCCCCAGAGTCTCTTGAAACCTCGCAACACCAAACGGCACCGTTGTAGCCGCCATAGGTGCCGTTCAAGTCTCAAGAGACTCTAGGAAGAGCGATGAACTCTCAGTCGGCGATAACCACATTGTCGGCGAACCAGACAGTAGGTGTGTGGTCTTTACCGCAGGAGAAAAGGAGATCCCCCTTCTTGTTGTATCTGAGAAAAAGAAAGAGAATCGGGGGACTATCTCTGACTCAGGGCCTCTGAGAGGCGAAGACAGAGAGATGAGAGAGCTGGGTAAGATTCAGTTTGGAGGCGCCTGGGTAGGTTTTAGAATTAGAGGAGAGTGAGAACATGTCACTTTATATATGCGTGTTTTTCTAGGGTTTCAAAGTAAACGGGTTATTGGGTTGTAAGCGGGTTATTGGGTTATTGTGTGTATATATATATATATATTTTTTTTTTTTTTTTTTTTTTTTTTTTTTGTTTGAAACGGTCAGAAAGGTGAAGTCTTGATTAATTTGGGACTTATCGGTCGCATGAAAGATAAGAAACGCGTAGTGGCTCGGGTTCAGCACAAATGAAGGTCTATAAACAGCTCTGTTGTATAAGAACTGGCTTGGAACACCCATGTTGTAGATTTTGAGGGCATTTGATGTAAGATGTACAAGCCATTCAAATAATGTCCTCTACCAAGCCCAGATGGGTTTAGAGGCCCAGACCTGTGTGCACCCAATTCGCAAAGAATAAATTTACAGATTAAAGATTAATTGCCATCAGTGGCGGATCCAGAATTGAAAAGCCAGTTGGGCGGAATTTACATTATTAAACTCGACGGTACGAGTAAATTTCATTAATAATAAAAAAAAGATACACCTAGTCAGGGGGGACGTAATAACCCTTACCCTCATAATACATCATAAATAAATAAATAAAAAAAAAAAAAAAAAAAAAAAAAAAAAAAAAAAAACCAAAAAAAAATAAGTAAATGTACAAAACATCACTAGTTAAATCTAAAATTTTACCCTGCGAGACTTAGAAATCTTAAATTCCTCAATTATCGATGCATTAGTGATACTATTAGCAAACTCTCTTTCAATGTGAAGGGTCATGCAATCAGCAAGAAACTCATCAGCTATGGTGCTTCAAAGCCGGTTCTTAATAATTCTCATACATGAAAAAGCTTGTTCCGTTGTTGCTGTAGAAACGGGAAGAGTCAACACCAACCGAATCAACCTGTTGATCAAACAATAGTTCTCTACCAAACTTGTTTCAACTAATTGTTGACATAAATGAGGAAGAGTGTTGGTTTCCTTAAAGCAAGGAAGGCGATGTACATCATTTTGAAAATACCTCAACTCTATTTCCAAATCTTTCAACTCATTTGGAAGGAAATCAGCAGGATAGAATTTCTCAGCAAGTTTACATATATGCTCAATATTAAATGACTTGAATGAATTGCGAGGATCCAATGCTGAGCTAAGAATAAGAAGTTCAACTGTTTGCTCTGGAAATCTGTCATTTAACTCCCTTAACATGCAATCTATAACATCATTGAATACATCAACGCGATAGTAATGCTCAAATGTAATAAAATCTTTTTGTTGACAAGAACGATGTGTGCCCGTCATATAACGAGCACTCATATCAGGAACATCAACACCATGTAGTTCACAAAATGATACCACACTACAGAATAAATCATCCCAACCATGTACCCTCATATCTTGAAGCTGCATTTTTGTGTTTTCAACAAAATTTAAAGCACTTACAATGTCTTGAGTTTTGGCCTGAAATACTTGACAAAGAAAATTGGTCAATCCCATAATTTTATCCATCAAAACCAATGAAAACACAAACTCAAAAGACATCATAGCAATATAGTTACTCTCAGCATCTCCACGAAATTGTTGGTTTGGTCCATGATCACTGATTTCTTGAATAAGTAATTTAGTCTCTTTAAATAAACACATCAAACTTGTAATAGAGGCATAATGAGAGCCCCAACGAGTGGCTCCAGCTCGTTTCAAACTACGAGCTTGATTAAGTCCTCTACCTGTCTCAAGTTCTCCAGAATCCAACAACCCATTGAGTTCAACTTTTCTAATTAAGTTTAACTCACTACGGCGCTTAGCAGAAGCACTAACAAAATTCACAATGTTAGTCAACATTGAAAAAAACCTCTATAAAACTTTCACATCTTTAGCTGCACCATTTAATGCCAATTGCAAGCGATGGGCAAAGCAATGCACATAATATGCATATGGACAATCTTGAAGAAATAATGCTTGTAAGCCATTCCATGAACCACGCATATTACTAGCACCATCATACCCTTGACTACGCATGTTTTCCACTAGAATGTCGTTATTACCAAGCACTTTGCATATCTCTTTTTTAAGAGTCAAGGCATTAGTGTCTACAACACTCACAATATCGAAGAAGCGCTCACGAATAAATCCATCACAATCAACAAATCTTAGAATAATAGCCATTTGTTCCTTACCAGATTCATCAAGTGATTCATCAACTAAAAGACAAAATTTGTTCTTCCCAAGTTCCTTACAAATTGTCTTCCTCACCTTGTTAGCAAAAATATGTAAGATTTGCTTTTGTATGTCATGCGCAATGTATTGAGCATTTTGAGGAGCCTTATCAAGGACAACTTTCTCAACTTCTATATTCATTCTTGCAAAAGACTTTATGATTTCAATGAAATTGCCCCCATTAGATGAGTCAACGGATTCATCGTGGCCCCGAAAAGCCAATGCTTGATTCGCTAGGTACCTAATGCCCTCTATTGTGGTCGTAAGTCGCAACCGATTTTCCATCACTTGTTGCTTTGATTGCTTCTCTACCACTTTTTCAATATGAAGAGATGGAGTTTTTAAGCTAATCCACTTTTGCATAGCAAGATGATGTGGTGAATTTAACTTGCCTATATGATGTTGAAATGCACATTGATTCCCACCAATTCTCTTCCATTTTTGATACCCATCAACAATAAAGGTTGGATGTGACTGATTCATGTCAAAAATGAAGCAAGGAAAACAAAATACCTTATTCTTAGCAATTGAATACTCAAGCCAAGTGAATTGACCAAACCACTTTTTATTAAATCGACGAAAGTCCCGCCCTTCTAAGTGGCTTGGATAATCTTCTAACTCAGGTTGACATGGTCCTAAAAGAATATATGCTTTTCGCACATTATCTTGTTCATTCACCGGATATGTGCATATTAGACGACGTAATCCCGGATCACGCTCAAGATAATTGATATTAAAATCATGATAATCATCGACTCTTTCATATTCAATTCTTTCAACTTGAGGCTTGATAATAGGAGACTCGGGAAGATTTTGCTCATCACATATTGGAATAGATAAAGAAGAGCTAGAAGGCAATGTACTAGATGATGACCCATCATTCTTTTTCTTAAAAAAAGAGAACAAGTTTTTTGTTCTCTTGGGATTCCGATTGTGATCCGACATAATCAAAGATAACCTATGAATAACATGTAAAATAAATAATTTAAATCAAACATACCAACAAAAAATCAAACAAATTCTAATAATAATAGAATCTCAACAATATCAACAAAGAACAAATCAAACATTAAAACATCTCAACAAAATTCCTAAAATCAAAGCCCTAATTAATTTCAACAAAATCACAAAATTATAATTCAATATCTAAGTAAACCCTAGAATATTGAATTTTAAATTAAAACTATAATTGAAGACATATAGAAAATGAGAGAATTAGAAATTACTTGTTGTTGTAGAAAGAAGAGGACAAGATTTTGCCAAGTTGCCCACTGCCCAGCCAATATAATAGGAAGATGCAGAAAATAAAAAGGGAAAAAGGAAGCTGTTGTTGTCGTTGGGGTCTGTAGAATGGAAGAGAGAAAAGCTGCGCCAAAAGAAAGAGACAAAAGCTGGGACCACTTTGAAGTTGGATGGGCGTGTGTGTACATTGGGTTAGCTTTTTAAATTTTTAAAGTTGGGCTGCCCATATAACATATATAGGTTTTTAAATAATAATAAAAACTTTGGATGGGCGGGCACCCACCCTGCCCTTTACACAGATCCGCCTCTGAGTGGAAGTTTGATAATAGTCAAACTCACTAGCCAAAAATAAAGGGCATAAATTAACTTACCCACAAGGTCCATCGTTAGATTCTACCATCTCACGTATATTCTTCTGTCTAATCCCTGGTAAATCCATTGCAATGTCCTTCAGCTTGATAGCAGCATTTCTGTCCAAATGCTCCCTTCGATACGTTTGCCCCTAAGCTAAGACACAGAACTCCATCGGTGTAAAGTTCTCCCTACCATTTTTCCCCAAATCCAAGCAGGGAATGTTTTTGTACTGGATCTCCTTGTGTTTTTCACTGAAATAATCAAGAAGTCTAACTTTCCTAGGTGGACACTGGCCATCTATATCTACAGCATCAAATGTAATATCTCCTGCATTCTCATAAGTCAGCCCCTTGATGATGTACTTTTGCTTGGTTTTCCGGTGAGTCACAGTAACTTTCAATCCCCTCAATACACCCACAACAGCTCCCCTCAACCTAGTGAAATCTTCTAAAGTAAAACCCCTTATTCGCTCTTGAAGAAAATCTATAACTGGCATGCACTTATGAAATGCCACTGCTAAGTAGTCAAGACACAAAGCAGGACCCTGGGAAGTCAGCCTTAAGCTATGCCAAAACCCTCTAAATGCAGCAGCACCATGTCCAAGGTCGTCGTCTTCATTAGATTTAGGGGGGTAAAAGCATCGCCCAACAGAAACCAAGCACCTAGTTGGATTTTCTTTCATCACCAAACTCATACCCTGCAATATATCACCAGGGATAGACAACACGTGGCCACTCAAGTACTCCTTCAACTTGCAAAGCTTGAGCTCATTTACCAACTTTATGGTAAATATGTATGAACTGAACCGTGTGTTTTCTTCCGCAGGAACTTCCACCTTAAATGATTCAGTGGGCAACGGCACTGCACTGAAGATGTTTTTTCCACCATCATATGCTGTACTTAACAAGGGAAAATCCGAAGGATTATCAGAGGATAACTTCTTCCATATTGTAGAGAGTTCGTCCTTCGACATTTTCACAGAACGGCCATTCTTTAGCTTGATATGAACATTATAATGCCTTATAATAATATCGGGATTGTATGAGAGAGTAAAATGATTGACATAAAGACTAATAGTTCTCATAGTTTTTGTACCTCCATTATCGGGCCGTTTAATTGGGATATTTTTGTCTGAACTGTCCAACAAAGATGAAGGAGCCGCTCTGGGCACCCACGCTCGGTTGGGAGCAGAAGTTTTCCAAGGAGAAGGCCTCCCTGGCGCTCCACCACGACCGCCTCTTCCTCTCTCTCCTCCTCCTCCACCACCTCTACCTCCACTTCCTCTGCCTCTACCTCTTCCTCCTCTTTCCATTGGAGAAAACTCAAAAACGGAAAGCAAAAATAATACGGACTGAGCGAGAGGGAGAAAGTTCGGATACTTTAAAGGGCCTTGGCCAGCACTAGCACGTAAACTCTTCCTTCACAGATCTTTGAGTCAAAGATATGCCGATTCTCTGTGGTGTACCACTTTTTTAAAATTAAATAATCGATACGATATTTATAATTGGAGGGAAAAAACACCGATGTCCCCACCAGCTGACGTAGTCTATCAGCGGTGGCTTTTTGACAGCGTCGACACACTTATTTAACAGAAGATTAAATAATAGGATTCGTATTATTTTTATTCATGAGTGTAGAAAATAGATTCTTTTCATATTTACAATTCACGGGTACAGGCCTTATATACAGGCATAGGAGGTAGGTAAATGGTTTACAACGGTAGTGTAGTAATTATATCAAACCTAAATGCTGTAATTACAATACAATAAAGCTATAATTAAGATACAATAACAATGTAACGGAAATACTCCTTGAATAGGCATAACTATGATTGAATGTCATGATTGTGATGGTAACTCCCTAACACTCCCCCGCAAACTTGACGCCGGATAGGTGACAAGGTTGGACACAAGATGCGCAAAACGGGCTGCAGGTAGGCCTTTTGTGAATACATCAACAAGCTGATCTTGAGATGAAATGAACCGCACTTGATGACTACCAGCAGTAAGACGTTCACGGATAAAATGATAATTAATAGCAACATGTTTAGTGCGAGAATGAAAGACAGGATTGGCAGCCATGTAGGTTGCGGATAAATTGTCACAATGAAGAAGAACTGGTTTAGAAAGAGAGAAGTGAAGCTCATGAAGAAGACTCTGAATCCAAATTGTATCAGCACAAGCATGGGCAAGTGCACGATATTCGGCCTCCGCACTGGAACGAGATACAGTGCGTTGCTTTTTAGCACTCCAAGATATAAGAGTCTTGCCTAAGAAAACACAATACCCAGTGGTGGAGCGTCGAGTATCGGGACATCCAGCCCAATCAGCATCAGAGTATGCAACAAGAAGAGAGGGGGCAGGAGAAAGGTGAATGGGTAGACCATATCCAAGCGTGCCTTTCAGGTAACGGAGAATGCGTTTGACAACCTCAAAATGAACATCAGTAGGAGAGCCCATAAATTGCGAGACATGTTGAACGGCATAGGAAATGTCGGGTCGTGTGAAGGTTAAGTATTGCAAGGCACCCACAAGTTGCCGATAAGGAGTGGGATCTGAAAGTGGTGAACCATGAGAGCGTGATAGAGAGGTTTTGGAAGCTGTAGGAGTAGTCGCAGGTTTGCACTCAAGAAGGTTGCTGCGTTTGAGAAGATCAAGAGTGTACTTGTTTTGAGTAAGATGAACTGAATCCGGCAAATAAGAAACTTCCACACCCAAAAAGTAATGCAATCTGCCAAGATCCTTGATTTCAAACTCAATGCCCAATCTGTGAATGAATGTACGGAGTTGATTGGAGTTGCTACCTGTAAGAACAATATCGTCCACATAAAGTAACAGAATCATCATAGAATGTGCATCTTTGTAAACAAACATGGAGGAGTCAGCTTTGCTATTAACAAAACCAACACGAAGTAGGAATGAGCTAAAGCGGTGAAACCAAGCACGAGGGGCCTGTTTGAGACCATAGAGAGCCTTATGAAGCTTACACACATGGTGAGGACGACTAGGATCAACAAAACCAGGAGGTTGTTGCATATAGACTTCCTCAGTAAGCAAGCCATGGAGAAAAGCGTTTTTGACATCCAACTGTCGGAGAGACCAACCAGAAGAGACAGCTAAACTGAGCACAATGCGAACAGTGGTAGGTTTCACAACGGGACTGAAAGTATCGAAGTAGTCCACACCGGGTTGTTTGTGGTAACCCTTGGCAACAAGCCTAGCTTTGTGACGTTCAATAGTCCCATCAGAATGGCGTTTGACTCGAAAGACCCATTTACAACCAACGGTATTGAAATGAGGGGAGGAGGGAACTAAAGACCAAGTCCCTTGTTTAAGAAGAGCATTGAACTCCTCAACCATAGCATTTTTCCATTCAGGAAAGCGAGAGGCCTGTGTGTAAGAAGTAGGTTCATCATCAGTAGTTAAAAAAGCAGCAAAAGCCTGAGGCAGGGGATAACGGGTGGAGAAATTGGCATGATATTTGGGATTGGGTTTATGTATCCCAGATTTCGAGCGAGTGTGGACTGGGCTGGAACGGGAGAGTGGTGGGTGAGTAGAAGCAGCAGAAGGTGCAGAGGCAGGGGCTGTGTCTACCGCTGCCGTTGAGGATAAGGAGGAGGACGGAGGCTCGAGGGCTGGTCCAGCGTCTGGAGCAGTCGGGCAAGATGGGATGTTGTGACTAGCGCTGTCGGATGCTGTGAGCAGCATGGCGCGCGATCCGAGGAGGTCGGGTGCAGGGTTGGAGGATGGGAATAGAGGCACGGGATCAGGGGATGGAGGCGTGATGGCTGAGGAAGGAGAGAGGACAAGTGATGAGGTATGAGAAGTGGCTTCGGGGTGGGTCAGGTTGGTGGACGAAGGAGGAAGATGCTCATGGGCTGAAGGCAAAGGGGGGAGGGAGGATTGGGCCACAGAGAAGGAAGGAGGGCTGGGTTGGGCCGTGGTGTGGGGTTGAGGGGAGGGGCTAGAGCTGGGCTGCAGGAGGTGTGGCTGGGCTCCTAGGGTTGTGGCCTGGGCCGGGTGTACTATGGGAGGATTTGATGCTGGTGGGGGTAGCGGAGAGAGCAGAGGCTCAGGGTCAAGGCCAGCAGGAACAATATCGAAGGTGGAGCGAAGCAGACTCATGAGATATTGGTCAGTTTGAAACCAAGTAAGATACTCAGGATTGGGCATGGGAGCAGAAGAAGGAATGTCGGTTGCTTTGGTGGAATCAGAGGAAGTATCAGAAGAGAGGTAAGGGGAGGGGCAGACATAAGAGCCATCAACGAAACGCCACCAATTTTGCCCAATAAGAAAGGGCTTGAGTTGACTTTCCCAAAGTAAAAAGTTGGATTCTGAAAGTTTATAAGAGGCAAAGGAGGAGATGTTAAAGGGGAGAGTGGGACTAGTGAGAGAAGAAGACGAGGAAGCGATTGTAGAGGCCATGAGAATAGAGAAAGAGTAGAGAAAAAAGGGAGAGACGAAAAAAAAAATAGATATATAAATTGCCTAGGCTCTTGATACCATGTAGAAAATATATTCTTTTCATATTTACAATTCACGGGTACAGGCCTTATATACAGGCATAGGAGGTAGGTAAATGGTTTACAACGGTAGTGTAGTAATTATATCAAACCTAAATGCTGTAATTACAATACAATAAAGCTATAATTAAGATACAATAACAATGTAACGGAAATACTCCTTGAATAGGCATAACTATGATTGAATGTCATGATTGTGATGGTAACTCCCTAACAATGAGAAAGGTGCGTAAAATCCCCATCTTCATTCATAATAGGATTCGTATATTTTTATTCATGTGTTGATTTATGTTAGTTCACTTGCAACTGGGAATGACATTCATAGCTTTAAAATAATAAAAATTGAAAGCCAAGAATTTTGAACTTGTCCGGTTCAAGTACTGAGCCATTAACTCTTACTAAATGCTTATGGATTTGTTATTTTATCTTTCCCACTTTAATGCTCCCATTTTGTATTATCTAACATACTTATGTGTAAATTGTGCAAATTTCAGCTACTGAAGATTCCTCTGGTGAAGACATTCCTGAAGAAGAAGCTGTTGGCAGGATTTGTTTGGTTGGGCCTTCACAAGGTGGTGATACTCTTAAAATGGAGTGCAGCTGCAAGGGAGAGTTGGCACTCGCTCAGAAAGAATATGCAGTAAAGTGGTTTAGCATTAAAGGGTACAAGACAGAATTGATATCAAAGTATGCTGCAACCTAAAGCTTGATGTTGAAGTAATCTGAGTCAAAGTGAGATCATCTAGACGTTCGTAACTATCCTCACCTCCACTTGAGAAACTGACAGTTACAAAATAAATAAGATAAACAAATCATTACGCAAACAAAAGGACAGTAAAGCTAAAATACTTTTGATTACAGAAATGTGAAATTCCTGTCCATGACAATTTTCTCAATGCAAACTCTAGCACCCTTTTAAAGACTTTTAACCAGGTAAATACGCCGGATAACATGTATAAAAGTTATGCACAATTTCATATCGGTTTTATAGTTAAAAATAACTTTTTGTAGCTAAACAAATTGTTCATGTACAAATATATCACAATGAATACTTAAAATGCAGTCCAATTCTAATTAAGAAGAATTTGCTCCTTATGTATTCATGAAACCAACAAAACCAAGTATGGGATTGAACTGTACCTCTGTCCATCAGGATTGAAAGCCAAAGCATTTATAGGTCCAAAATGCCCTTTAACACCTCCAATCTCTTCTTGAAGAACCTATACATATGTCATTGGGGAAAAAAATGATGTACTGAAGTGACAACAACCGACTACAAAAAATATAAACAAAAGTAGTAAAGTTTACCTCGTCATAGAATTTGGCTTCGAATTTCCCAGCACGATGATCAGTTGTGGTGACAGCTGATGCATCCTGACCACCACCTAGTACCACCTGGACAGCACATAAGGAATTTTGTTTTGAGAAAAAGAAAAAGACTTGTATAATGAACAAGGAAAAACAGTGCATATAAGGAACGTGTCTTCAGTAAGTATCATCCATTCATCAAAATCCCAAATTGTAGCTAAACAAATTGTTCATGTACAAATATAAGGAACGTGTCTTTAGTAACTTTTTGTAGCTAAACAAATTGTTCATGTACAAATATACCACTGTCCAGGGTCAGTTTCCAGATTTCCCAGCCTGAGGACAGGCCTTATTTTGGGACGGGTGGAGTTGATGAACCCCATTTTCCCATTATCAACTATTTCCTTATCTTTTACTTTCACCTAGCTATTTACCACTAGCTGTAACTCGTTATTTACTTTTATGTTGCTAAGAGACATCTTGGAAGCTGTATTTAAGCGTTGGCTGGCCCTATTTTGGGATTATGAATGAATTGAGTTTATTTTCTATTTCCCATTTGCTTTCTTTTCCCTTTTGAGATAACGAACCCATCACAAAACAAGTTGACATGCTAATGATCAATTAATCTACCGATTTCTCAATATATATATATATATATATCAATTAAGCATGCATTTTAATGAATCTTATGCAAATTCCCCTTCCCTTCATAAGTACAAATTCTAAGCATTCTATGTGAAAAATATTATTTAACTACAACATGAACAACTAAAACAAAGAGGAGTAGAGAGAGGGAGAAGAGAGCTCAAGAAGTTGGGAGCTCTAGAGGTGTGTTTGTAAGCTTGTAGAATTTCTCTATTTATAGGGTTACATATTCAACAATCACAAGCCACTAACCTTTTTTTTTTAAAACTCAAATACCTAACTCACAATGCCATTTCTGTTGTAATTTTTAAAATGTTTTAAAAATTTAACCATTTTGATTTATTTAATTATTTTGGCTGTTTTATTTTATTTATTGGCGGGGCTATGCATATTTAATTTTCAGGTATTATTTCTATATTGAATTCCTTAATTTTTCTGGTTTAATGTGGTGAATGTTACATGTTCTTGGATACCTATAAAAGGTCACTCATCCTTCACATTTAACATACCATCAAAATATCACATACCACAATCTGATTCTCTCCTCTTCTACTTTTTATACTTTCTCTACTTATATTATTATTTTGGGCAAAGGTTATGGGACTTGGATACCTATATCCTTCTATGAACGTACTCATAGCAGATCTTGAGCTTGTGTACTAGGGGTCGTATCTAGGTTTCCAGACATTGTTCTGCCTGAAGACCAAGTCATGGCTCATCCCTTGATTTCAAGCTTTGGGCACATTATTATTTCCTGAAAATTAAACATTTGTGTGCATTTCTTTAAACTATTCACCTTATCAGCAGGAATATTGTCATAGTCGACATTGATAATCCCATCATAAATATTGTAAGTTGTTCTGAAGTCCTGTTGGATTGATCATCACATCTGTGTATGTACACACACAACAAAAATTGAAGAGGACAAACTTCAAAAGGGAAACTAATGTTATAACACAAGAAATAATTAGGGTAACCATTTTGGCACTCCTAGTTTAGCTTATAAAAATTCAATTTAATTCGTTTTAAATACTCTCAGTGGACGTTCCAGAAGCATAAACGGAGAGTGCCAACATTGCTACCCAAACATAATAAGCATATATAACGACGAATATAAGGAAAACATACCGCAATCCAGGAAGCAACTGTTGCTCAAGCAAAGATAGCCAGTTTCCTGGAAAATTATTTCTACCAAGAAATTTAGGTGGTAATAAAGGGTGAGGTGATGAATGCCTTTTGATAATTTATGATTCAAATTCAGCTTCCATGCTGGTTTTAGCCACATTATTTTGACTTCTTGTAACAAAATACTTTCTGAAGAACCAAACACTTTGAGACATATTATTCTCTTCATCCATTGATCTTAAGCTGATGTCTCTTTGCTGGTCATCTGGCGTCCTTGTAACTTTTTCAAAACCAGAACTATTTTTATTTTCTTCTTCTCCATACTGTTCTGAAGAAGTCCTTTGTTATAATTGGAGTGCTACAAGCCATGATATATATATATATATATATATATATATATGTTGCTCTCTCCCAACTTATTCCCAAGAAGTGAAGAGAAGTCTTCAAACCTATGTATATATACACACATGAGAAAGAAAAACAAAATTGCTGAACATCGAACCCATATATATAAGGGAAATGAAATTTTTATATATATAGCCAAATTCCCATCATCACATGACTAGCACGAAAGTGAAATGGTATATCAAACAGCACTAAGATATGAAGAAAACAGTTCAAAAATGCATACCAAGTTATATAGAATATGTTAAAAGAGAGCATATGTGTACCTGAAGAGGTTTAGGGCTGGTTTATGAGTATGTGCACATAAAGCAAGCTCATATATATAGGGTAAATTGCCGAAATGCCCCCTGAACTTGTACGTAATTATCAATTTACCCCCTAACCTCTATTTAAAAAAATTAAAGACTCAAACTAAATTCTATTCTCAATTCCCCCATACCGTCTAAATCTCAACATTTCATCCAATTTGCCGTTAAATACGAGGGCAAATTTGGCATTTTAAATTTTGAAATAATATATATATATAATTATTTTAATAAACAGAGGGGCACACCCACTTCATCTTTTACAAAGATGAGGGGGGAGGGGGGGGGGGGAGGGGGGGGGGGGGGGGGGGGGGAGAGCTCGGATTGAGGAGGGGATAGAGAGAGAGAGAGAGAGAGAGAGAGAGAGAGAGAGAGAGAGAGAAGAGATGGAGAAAAGGGAGGGTGGCTTGCGGTGGTGGTCATGGGGGAATGATGGAGAAGAAAATGGGTGTCAGCGGTTATGGGTTCGTGGGGGTGGGGGCCGGGGGTTTTGTCTGTGGGTTAATGTACACCCCTACTATAATCACCTCTATAAATTCCACAATGTAAATACCTCAGAGCTCAAACAACAAAAGTAGGAATGTTTAGTGATGTCGTTCTTAAGATTCACTTACTTCCTAATCACCTTCTTAGTTCTCTCTCTCCTCCAAGCTGTATTTGGAACTAGGGATCTTCTCTCCCCATTTTGTTCAACCACTGGGAACTTCACCGCCAATGGCACTTACCAAACCAACCTCAAAGAGCTCATGGATTATTTTACATATGAAACCCATTATCCCACAGGGTTTGCTCTTGGTTCAAAGGGTCAGGATCTAGACACAGTCCATGGGCTTGTCCTCTGTACACTGCAAGCATCAGCCGAAGATGGGCCATGCGTATTTCTGATGCAAGGAATTACATGATCCAAAACTGCACATATAGTAAAGTTGCGGTCTTGTGGTTTGACAATTGCACGTATAAGTATTCAGACGAGCATTTCTGTGGTTTGACAATTGCATTTATAATGTGTTGAATTAATTGTGGTCCAATATAAATGTGGTCAAAGAAACATATAGTGAATTTGAATTCACCATCTTATTTCGAAGTCCCTTGAATATGACATCAATTAAAAAAAGGAACTTTCCATTATCCATACAAGTGAAAAGGCACCGTTTGGTAAATAATTTTTGTGATCACAAGAATAAAATAAATTTGAACCAATTAACATAAGGATAAAACTTGTCTAAAAACACTATATATATATTCTAACCTATCTTTCCCATAAAACCTTCACAAAATTCTTTCTGCACAACTGCAACATGTTCATCTGAATGAGTGGTTCAGAACAAATTTATATTGAATATTCATGCTAAAGATTACATATATAGTTTAGACTTTAAGATTCCCTAAAGACTATACAACCACACATGCCACACATGAGTCACAAAATCAATCATCTTTTAATATATCTTTTTTTCTCTATCTCTATTTTTTTTTTTTTTTTGGGGTGTTGGATTGGTCTAAGTCTTTGGTGTGCTCTCAAGTGGTTTTGGGTTCAAAATCCCCTGTACCCGTGTGTGTTCACTCCCCTTTCCTAACTTTGGCAAAATATATATATATATATATATATATCTCTATTTTTGCCTAATTAACTTTCTTTCTCATTCTCCCAAGGATCTACCGATTTTGTTCAACCCTGACAATTTCACTGCCAATGGCATTTACGACACAAACCTGAAGGAGCTCATAAGTTATTTTAGCTATGAAGCCCTTTTACCCCACAGGGTTTGCTCTTGGTTCAAAAGGCACTCATGATACAGAAAGAGCATATGGGCTGACCCTTTGTAGCGTTGGAGTCTCAGCCCTAGTCTGCGCAGCTTGTATTTCTGATGCTATACTAACTATATCCTCCAACATTGTTCATATAGTAAAGTTGCAATTATGTTGTACGAAAATTGTCTATATAAGTATTCGCACAAACAAGCATTTCTTTGGTCCAGTAGTTGAGAACCAAACGAAGGTGTGCGTCATGAATCAGCAAAACACAAGCAATCCAACGTCATTTATTCGGATGAAAGTAGGTTTATTTAGCAATCTCGTCGTCGGAGCTGCGAATACAACGAAATTGGAAGCAACTGAGTGTTTGGAGCCAGTGGAAGTATATGAAAGGATCCATGCTTCGGTTCAATGCCCTAGTGACCTTTGTACAACATGTCTTCACAATGAGATTTTATTTTTTGAAAGTCGTGGCTAATTGAGATTAGAGGGGTTTATAATGAGCGTTTTAACGTTCGACAAAAGACTTACAAATATTTCTGGGTTTAGTACCTTAATCATTCTATAATATAAATAACGAAACTAGCTCTATTTGGTGGTATTTCTCCATTGCATAGTAAAAGAGATTTCAAATTCGAATTCAACCTCTAAGTAGTGTATTTAAGCAGACAACGTATCATTTTATGATTTTGGAATTTGCATAAAATGCTACAAGAGTATAACGTAACGTTTTTTTTGTTATGTTATCGACTTTTATTTCTATTCAATGTCAGTATGTTTTCTTTATTAACCTTTTGATCAAGTATGTGTGTTGTTGAGTTGACTATTTTATCTCAAAAATTCCTGAATATCAAGAAAACCCTTTGCCTTTTGTATTTTGTATGATTGTATATTATGAATTAATAGATTGCAGAGTAAAAAACAGAGTATGTAACCCAGAGTGGGGAAAATGTTTCCTATTCCGTGAGCAACGTGGGCTAGGCTAGCTAATTATAGCTTATTACAATGGGGTATTTTCTTAAATTAATTCCTTACGAGTAAACCCTTCTTGATTAGTAACACAATATAATTAATAAGATTAATTATCATTAGATTAATAGTATTAATTATATTGTCTTGTATTGTAGAAACATCTCCTGTCTAATTGTCTTTTCCCTCTAGGCCGGCCGGGCCTGATTCTACTTTAAAAGAAGAACACAACGACCGAATTTTCCAAGTCGTTGCTTCAAACCTCTGACTATAATAAGAAATGAATACTTCTTTCACACCAGAATCATAATGTTGCTGATGAAGTTTTTTTGACTTGGTTTTCGATTGAACATGGAGAATGGTCGTGTAGGGTGTTACCTTTGACTCTTTCATGGTCGAGACATTTGGATTTTATGAATGGATTTAGTTGGATCTTGAAAAGCTTAATGATATTAAAATCATGCGAACGTGGCTGTTTGATGAAGACCTCTAAGAAAACACCACATAAGTAGATTTGCATCCATCATTCTAAGTTCAACTTGCTCAAATTCTAACCATGTTTTTTTTAAGGAAAGAATAAAAGAACAAGTCAGTGCACTTGTTTGCTTGACTATTGATTAGCATTCATCACTGAGAATCCAGCTTTTCCCTTTGCTGCCTTTCTCTGCTGATTCTAATCCTTCATCATCTTGTAAAATGCAATTTCTTGCATTATATGCTCCTTATTTTCTCTTTGTTTCATGCCTTCTTCAAGTTTCCCATCCCACTATAGCCCAAAAGATCAACCAGTTTTCGAACTGTAACACTACTTTGAATTACACTTCTGGGAGTCTTTATGAGCAAAACCTAAACCTTACCCTCAGTTATCTTGTTGCTAATGCTTCTCTAACAGGATTCTACACCACAAGTATTGGTGAGAACAGTGATGTGGTTTATGGCCTTGTTCAGTGCAGGGGAGACCTCTCTAAAGTTGATTGCCATACTTGTGCAAATACAGCTGCAACTGAGATAAGGCAACTCTGTTTTAGCCAGAAGGAGGCTTCGGTTGGTTATATAAATTGCTCGTTACAGTATTCGGCTCAGCGTTTCTTCTCTACTTTCGACAGTTTTCCAGGAGTACAGTTACATAACCCCAAGACAGCAACTGATCCTGCTCTTTTTAAACGCCAGTCAGGCAACTTGGTTAAGAACCTTTCATCAAAAGCTGCTTCTGATCCTTCCAGATTTGCTCTTTTGTTCACCAGTTACACAGATTTTAATGATATATATGGCATGGCCCAGTGCACCCAAGACTTAGCAGAAAACACCTGCTTAACTTGCCTGCAAGAGATTGCCAGCCATGTTCCTGAGTGCTGTGATGGATATGTTGGGGCTACACTAATTTCTAAAAGTTGTTATCTTCGGTACGAGATATATTCATTTTTTCTGTCACCAATAGCGCATCAGCCACCTCCAGTGGCATCTCCTCCATCTCCTTCCTTGCTTGAGCCTAAGGCTAGTCATGCTGGTAAATTCTTAGGTTCTTTTGTGACACATCCCTGAAATTAGTATGTTTTTCTTGCGATGAATCAATTGCATCAATTATCAGATTCATTTAATTAGCATATAATAAACTTCTAATATTATGAATTGAGTGCTTTTCCAGCAAACAATCAAATATGAATAAGAGATGCAATCATTTCATGTTTTTGCAGGAAAGAAGAGCAATTCAAAAATCATCCTTATCATAGTAATCCCACTAGCTTTAGCATTGACTGTGTTAGCCACAGGCTGCGCTGGTTACTTATTCTGGAAAAAGGCCAAGAGAAATGGGGTTGGTAAGTAGCTCATAGCTCTTATCAATTACAGAATTTAATCACGTTTCTAGCTGTAAGATCTGAGCTTTCTTCTAACATCTTGACCAATTAGTAGAGATTTATATGCTGAAAGTTCTCTGTTTAGGCCAGTGCTTGTTGCATTTTATATGTCCCAAGACATTAACTTAGCATATCATCTTGTAGATGATGTTCCTGATTTACGTGAAGATGGTAATAATAGCATGGATCCACTTTTGATTGGACTAAGTACACTTAAAGTTGCAACCAACAATTTCTCAGAAGCATATAAACTTGGAGAAGGTGGATTCGGTCCAGTTTACAAGGTACTTACAATTCATTCGTAATCAGGGCATTCTCTATTTGAAATTAGTGTAAATGACACTGTCCATATGCACCTCTAGGGAAAACTGCCCGATGAACTAGAAATAGCCGTGAAGAGGCTGTCACGTAGTTCAGAGCAAGGTCTAGCAGAACTAAAAACGGAAGTGATGCTGGTTGCTAAGTTACTGCACCGGAATCTGGTAAGACTGTTAGGCTTCTGCTTGGAAGATGAAGAGAAGCTACTCATCTATGAATACCTACCCAATGGGAGCTTGGACAAGATTTTGTTTGGTATGAACTATAAGGTCCCTGAGTTGTTCACTTTAGTGTAGATTCGGTATTCATTCTTGTTCACAATTAAATTCTGTTTGTCTGAAACTTAAACTTTGTATCTAGATCAGAGGAGACCATTTGGCTTAGAATGGGAAAGAAGGTTCAAAATTATTGTTGGAATTGCTAGAGGGCTACTTTATCTGCATGAAGATTCTCAGCTTAGGATTGTTCACCGAGATTTGAAAGCCAGCAACATCCTGCTAGACGAAGAGATGAATCCCAAAATATCTGATTTTGGTTTAGCCAAACTGTTTTGTGGTAGCCAAACTCATGGCAATACAAATCGGATTTCTGGTACTTTGTATGTCACAAACTTAATTCCTAGTTAGAAATACAATGTTTATTGCTTGACATACACTTCTCTAACTCGTTTATTCATGACTTGCAGTGGATACATGGCACCGGAATATGCTAAAAATGGGAAATTTTCGACTAAATCTGATGCCTTTAGTTTTGGGGTTTTAGTTATGGAAATTATTACAGGTCGAAAGAATTCCAGCTTCCGCAATTTCTCAAATATTCAAAGTTATGTAAGTATGCAAAATAATAAATGGGAGCCATATGTTAAATTGACGGAGCACATGTCTCTTAAAGTTAGATTGACTTGAATTGAACACTTGGAAATTGTCATATAGGCGTGGCAGCATTGGGCCAATGGAACAGCTTTGGAGTTATTGGATCCAAGATTGGGTGACCAGTGGCCTAGATATGAAGTTCTGAAGTGCTTCCACATTGGGTTATTATGCGTGCAAGAAGCTCCTGCTGAAAGACCTACCATGTCTGAGGTTGTTATGATGCTCAATAGTTACACCATAAACTCCACCGTCCCGTCACAGCCAGCGTTTTATGTCCGGCAAGAGAACTCTGCAGACTCACAGCAGTCGGTGGCTCGCCTCGAAAGTTATGGTGCATTAGAACTTGATCAGTTAGCAGAAGCAACTCAATCAGTAAATGACCTAACAGTCACTGAACTCTGTCCTCGCTAGCTAGCAATTGCAAATTGCATTGTCATAATAATTAGAAATGTATCTCTCAGCCAGAAAGTAGATTCTGCTACTGTTTCTTATTTTGGTTGTACAAATTTTTTGTTCGAGCACATATTGTCAATTAAAGAAGGACAACTAAAACCCGTTAAGTTTGGACAAATTTTTTGTCTTTTCTTGTGGTGATTAGATTGACGACCAAGAGATTGTGCATATTATCATAAGCAAACCAAATTAATTACAACAACTTGTTTCGCAGCAACAATACAGTCAATTTATTTTCTTGTTCTGTAGGCCGGCCACTAGCCACTAGCCACTGTCCTGTTTTGTAACCTTCGACTGCTTCTTTCACCAGAATAGTGTTTGCTCCAGAAAAATGAGTTTTTGAATGAGTACTGTGAACTTGCTCAATCAAACTGTCAAAATAGCTTCATTTAATTCTTTGGTGGTATCAACTATCAAGCAAAACTCCTTTTGTTTTAGTGTAATTTTCACTTCACGCGCTTTTATCAAAACTACTTATTAAAGCTTCTATGAGTCGAATATTGTATGCGCATGTGAGATATCGCTTGGAAAATCAAACTGGCTTTATGGTGAGGCTCAATGTACTAGGGACCTTGTCGAGATTTCTTGTAAGAAATGTCTTGATAAAGCAACACATGGTCTTCAGAAATTTGGTTATGGAAAGAGTGGTGGACGTGTTTATTTACGGAAGTTGTTTTGTCATATTTCAACTTCACACATTTGCCGATGATTAGTGTTTTTTTTTCTTGGGATTTTGGGTTCCTTTTTGTTTGCTTCTAATCTTTGTATTTTTGGAGAGCTAGGGTGTCTTGTTTCCCAAAATGTCTATATATGAGTTGGGGTGTGTGCGGAGAGTTCGTGACAAAGGCAAATCAACTGCACCGATTTAATTGCGCAGTCTAGAAGTTGTTTGTTAGGTATTGCTTATCCCTATTCCCTTTGGAGGAGGAAAAGGTTTATGTGGTAGTGGCACATCAAACATGATTTGCCTATTCATCATCATTTGCCCACCCGAATTCTTTTTCGTTCCAAAAGCACCCACCTTCTCCTTTTCAACCAAACCCCACCGCCTTAATCATATTCTTATGAAGCTATGTGTCTTTCTTGTGAAAGAGACGATGTGGTCTTTGGTTTGGTTAATTGTTCAAAGATTTTAGAACGACATGTGTCTATATTTTTCTAAGTTCATAAAGAAAAACAGAAGGGTAAAAAAAAACTGCTGTATATATGTACAAATTCCTTGAAATTCTGGGTTGGATTATTAGATTAGGTGTATCGATATATACCTACTAAACGTTGGCCAAAAAGGACACACCTACTAAACGTTGGCCAAAAAGGATACACCTACTAAACATTAAGATGAAGTCACCCACCCTGTCCTTTAACGTGGATGCCATAAACCACTCCATTGTATACTTTTGGTCCTTTTTTTCTTTGAATTCACAGAATTTAATTACAAAGATTAATTTGAATCATGTCAAGAACCTGAATATATGAACCCACATTCGTTGCTCGGATAGTTCACATCAAACTATGTCGCGATTAAAATGCCTCCAAAAGTTTAACTGTTACTTCAATTTCAATATGTAGGTATTTTCTTAGTGAAGATTTACTTGGAGTCTGTAGGGCTCGAGTCATTGTTTAGTTTCTCTGTTAGGCGTTAGTCCTGTTTCTTCACAACAACAAAAAAATATATGTAGTCTACAACAAGAAAAAAATATGATAGTTGTAGCAGAAAAAAAGAAAAAAAGAAGAAGAAGAATATTGGTATCCAAGAGCGAACAACCTGTCACTGCCTTATATCATGATACTTGACCAACTCAAACAACTAAACCACAAACTAATATCATCTTCGCTCTTACGTGTCTTCTCCCTTCTCTTTCAACGTCTATAAAAATGAAGTTCCTAAGTGGAGATCTATGCGGTTGATTCTCTGCCTTCTCATTCTACCCTTCAACCTCTTTTCCCGTTCTACCACTAAGCAAAAATATGGCAGCTTCAAGAACAACATTAGTGAGCTTGGTTGTTGTGACCATGCTCATAGAATTGGCCATGGCAACCAGTTACAATGTAGGAGGTCCGAATGGCGGGTGGGATTCGACTACCGACCTTCAAACTTGGGCATCATCCCAGACATTCTTAGTAGGAGATAATCTCAGTAAGTTATTTACACACACAAAGATATTGGCAAGGAACATCTTAAATAATATGGGACAATTTTTACTCTGATTTTACTTATAAGTTATTTTCCTATACTGGAATTAAGAAATTGGTAAGTTTATTATGTGCGCAGATTTTCAGTACGCACCAAGCCATGATGTGGTTGAAGTTTCAAAGGCAGACTATGATTCTTGCCAAGCAAGTAACTCAATTCAGTCTTACAGTGGTGGCAGCACTACCATTCCTCTGTCTTCTCCAGGCAAGAGGTACTTCATCTGTGGAACAACTGGACATTGTAGCCAAGGAATGAAGCTAGAAGTGGACACTCTTGCAACTTCTGCTGCACCAACTGCTTCTCCTCTGAGCCCTGCTCCACAAGAATCTCCTTCAATCCCAGCCCCTTCTTCCTTGGACACTCCATTGGCTCCAGAAGCTTCGACTGCCTCACCGGCACAATCACCACAATCTGCTTCGACTGCCTCGCCGGCACAATCACCACAATCTGCTCCCACTTTGTCCCCTGCTTTGCCATCTGAGTTGCCCATCAGTCCTGCATCAAACCCAACCGACATTCCTTCAACTGAAGCTCCTACTTCCATCTCTCGAACCGGATCTTCAGCACAACCATCTTCCTCATCACTTAACTGCAAATTAGGCAGCCTCCAGGCGAGTCTCACTGTGGGGTTCAGTGCTGTTGTGATCATGTTGTTTCTATCCCCCTAGGCTTTTAAACAAAGGAAGATTAAGATTGTTTGTGAAGAAGTTTATGTTCATTGGGTTTTCTGTGTGACAAAATTTCTTGTGCATTTTATTCCAATTTTATGATTGCTTCCTTGTGCATTTGGAAAAGAAACTGTTGTGCGAAGTGTTTAGTATTTAGAAGAAATGAATGTTAGGGCTAGAACCAGCATGCTCAGCCGTTTTGGATCAGACTGCTATGATACTCCAGAAACTATAACTAAGAAACCATTTTTACATGGAAATTATGAGGTCTGCATAAACTGTTTGATTCAAGAGATCATCAATATACAAAAAGAGTGCTAAATAATATTTGTCATTGACCGACGATCGATTAATTGAAACATTCGAGATTGCTGGAAAATAGAAATACACCATTAACTGTAGTTGAAAACAAAGACAGATATTTAGAACAAATGAACATTTTTGTTCGAGATGTGACAGTGGACAAATTATGGATGCCCTGCACTCTACGCTTACGCCGTAGGAGGGCAAATGATATGATCCTGTGATATGTCAACTACATCATGGGACATGAATTGCCGCATGGGAACACCAAGGTAACTTATGAAAGGCATCAGCTTGTTTCCAGAAGCTTGCGCTCAAACTGCGAATGCAGTAGAGATAGCGGGAGAATGAGGTAGAATGCCATTTTGTGTACTCATGGCTATGACTTGCTGCTCCAACTTCTCTCCTTCTACCCTTTGCCTCCGCTTCTCATCTCGAAGTTCACTCTTCTCAGCCTGTGTAGAGACACAGGAACTAAAAACCGTTATGCATACTCGCCTGGTTCTAGTATTCAGGACATGGTGAAAAGGATGAGATGCATACAAAGCATTCAAGTAGTTCAGTACTAAGTAGGCATGAGGAAGTAAAGCTCACCTTCAATTCTTTAATATTTGCTTGCAAAGACTCAATGGTCTCTTTCAGCTTCTTGGATTCACTTTGTAACTGGGTCAGCGCTCGAACGGCATCAGTCAATATAGCACCCTTGTCTGTTTGGGAAGCCTTCCAGGATCCAGGACAGAAACTAATTCCAAGAACCTTCAAATTGCCAAATCATGTCTACTTTGATTAGAGAATGAGAAGACAGAATTCCAAATCAGATAAATAAAAACTACTTTTATGATAGCATACCTCTCATTGAGCCTATTCCTCTGCAATTTCTCCCGGCATGCTTTAGAGAAAGAAGCACCATAGGATCCAGATCTTAACCTAAAAGGGCATTTGCAATAAATTAGGTCACAATATGTTCATGCATTTTGAAAAATATCATCAATTGGGAAGAGATATTTACCGTTTTTGGGAGCCAACTTCCATAAGGTTATCCGAGTCTCCAGATGAGCAATCAACTTCCACACTGGAAACAAACATAGTTTCAACAAAATGTTCAATAAAGAAAACAACATTTCAATTGCCAGACAAATGTGAAGCAGATGTTACCAATGCACAACAGAAGCTCTTTTTTTCAAAGATATATCATACAGTCCTAACAGAAGCTACAGAGCCTAACCACACATTTTTAGATGTTCAATTCAAACTTGAGTCCACTTGTTATTGTTTTTTGCACTTAAGAAAACGGCTACAAAATGAACCAAAGCTAAAACATATACAAATACAAATCTAAGAAGAAATAAAGAAAAAATGCGGTAAGAAAGAGACCCACCTTGACCGTGCATTAGGGCCCGTGAACTACATTTTTTAATGGAATAGCCCATGAACTTGTGCTCAAGTTTTATTTTGGTCTACCAACTAATTTTTTCATTCTAATGGTCCTCCAATTCTCTTTTTGATATCAAATTGGTCTTTCTTTCCATTAGATTTAGTCACATCTGGTATTTTTTTATGATACAAATTTTGCAAGAAAGTTCCACTTTCTTTTTTCAATTAAAAATGATTATGTCGAGAAACTGCCTTTAACTTTTTTATTGTAAAAAACTCCCGAACCCACCGACTCAAGCCATAACCGCAGAGATAATTTTTATTGCCAAGTTTTATGAAAACGTTGGCTTTTCTTTTACTTCTTCTTTTTGGTAATTACATTGTCGTTTTTATGATAGGATTCATTGGCAAGCCAATTTTGTTCTAGTACTCCTGCTATTTTGGGTTTTAGGTGTAATTGAGTTTTAATTTAGAGGGTATTTAGGACAATTTAAGTGAGTTTTTTGTTATATTTGAAAGTTTTTATAAAAAATGACATTTATGAATTTGGAGGCTAAATTTTGACCCTAGCCACCACCGTAATTTCTCACCCCAACCACGCAACTGTGTGATCTGCAAGCCGCAGCCTGAGGAGGAGGAGATGAAGTCGGGTGAAAATTGGTTTTTTAAAGTTTGCTTCAATGACAGCGACATCGTTAATAAATAATATTTTTTTTTTTTTTTTTTTTTTTTTTTTTTTTTTTTTTTAAGTTACGCATTTTAACATGCCTTTTTTTATATAAAAAAATGCCTTTTTTCAAAAAGACTAATTACATTTTTGGTTACTGGTTGAATTTAAATTTGATCACCAAAATTTTAATTTTTCGATTTTTATCACTGGAGTTAACGTCGTCAACAAATAAAGTCCAAATGATCCATCTCGTCAGTTAAGACACGTGATGCGTGCGTGCATAGAAAAATTGGAGCTCCAACATATAAAAAATTATTAAATTAAAAACAAAAAAACAAAGAAAAGATGGGCTAACCATTGATGGGGCCGAAGACAGAGAGGGGTTGTGCTGAGGATGAATCTGGTTGTTCTGGGACTGAATCATGTATTTGGGCTAGCCCAATGCTGGCATACTCAAGTCGATCTCACTCGTTGCAAAACATGCACGCGTTAAGCAGGAGAAGATCTTCTCAAACGTTGTCCTTCTAGTCGAGGTGCTATAATTTGGTACGAAAGTTGCCTCATAAAATACTCGAATGCACAATTCTTTGGTAGAAGTGACACAAGTAATGGAATCTATGTGACAAATACCAAATTCGTTGTTCCTATCTCATTATTTGATAAATACCAAATTCGTTGATCCTCCCAAATTCGCTGTAAATTATAATATTTTGGTTTGTGTATGCACTAGAAAGGTCGAAACTAATGATATACTATATAAAAATCAAAATACAAATATGAATAAGGACAACATTTGTAAGTTGAGAAGAGTGTCACAACATTTGTAAGTTGAGAAGAGTGTCAAGTGACGCTTTTTTTCTCAATATTGTTAATTTATTTTGTGATGTGGAAGCAGTCGCCGTGAAACGATATCGTCGCCATAATATAGTCACTGTATTTTGACCCATGTACATGAGAAGTTGGCTCCCTTCAACATAATTTGGAACTCTATTCCTTTACTGTGAATGAGATTGAGTAATTCTTGTTAACGTACTTGAAAATGATGGTTATGCTAATTAGAAAAATAATTTTTATTCTCATTCCAATGTTTAGTTTGTATAATAACAGTAATTATTTTTATGAAATAACTTCATAATTTTTCATTTTATTAATATTGGCAAAGTTGTAAAGAATATTGGCATATTAGTTAGTATAAGTATTGCAACAATATTGTGGTTTGTAGAACGAATTTGGTGGTACTCTATTATCCAGAACATATGATAGTATGATACCGCAATGTAGACAACGTAGTCAATCTGATTGACAAGCGGCAAACAGACGGCCATCGAAATCCACCAAAAGATGAAAAGAAAAAGAAAAAGTCATCACAGTAGGAAAAGAAGAACACACAGACTGACTGCTGTTGACAAAGATGCTCTCTTGCCTCTCCAAATCAAATCCACCGTTACAAAATCAACAAACACATTATGTACAATCTGAACCCAACATTACTTACCCACCCATCCAATGATAAGAATCAAAAAGATTGAAAAAGAAGAAAAAAATTGTGGGGAAATGAATTTGCAGAACGAAATTGGAGCTACGCATGGGCAGGGCCTGGCGTCACCTGAGCCTGCCTTGGTGGATTGAACGGCGGCGCAGCCGTTGAAGCAGGCGGAGGCGGAGAAGACGGCGGATTGAGAGTTGGGTCTGGCGGAGGTGGGGTTTGAATTGGGGTCGCCGGAGGAGGTGGAGTTTGAATTGGGGTCGCCGGAGGAGGTGGGGTTTGAATTGAGGTCGGTGGAGGAGGTGGGCTTGAAATTGAGGTCGGCGGAGGCTGGTTTGAATCCGGGTTGGGTGGAGGTGGGTTAAAATTGGGGGTAGGTGGGCTGGGCTGGGTCAAGGTGGGATCTGTGGATGGTGGGTTGGGCTGGTTCGAACTGGAATTGGGATTGGGGAAGATGGGAGGGGGAGAAGAGAGAGAGTGGCAAGAGTCTGAATCGGCGGAGCATTTGTGGGTTTTCTGGAGGCCATGCCGCAAAACCCCAAATCCCAGAACGAGCCCAAGAACCACAAGCACTGTGACTACGAAAATGAAGATCTTTGTTGCTTTTCCCACATAGCACATTTTCGTATTTCCTTTTCTGGGTTTTCTGGTTCAGAGTCTGAGAGATTGACAGAGAGGATGGGGGTGGTGGGGTTTGTTGGGTCCTTTTCGTCTTCTTCTCATGGTGAAGAAGATGAGAGAAGAGAGTGAGGGTGAGTGTGAGTGTGCATTTTGGTTTTGGTCTTTTTTTGGCTTTTGTGGATTTTAGGATTTGGGAGAGAATTAAGTGTGGCACGTGAAGCCCAACTTCAATTCAGATAACAAGAAAAGGTAGCATGGCTTTGTTCTTGCCATTTGCCAACGCCAAGTACCATTAGCTTAGCTGCATTGTTGCAGAGAGTGACTTTCCCAAAATACCCTTAGTCTTGTCAATTATTTTTTATTACGAGCATTATTGAGGAAGGAGGTTCAAAAGCATAATCATGAATAACTGCTATTAACTACTTGAATTATAAACCTCACTCTCGTTCTTGCAATTAATCACCCATGGTGTTAATTCAGAAGAGAGGCCCATTTTTGGTATATGAATGGAAACTTGCTTTTGGTCTTGCAATTAATCACTCACATGGTGTCAATTCAGAGGAGAGGGGCATTTTGGGTATGTGGATGAAAAGGTGAGGAGTATTTAATCAGTACTAAACGAGGCTGGTTAGTACAGAAAGGGGACATTAAAGTAAAGCCGTTGAAGAGGATATATTGGGAGGCGAGCAGCCAACTATGTTTGACAGAGTGCCATGTCATTTCTCTTGGGATTGAGCTGGAAGACTTGCTTATAATCAAAATCGCCCTTGGTTTGCCCTTATTTACAATCTTGTCTGATGGGCTCCCAATGTTTTCAAAAGCACTTTTACTTTGTGGGTTGCTTTTGGACTAAATTCATAGTCTTGTATATCATGGGCTTTTGTCATGCACCCAAACCAAAGCAAAAACAAAATTCTTTTTAATTCTCTTTATAATTATAATATATATAAAATAAAATAAAAGAATTACCTGTTTTCTTCCATGAGCATATTGGAAATCAGTTCTTCCCCAAAATTAGTTATATACATATGACCCCCCAAAAAAAAAAAATTGTACGATACACCAACCACGTGGTATCCCAGAGCATATAAAAATTTCTCGATCAAAAGAATTCATTAGTTTGAGTTTAGCTAACATGAGATAAAAGAAAACTTGGATTAATGATCAGGGTCTAGCCCAATTTCCAAAATTATTAGCTTCTACAATATCTAATTATTTTGAAGGAGTAATCTTCGTATCACAATTAACAAATCCCTCTTTTTATAAGGAATACAAATCGGGAAATTCATTTTTAGTTTGCTTTTTTCATTTACAGTTTTCATTTTTGTTCCTATCCTACAGCAGATGCTCTCAATTCCACAAAAAATAGAGAAGACAATGACCTGAAAGAAGACAATAATCAAAATAAGCATGGCCAGAAAAGAATGTAGGATGGTACGTGTTTGTCTACTCACTTTGCATCCACCGTCTCTTCTCTTTGCGTTTCGAACCAGAAGTCTCCAGAAAGATTCCATAAGCATAACCTATATATCTATCAATGTAAGAAACAAGAAAGCAGAGTTTTCATGCAAGAAAATAGGATTAGGAATTAGACACAAAACCCCTCATACCACACGTAAAAATAAGCCATATATATAATCGGCGCCATGACACGCGTAACTCTAGGCAGTTTGGGAGAGAAAATAAGGCTTCACAGCAGGTGCTTCTGCCCAAATGTTCTTTTCATAAATGTACCTGAGAATGCAGAAGGAGCAAGTAAAGTATGGAGGCAAGGAACGAAGAATGCTCCTACATTCAGCTCCCGCAGTATAATCAGCAGAAGCCCTCCGCAAGCTGTGGCATCTGAAATTTCCACCACAGAACCAAAGGTAAGTAACTGCCTCGCAATTTTCTCATGTACAAATTCTGCCGTAAATATCTTATGAGTTTGAGATATTGACAAAAACAAAATAATGGGTTTGAAATAACTTTATTTGCCTTGAACATGTGTTGAAGGAAGTGGGCCACTTCCAAGTTTATTTTTTTACTTTAGGATTAATTTATGGTAGGTATGGTCCTATAGCCCATGAGGCCTGAAATGACCTTAATACCCATTGTATCATGCATCTATGACCTACTTTTGTAAAGATGTTTGAGGGCATGTATGGATCAGACTCTTAGAAGAGGTCCAAATGGCAGATACAGAATGCAAACAAAGTAACCATGTGGATTTTAGCTGATATGGCCCCCATTAGGGGCCAGCAATAATTTATGCACTCATTTTCTTGCAAAGATAAGGTCAAGTGCTTTCTTTTTTTTCTTTTTCTTTTTTTGCTTTTTTGGTCATCAAGATAGCAATCTATTTTCTATAAAAGGCAACATGTTGGGGTAGTATTTTGCACCAGTCTCATCCTTTCAGAGAAATTAAGCCTTAAACTTCTTCTCTTACTCAACAATGCAGGCTACAACTACTCTCACTAACGAAGAAAAGATGCTCAGAAATTATGTGCCAATCTTTGTGATGCTCCCTGTAAGTCATAAACACTTCTTCTTCTATTCACTGACATGTTATGTATGCACTCTACTATAAAATATAATAATCATCGCGGAGCAAAAGCGTTAATTTTTCTTTCAATTTTTCTTCATACCAGTTGGGAGTTATTACGGTTGATAACGTTTTAGAAGACAAAGACAAACTCGTGAAAGAGCTGAAGGAGCTACGAGCAGCAGGTGTTGATGGGGTCATGATAGATGTGTGGTGGGGGATCATAGAATCCAAAGGACCTAAGCAGTATGATTGGACTGCTTACAGGAGCTTGTTTCAAGCAGTTCAGGAATGTGGGTTGAAATTACAAGCTATAATGTCATTCCACCAATGTGGTGGGAATGTAGGAGATGTTGTAACCATCCCACTCCCCCAATGGGTACTTGATATCGGAGAATCGGACCCTGATATCTTTTATACCAATCTCAAAGGCAACAGGAACCCAGAATACCTCACTCTAGGTGTGGATAACCGGCGTCTCTTTAGTGGACGAACTGCTGTGGAGGTAAGCTTCACAAGATTTCAAAGTGTTATCTTCACGTAGTCAGCTAGTATTCATTCTTTTATGGTGACGTATATGTTAATGGTTATATTACAGATATATAGTGATTATATGAAGAGCTTCAGAGAGAACTTTGCAGATTTTCTAGAAACTGGACTTATTATAGACATTGAAGTGGGGCTTGGCCCTGCAGGAGAGCTCAGGTATCCCTCTTATCCAGAAAGTCAAGGATGGGTTTTCCCAGGCATTGGAGAATTTCAGGTGGGACTGATTTACTAATTTGACAATCCTATTGCTTATTGGCCCTATTCAAGCAAAATTACGTTCAAAACACATTACCTATTTCATATTGCAGTGCTATGACAAGTATCTCCAAGCAGACTTCAAAGAGGCTGCAACAGCTGCAGGTCATCCTGAATGGGAGTTGCCAGATAATGCAGGAGAATACAATGATGCTCCTGAATCTACAGAGTTCTTCAAATCAAACGGGACATACCTTACTGAGAAAGGGAAGTTCTTCTTGACTTGGTACTCTAACAAATTACTGAGCCATGGCGATCAGATCCTGGATGAAGCCAACAAAGCTTTTGTGGGGTGTAAATTAAAGCTAGCAGCCAAAGTAAATATTCTAATATCATAACTAACTCATATTTAGCAGTACATACCATCTTTCACCTGATGTTAATCCAAGAGTACATGATTGATTATCAAAACAGGTATCTGGAATCCACTGGTGGTATAAAGCTGATAATCATGCCGCGGAGCTTACTGCAGGATACTACAACTTGAAAGATAGAGATGGGTACCGACCTATAGCAAGGATGCTGTCAAGGCATCATGCTATTTTGAATTTCACATGTTTAGAGATGAGGGACTCTGAACAAAGTGCTGATGCCAAAAGTGCGCCTCAGGAACTTGTTCAGCAGGTAAAAAGTGAAAATTTTGTTAAGACCAGCTTTCCTTGTTCAGTTTCATTTCTCATTGAGAAAATGCTGATGTAGTGTTATCTGCTTGTACAATCCCCTCAAAACATGCCAAAAATGATTTTTCTGGAAAACCTACAAAAATACATCTTTCTTTGCATTGACAATTAGTATCAGAAACATGAAATTCAATTCCCCAATTCCAGTAAAACCCCAGGTTCTAGCTAGAACATATCAAATATGCTTCTTACCGAATTTATCCTCTTCAATTGAAGAACATATGGAAAGTAAAAAGCACTTTAATAGCAAATAAAAAAAATTATTCTAATGATGCTTTCAAAATGTATAACTGCATATGATGAAAATTATAGTTTGCAACATGCGTGTGCAGGTTTTGAGTGGAGGTTGGAGAGAAAACATAGAAGTTGCAGGGGGAAAATGCACTTTCAAGGTACGACAGTACAGCTTATAATCAAATCCTTTTAAATGCTAGACCAAATGGCATCAATAGAGACGGCGAACCAAAATTGAGGATGTATGGAGTGACATACCTTCGTTTGTCTGATGAACTACTACAAAAGACGAATCTCAACTTATTCAAGACATTTGTCAAGAAGATGCATGCTGATCAGGTAAGCAATCTTCATGTATGTGCCTTAAGCATATGCTCTTTCAGGGTGCAAAATGTCATTCCGTCCCTCTTTTCTACAGGATTACTGTCCAGACCCAAAGAAGTACAACCACCACCTAGGTCCTTTGGAACGGTCAAAACCAGAGATTTCAATCGAACAACTTCTGGAAGCAACCAAAGCAGAGGATGCATTCCCATGGGATAAGGAAACAGATATGAGTGTCAGTGGTGATCTACTTTCTAATTTGATAAGGAAATTATTTTCTCTATTTAAGTGATACAACAGCCAAGTGGGAGGAGAAGTAGCTGGTAATGAATTAAATAAAGTGGTGGTTCGATCTGGATAACCAAGAAATCGGCATAACGTGGCAATATCAAAACAATTTGAGATGTTGGTTGTGTGAATAAAAGAATCTGTATTTCCCATGGAATGAATGTAGAGATGTCTTATGACAAAAGACTATTCACCAATAATCCCCACAAGAGCAAAATCCATGTCTAAAGTGGTGGAACCTATGGATATCTCGCATTATAATCTCTCGATTCATAAGCTCAGAAATCATTTTCGTTACTGTGTGGCAATCATTACATACACGAAGATTCTTGGTAATCCTGATTGTGGTCCCTGGTCCTGTGTTAATAAGGGCAAAAGCAATTGCCAATCTCTCACTATGATCCCAAAGCATCTTCTCCTTTACTTCTTCTTCAACATCATAGAACACTGAAGTGGTGTCAGGCTTGTATCCAGCCTCCGTGAGCCGCAGATTCAACTCTTTTAACTTGGCATAAACATCATGTGTCTGTGGGTGTGACTTATCTCCAACTAAGAACCTATGAACCATCTTATCTACCTCCACAAAGCTGCAGCCAGGTGGTTTTTTCAGTCCCTTACTTCTCACCATGGCTCTCACTCTTTCCACATCATCCCACCGCTTCTCAGAAGCATAAATATTGGAAAGGCAAATGTAGCTCCCTACTCCTTTTGGATGCATTTCAAAAACCTTCTGTGCTGAAACCTCTGCCAGCTTGACATTTTTGTGTAGCCTGCAAGCAGAAAGAAGTGCAGCCCATATATCACTGCTAGGTTTTACTTCCATGGTCTTAATGAGCTCATATGCTTCATCCACATGCCCTGCTCTTCCCAGAAGATCCACCAGACAAGAATAGTGAGCAAGCCCAGGCTTCACATTGTATTCTATGGTCATTCTGTTGAAAATATGTTTCCCCTCATTGACTAGGCCTGCATGGCTACATGCTGACAAAACCGAAGTAAGAACCCCCTCATCTGGAGTAAAATTGTTTGCTATCAGTTCATGATAGCAGGAGATAGCCTCTTCTCCCCTCCCATGAGCCCCATATCCTGAAATCATAGCACTCCAGGCAACCAAGTTTTTTCTGGGAATTTCATCAAAAACACGACGTGAACAAGACAGACTTCCACATTTAGAATACATGTCTATAAGGGCAGTTCCCACAATGATATTTGCACCAAAGCCTTTCTTGACGAGGCATGAATGAACAGACATGCCAAATTGCAAGGCATTGATCTGGTCACAAGCTCCCAGTATAGTTATAATAGTTACCTCATCAACCTCTGCACCTTCCATAACCATTCGACAGAAAAGTCTTAAGCTTTCAAAAGCATCTCCATTCTGCTCATAGCCTCTAATCATAGAGTTCCATGACACGGTATCTTTCAATTTCACCCCATCAAATAATCGCCTTGAATAAGCCAGAGACTTGCAATTACAATACATCTCAATAAGAGAATTTGTCAAAAACTCATTACGTATTTCACCACTCTTTCGAACCACATATGCATGAATTTCTTTCCCCAGCTTCAAGGCCAACAACTCAGCACAAGCAGAGAGGATTCCAAGCAATGTTGTGCCATCTGCTTTTAATCCAGCCTTTCCCATTTCCTCAAAAACTTCTAAAGCCTTTCTCAGATTATTATTCTTCACATAACCCGAAATCATTGTGTTCCAAGAAATTAAATCTCTCTCAAGCATTCTATCAAACAGCATCCTCGCCAATCCCATATCCCCAAATTTCGAGTACATTGCAAGAAGAGCATTAGCCACATAAATATCTGACTCCAACCCGATAACCACAACCTCACTATGAACTCTCCTCCCAGTTTCCACAAGCAACAGATCACCGCACGCCTTAAGAACAAAAGGGTACGTAAAATTGTCCGCCTTTTGTCCAAAACTAAGCATTTCACGGTACAAAACAAGAGCCTTTAATGAGCATTCATTACAAGCATATCCCCTAATCATGAAATTCCACAAGAACGAATTTTTCAACAGAATACCATCAAAAATCACCTGGGCTTGGGCCATCCTGCCGCAGTTTGCGTAAAAAGCAGCGAGCTTAGTACTTAGATATGTATTGTTCAGGAGATTGCCAGAAGTGACCATGAGGGCATGGAGTTTCTGGCCTTTTGGGAAAGATTTAGTGTTGGTGAGTGATTGCAAGATCTTCCCACATTGTAGGGAAGTGAGTGGCGGGCTGAGAGGTTGTTCTTTGAAATGGACAGTGGTGGTGCAAAGAGATTTCTTGAGGAGTTTGAGATTGCTATTGCCGCCATTCATGACAAATGAATTTGGAAAACGTAAAATAAAGAATTTAAAAAAAACTTCAGAAGCAATCAAATACTATGGCAGTGTGGGTGTAGTAGAAGTAGAAGAGTAGAAGAGTAGAAAGTGGCGAGCATTTTAGTTTTGTTGAAAACAAGTTTTGAGGTTTTTGAGCTTCTCTCTCTTGAATTGAATCTGCAGTAACAAAATGAATGAAAAAAAAAAGGGAAATAATCTGGAGATGCGGGGTATCGATCCCCGTACCTCTCGCATGCTAAGCGAGCGCTCTACCATCTGAGCTACATCCCCATTTGATTTTTTAATGCACCTATTCATATATAAATAAATAATCCCACTTGTTAGCAATTGTAAGAGACGCATCACTGTTTTGATGCCATATTTACATCATATTGTTTAGTTTGTTGTTTCTGTGTGGGCTAACCATGCAGGTGTGAAATTTTGTTTTTTTATTCCTCATCGTGTAACTATAGTTTAGTATTGTAAAATGTTTACGTTGTATAATTCATCCACGTATTGTAATATAAGTTGATATTTATTGATTCTATATTAAAAAAACAAAAGGAAAATCTTAACTATGTCGTCCATCTATATTATAACATATTGACGCATTATACAACGTGATCATACTCCAATACTATACAATAATTTCTCTCATTTCAGCCTCTTCCTCTCTCATCTCTTCTACTCTTCTTGAGTTTCAAGGCTCAACCCAACCCATTTTGAATGTCCTGGTTGGTCTCTTGGTTGCTCTTATATATTTTTTTTTTTTTTTTTTGTTTGGACAGAAAAAAAAATAATAAGGTGGAAGAAAGAACTAAAGCCCAAATGGCACCGCAGGCTCTGTATATAGTTATAATAATATTTAATAGAAAAATAATATTATACAAGAAAATCAAAAATTAGTAGCAAAACAAAATAAAAAAAAAAACGAGAAAAAGGCAAAAGACCAAATAAGTCCAAGACCAACAACCAAAGGCTGTCCCACATTGTTCTCCGCACGTCTATATTACGCGGGATTTTCTTTCTCTCTCCTCTTAAACCCCCCGAAAAACAAGAAACATCCTGTCGAAGAAAAAAAATCTAAACAGAACAACATATTATCAAAATATCCAATTAGCTAAATCCTCCTTCTGGGTTGGATTGGATTAGACCTCTGCATGACTTTCTGTTTTGATTCCATTTTCCGTGAATTTCTTAGATTTCTGATCGTGAAGACAATGTTGCATTGGTTAATACATCTCCTCCACGTTCAAAACACAAAAGTATAATCTTGGGCGCTAATTTAATAGCCTCTCTCTGCTGCATACATTGTTTGTTTTGCTGCTTGCATGTCATGTCACCACGTTCAAATCTTGAAAAATCTCGGCTTTACGATTGAGAATCATTGGGAAACTTGTGGATTCTTCCTAAAGCTGAGAAATTTGAATTGGGTTATAGCCAAATTTGAAGATTTTAATTACCTGGTGCGCGTCATTCCAAGACCAAGGAGCAGAAGGGCGCGCGGCCATTGTTGTTGGAAGCCAGAAAGGCTGGTGCTTTCAAAACGTTTCTGTTTGGTTTGAGGGAAATTGCAGGATTTTGTGTCAAGTTCGATGAAATGAGAAGGAAAATATATGGATGGGATGGAAATGAGAAGAGGCAGTTATGCGGTTGTTTTTGGGATTCTGCTTTGTGCATTGGTGATAGGGGCCTCCGAGGGGGTGAGGAGGACAAAGGAAACATTTATAGGCAATGGAGGTGGTTGGGTTACGCAGGAGATAGACGAAGACATGGTATGAATAAATTTGAATTTCCTTCTAATTTTTCTCTGCTGGTTTTTTCCTCTTTCATGATTATTAGCTATGTTCTAACCTTCAAGGTTGAAACCATTTTTCCATTTTTCCATTTTGCAATTGGGATGGTAGGCATAGCCTTGTGGAAATTCTAGTTTCTTGAAATTTCTTGGTCACTATAATGCAGAAAATCGGCAAAACTGTTTTACCTTTAATTAGAAATTGATTAAAACTTGTATCAATATATATATTTTTAAATCTAAGCTTTTTCTCTGTCTGCAATGCATGATTGTTTTTTTTTTTTTTTTTTTTTTTTTTTTTTTTTTTGTTTGTCGGATTCATTTTTTTCCAATGCCTATGCAGTGTAGCCTATTAGGAAATTTGTAGTAGTGTTTATTCCCTTGAAATCAAGCAAGAACCAACCTTTGGTTGCTAATGAGAAGAGAAATTAAAGTCAGTCGGTCTGCGATCTTGCCTAACATGTAACACTAGCAGGTTCCTGTTACAACAAAGCTAAGAATCTATTTAGGTGACACAATTATATAGGTTTTTGATGCATGGGGAGATCAATGTACAAGTTTCTGGCACTTGAAAGCAGGATTGTGTTATTTATACTGAAGCTACATGCAAACATGTATCATTCTGATATAAGAGGATCATCACCAATATTTGACAAGATATTCTGACTGCAGGCAGAGCAGGCATGGGTACATTGCAGGAAAGAACTGATAGATGGCAAAGATGTTGTCGAAAACTTTAACTTGTATATCCCACAGGAGGCGACCAGTGACTCTGAAACAATGTTCTTAACAAAAAGCAACATACATAATGCAATTTTAGTTCTTCCTCCTCACGTGAAACAAACACTTTTTGATTGCTTAAGAAAGAAAGGGCTTCTGTTTCGTCCTTCTGGCAAAAAGGCTAGCTCCAAGAACTGGTTCATCGACTACTTAGAGTGGCTTTTAAGTTGGCCTCATTCTCCTAGGAGATATTTGGCCGGTGATTCGCATAGGCCAATGGAACTGACTCCTGCTCCTGACCTAGCTCCAGGGCCTGCTCCTGATCTAGCTTCAGGGCCTGCTCCTGATCTAGCTCCAGAGACTGCTCCGGTTCTAGCTCCAAGCCCTTCTCCGCTTCTAGCTCCAGGCCCTGCAGCTAAGTTGCCTAGACAACAAGCACCTTCTCCTTCTCCTTCTAAACATATCCATACTACTTTTCGTGCTAGTCCAAATCCACCACCAAAGGATCCCTCATCCAAAAAGAAAAATCCACCATCAAAGGAACCCTCACCAAAAAAGAAAAATCAACCACCGAAAAAGAAAAGTCCACCATCAAAGGAATCAAAAACTGAAAAGCCTCCTGCAAAGGATAATAGCAGTCTGATCAAACTAATTGCTATTGCTGGAACTGCAGTAGTTACACTTATCATTCTTGCGCTTCTTTGTTTTTGCTGTCTTAAGAAAAGGAGAAGCAGAAAAGTTGGTCCAAGAAATGGACAAAATGATGACAGGCCTCTTCTCACATTGTCTGCTGGTATGCAATTCTTAGATTTTTCGTTTATTGACTGATGACTATCTTCACATTCTAAGGCATTTCACTATATTTGTAATGCCACAGGCTCTTCACAGAAGTCTACTGGTTTAGAAAATTCCAATAACAAAGAGTTCAGCACTAGCGGAGATTTTGTAAACAATATGCCCGTGAAAACTGAAAATGAACCTTCGCCGGGTGAGGCAAGTACATCAGAAAGCACAGCAGGAGGGCCATTGCCTCCCCTAAAACCTCCCCCTGGAAGACCAGCTCCTCCGCCTCCTGGACCACCACCACCACCTCCTCCTCGTCCTCGTGCCCCACCGCCTCCAAAAGTTGCACCTCCACCAAAGCCATTGCCTGGTAAGATCCAACGTCCACCTTTAGGACCACATCGCAAAGGAAACAGTGTTGATGGTGATGTTGATGGTGAGTCTGGATCTCAAAAAGCCAAGTTAAAGCCATTCTTCTGGGATAAGGTTGTTGCCAATTCTGATCAATCAATGGTCTGGCATGAGATCAGTGCAGGATCATTTCAGTAAGGCTGTAACTCTCATGATGAATCTAATTTTCAATAAATAAACTAACTTTAAATACTCCAATTTAACTTCCAACTTCTGTACAGATTCAATGAGGAGCAGATAGAGTCTCTATTTGGTTATAATGCTGTAGATAAAGCCAAAAATGATCGCAGGAAGGAAGCATCATCCTTAGAACCTGCAATCCAGTATATTCAAATTATTGACAGAAAGAAAGCACAAAATCTATCAATTCTTCTACGAGCATTGAATGTGACCGCGGAAGAAGTTTCTGATGCCCTCCGAGAAGGTGAATCTCTCTCTCTCTCTCTCTCTCTCTCTCTCTACTAAAAGACATTTCTCGTGGTGAAAAACTTTACATGATTGTTTGCCAATCTGAAGTTCCATGTTACGTTTTTCTTCATTTTGGTTTAAGTACTAAAATATGTTTAGAAAAAGAGGATGAATAAATCAACACCATGTACAAAACTTGACTATCATGTTACACAGAATAAAAACTAGAAATACGATGTTTTAATCAAGTAAAAACAAGAAATACCCTGTTTTAATCATTTGTCCTGGATGATGGGCTGGTCAATGTGTCATTTCTTATCACTTATATAGTTCTTAACTTTTTAACCATTGAGATTGTCAGGTTTAAAAGGCATCACTGACTTACCTTTATTGATTGGATCAGGTAATGAACTTCCTTTGGAGCTTCTCCAGACCTTGTTGAAGATGGCGCCGACTGCTGAAGAAGAACTGAAGCTTAGGTTATACACCGGCGATATTGCTCAACTTGGCCCTGCAGAGCGGTTCCTCAAAGCCATGGTTGACATACCATTTGCTTTTAAGCGCATAGAGTCACTGGTGTTCATGTGTTCCCTCCCAGAAGAGGTCACTACCACCAAAGAGTCCTTTGTAACTTTAGAGGTGAGACACTAGACCCGTGAATGCATATTCATATCCAATCATATGTTGCAAGCTTTCTTTAGATATTTGTCAGTCATGTTCTTTAATGTTTAACAAGACAGCAATCTTCAATATTTCTGTATTATCTGACCATTCCTCATCTTAAATGTCAGGTTGCTTGCAACAAACTCAGAAAGAGCAGGCTGTTCCTAAAACTTTTAGAAGCAGTTCTGAAAACTGGAAACCGCATGAATGATGGTACCTACCGTGGTGGTGCGCAGGCATTTAGGCTTGATACACTCTTAAAACTGGCTGATGTAAAAGGCACTGATGGCAAGACCACACTCTTGCACTTTGTTGTTCAAGAGATCATCCGTTCTGAGGGCCGAAGAGCTGTCCGCACAGCCAGAGCAAGCCGGAGCATGTCCAACGTGAGTGCAGAGGATTTAGCTGAGGATGTCAATGAGGAATCAGAAGAGCATTATTGTAGCCTCGGTCTTCAAGTTGTCTCCGGTTTAAGCGATGAACTTCAAGATGTGAGGAAGGCAGCTCTTGTAGATGCTGATGGCCTAACGTCAACAGTAGGAGTTCTTGGCCATTCACTAATAAAAACGCGAAATTTTATAAATGTTGAGATGAAGAATCTGGACGAAGACAGTGAGTTCCAACGTACGCTAGCCAGTTTTGTGGAGCGTGCAGAATCTGACATAACATGGCTGTTGGAAGAAGAAAAGAGGATAACTGCTCTTGTGAAGAGCACAGCGGATTACTTCCACGGGAATGCAGGGAAGGAGGAAGGCATTCGTTTGTTTGTGATTGTACGAGATTTCTTGGTAATTCTAAACAAGGTATGCACGGAGGTTCGAAATTCAGCAATGAAGTCAGCAAAGACTGCCAAGAAAGAGACCCCCTTAGAGGCAGCTTCAGAAAACCGCCAGCCGGCTACAGATATGCGTCAGCGACTGTTTCCAGCAATTGCAGAACGGCGAGTGGAGGATGGTTTCAGTTCAGATGATGAGGCCTAGCTTTTCATTTAGAATAGGTATATGGGAGTTCTGGCTTGGAAGCGTATTGTTTTCCTCTCTGGTTTGGTAATCCGAAACGAATGGAAGAATTTCAATCACCTATTACTTATTCTTTGGTTGTGTTTTCAAGGAAATCAAAGGTTACTCTTGAGTCAAGTAAGGCGATAGTGCTGAAAACATGTGTGCAGAATGAAATTGGCCTTCAAATCATATTGGGATTTATAAGACAATGTTTGTGGAAGTAGCTATAGTAAATCTTTTATTATGTTCAAACTCCAAACTCAATGGCAATGTCTGGCATAATGCTATTTGTTTGGCTTTCCACCAATGTACCTTTCCCTCGCTATTTTCATTGTCGCCTGCACATTTTTCAGGTGGCATGATGACCGAAAAATGTCAGTTCTATCCGGCAACAGAATTCCCTTTCAAAAAAATTTGTGCGTCTAGCACTGGCTCCATAGATCCAAAGGCAAATGGGATTTTCAAAATGTACATAAAAGACGTGTGAAATAAAAAACAACAGTAAAACCATTGCTGGTTTTGTCCACCCATATTTATAACACATGTATTCGTTACAATGTAACGGTCACACACCCAAATAATTTGAGATTAAATCGATATCAGACAACAATTAAAATTATATCAAAATGATTTTGTTTTTAATTGTTTGCTATATGTTTCCTTCTTCTCTTTTTGTCTTTAGGGACTTGTTCTTGTCTTATATACCAAAAAACATTGTTTTATCATTCTTCATTTATTCTTTTTATTTTATTTTAACAAAATTATGCTCCCATCTTTTAAAATAAATCAATCAATTCCTCAAAAACAGGAATTAAAAAAATATATATATTAAACGACATTACGTATATAAAAAAAACGCGAGGACATTACCATTAATCAACGTGGGAAAGAAACGGGAAAGTAGCCCAAGGGATCTGGTCCCACAGTCCTTGGCCCAATAATAACGCGACACGTCACAAAGTCCCTGGTCAAAACCCTACTACGAACTCTATATAAACCCTCTACTGTCGTTGTAGTTACACACTGAACTCCTCGATAGCTTACAAATCAAAAGCTTCAATTCAAGACCTTCTCTCTCTCCGATGGCTCCGAAGAAGCTTCTAGATGACCCACCTGTGGTGGAAGACTCCGATGAGGAAACTGTCGACGAGGAAACTGTCGACGAAGAACCAGAGGAAGAAGACGACGCCGTTGAAGCTGAAGACGGCAAAGCAAAATCGGGAGATGATAACCATGACGGTGATGAAGAAGAAGGAGAAGAAGACGCCGACGAGGAAGACGAAGACGAAGACGAAGAGGACAATGAGGAAAAGAAAGAGAAGCCCTCTTCTAAGAAGGCCCTATTAACTTCTTCATCGGCGGTTTCGAATTCAAATCCCCAATGGCCATCTGCCTCCGAAGACGATTCCGGATCCGGGTCGGAAACAGAGTCCGAAAACAACAGCCAATCACCATCAGCTTCCGACTTCACCGTCAAGCCTATTGTTTCGAAGCCCATGAACGACACCGTCAAGACCAACAAGAAGAATGCTCCGGCGAAGCCCGCGCCGGCATCCAATTCCGGGTCAAAGCGCCCAGAGACCGAGCCCAACAAGAAGAATGTTCCATCATCGTCCAATTCCGGGTCAAAGCGCCGGGCGGAGACCGAGCCCAACCCGAAGGACTCTAAGAAGAAGAAGGTCGTGAACAGTGGCGATGACGATGATGGGAAAAAGGGACGGCTTTGGAGCGAAGATGATGAAATTGCGATCTTGAAGGGCATGATAGAGTACCAAGTCAAAAATGGCCCCGTAACAAATTCGACTATGGGCGCATTCCATGAGTTTATCAAGAAAAAATTGCAGGTCGATGTAAGCAAGCTGCAGTTGAGCGATAAGATCAGGAGGTTGAAGATGAAGTACCAGAAGAAGGGAGAGAATGGCGAGGATCCGGTGTTTTCCAAGCCCCACGAAGTCAAGTCCTTTGATCTATCGAAGAAGGTTTGGGGTGTTGAGGCTAATGGGGTCGATGATAATGCAAAGGACAGCAAGAGGAAGCCAAGGAAGAGCAATAAGGTTGACAAAGCTACAGTCTTGGCCTTGCCTGTTTCAGATATAGCACCTGTTTCAGATGTAGCTGAGAAGAAAGAGGAGCTTAATGTAGCTAATGGTGGAATTAAGGCTGACCCAGTTGACTTTTGGTCTAAATACCCATGCCTGAGTGGTTCTTTGGGGTTGGAAAATTCCACACCGAGGTCAGATTTAACTACCCTTATGATTCAGAAAATGCCTTTGATTGGGAAATCGAAGGCTAAAGAGTTGGAGGGGAAGTGGAGGGCCTTGCAGCTCATTGAAATGGAGTTGTCTGTCAAGAAGCTTGCTTTGATGCAGGAACAGGCTAAATTTGTATTGGATTCAATGAAGTCTTCGGAGGATTAGAGGTTACTTTAAAGGTAATTCATGGTTTTTCTGGACTTTTTGTTAATATTTGAGTTGAAAACTTAGTGGTATTTTCTTCAGATGGAAGTTGTTTTGTTTTAGCCATTGGGTTCTCAAATTTTGATAAAGAATATTGTTTTGCTATTAGCCTAAGGTATACCATATGTTACATGGAGATTATTTCCGTATAATTCAAGTAATTTCTTTATGGTATTTTAGCTGTCTTTTGCAATTTATTTTGAGACTGGATGGGGTTTGATAAATAGTCTTGTTGATTGGAAAATATGATGTTACAAGATTTCCTTTGTTGCGTGGTAACATTTTGTTTTATTGGTGGTGTGGTGGAGATCTTTATAAGGTTCTATCTGAAGAATCAGGGGTAACAATTTGTTTTATTGGTGGTAGAGATCTTTATAGGGTTTTAACTTCTAAGTATCTCTGTTCTGAAGATTCAGGGTAGGAAATGAGAGATAATTTGACCCACTAGAATTTATCAAGTTCATATGAACTCAGGTGAAGGATTTGTCCCACTAAAAAGGGGGGGGCCGAATATTTCACATGGCACTCTAACCCCATTCTTAGATGTGGAATTATAAGAGGCGTCCTTCTTTCTACAGATAAAAGTCCTCCCTAAGGTTGCTCTTACAATGGAATTGTAGCCCATGCCCTGCATGTGGATGCTATGCTACCAAATGATAGGAAACCATGGGGAGAACTTGTCTCTGTAAAACTGGCTTGCAAGTCCAATAGTTCATGTACTCATTACTAATTCGATGTTTGATTACAAGAGGCACATGATACGAGTTTTTTTTTCTTTTTTGGTTGGAATTGTGGTGCTTTTCTAAATCTTATTCCTGATTGATATTCTTGAGGGTCTTGAATAGATTCCTTTCTGTTGTCTGAAGAATCAGAGTAGGGACTGGTAATTTAACTAACTAAGCTTTCTTTATGGAATTGAGATTCCTTTCAAATGTGGTCTTTAATTTTTATACACGTTCTTAAGAGCTAGTAGAGTTAATGGTTAACTTGATAGAACCAGCATATAGTAAGGGGTCCTTTTTAACTTGGATAGGATAGGGAAAAATCCTCCCACATAACCAGTGTTTTCAAAGGCATGCGTAGGTGCGCCTCGAAGCGCACGTCAGAGCGAGGCGGGAGCAAATCACCTCAGGCGTTCCCTTGGTTAGCTATTTGCACACTTAGCCCATGCATCAACGGCGAGGCGTAGGAAGGCATGCGCTCTGTCATGTGAGGCGTGAGCTTCGCGAGGAATTTGGGTTACCTTTGGGTTTTAATGAAGCTGTGCGTTTTGGATGTTGCTTTAAACTTTTTTGTTCTTTGTTGGCTTAAAAAATCAATTTCTCACTCCTACCCAATACAATCAAACAAACCTAAACCCCAAATTCATTCCGCATATCTATTCAGCTCTAACCTTCCTCTCAATTTAGGAACCAGCCTGCCTCTCAATTGTATGACCAATTGAGTTTTAAGATTGACTATTATAATTATTACTTATATTTAATTATATTTGATTGATTATTAAGCTTCAATGGAAATTAATGGTTCAGTTTAATTATTGTATTATTTTTCAATGTTCTTATAAAAATAATTAATGTCTCAAAAGGCTTACGTCTCGCCTTACGAGACCAAAAATGCCTTGCATCTACTCCTTGTTTTTCAAAACATTGTGCATAGCATATTGATTAATTAGAGCTTGAACATCTAGGTAAGAATTTGTATAAAGTCCATGATTTCAAATATGCTGGCAACTAGTCCCTTCTGCATCTGCGTTGATATGAAACTTTCCATAGCGTCCTCCTCTGTCGTATTTGGGCTGCACTTTCGAAATAGGTTGTGCCGCCGATGTATATGCAAGATGTTTGAATTTAGAATTAGTCAGTTTCTATTGTGCCAGTTGTGCTAACGGGGTAAGTATCTTCTTCGAATTTGAAATTTCATTAACACAATTGTCAAAGCTCCTACTAGTTGGTGACTTGGGAGTTGGTTGAGTACTCCCACAAACGTTGTCATGGTTAGACAATTGCTCCTCAACTTTCTGCATCCAAGCCATTACAATCACACAAGCCGCCGATGTATCTTCTTCGAATTTGTAAGGCCCACTCCGTATTGTATTTCACTAATATAAATTATCTATTTTGTAGACACTCATTCATAGATCATCTCTACAAAAAATAACTTGAATCCGATATCATTTGATCACTCAATTGAATTATTGAAATGTTCGTACTTTCTTAAAACACCATATTTATTGATTTTGTAGGACACAATTGGATATCGAAACAGTTTCCAATTTGTCTAATTTTTTGCAAAGATGGTCTATGAATGTAGACTTAAAAAAATAGATTGTTTGGATCGTTGAAAAAAAATTCTTAGGAGACCCTAAAAGTTGTTCCTCAATAAAAAGAGACTAATATATATTTTTTATATATAATATATCATGCATAAAGGAAAAGGAATCTAATACTTGCCAATAATTTAATAGAATAGTTACAAACACAAAAAGTTAGTTCTGCGTATCCCACTAACAGTAAATACGTCTTCTTTTCTTTTCTTCTCCTTTTTTTTGTTTTTTTTGTTTTTTGGGTGTCTGTTTGCAGTGGGTAAATCTTTGTAAATCATATTTGGTAGAGGCACGGTGGTTTTACGGAGGATACACGCCAACATTACAAGAGTACTTAGACAACGCATGGACTTCAGTGGGTGGCCCTGGTGCTCTTCTCCATACTTATTTGTTGCAAGGATTAGGAAGCCACCTCACAAAAACTTCACTTGAGTCCTTTAAGCATGGCTCTGAAATTGTATATTGGTCATCCCTCATGACTCGACTTAGCGATGATTTGGGCACTTCCAAGGTAACATATGACTTCACTAACGAACAAGAAAAATGCTAGTGTCACTCGCGCGAATGGTTGACATTGCATCACAAGTCCACGCGTGATTGATGCTAGCACAACTCGTATCTTAGTATCTTCTATATGTAATGTATATATAAGCTTAATTAACTTATTAGCAAACTTGATAGTTAAGTTCTAATTATTCTGTTTTTTGCACAAATTATAAAGGCTGAAAGTGAGAGAGGTGATGTGGCTAAAGCCGTAGAATGTTACATGGAAGAAAAAGGCACATCTGAGGAAGAAGCACAGCACTACATAAACGATTTGATATGCTATTCATGGAAGAAAATGAATGAGGAGAGTGCAAAAACTAGCAGGATACCAAAATCAGTTGTAAAAATGTCACTCAATATGGCGCGGACTGCTCACTCTATCTTTCAACATGGCGATGGTATTGGAACTTCAATTGGGGTCACCAAAGATCGTTTAATTTCTTTGATTGCAAATCCTATTCCTATATATCATGAACCCAAGTGACCAAGATCACTGGATTTATTGTAATATACTAGATTCTTAATTACAGGCCTCCTAAATTGATCGAAGCTGAAAGGCTGAAAACAATTCTATAAACACTCAGTTTGATGTGAATTTTCTGTTCTTAAGCGTTTTTGCTAAAACTGCTTTTATTGAAAACACTTTTATGCTAGAAGTACTTTTACTAGAAACACTTTATGCATTCACCGTTACAACAATTCGTGCTCTCAAATAGTAAAGCGCCCATAAAGTTCCATGTCCCATCTTTCTTTCTTTTTTCTTTTTTATTTTTTTGACCTTTTCTATTGAGAGGGGCGATAGTATATTAAACCCACACACACTACACGAATGCTAGGACTTAAACCCAGAACCTTTCCTGGGATGAGCAATTGCTCCAAACCACAACTCTATTGAGTCTTTTGCTCCATCTTCTATATTAATCCATGGCCTTTGGAAAATAAAAGAAAAGGAAAAAGGCACCTAACAATATGATCTTGAGATAAGCAGCAATATTGAATATAATCCAGTGCAACAACAATGGAGGAAGGGAGTGTTGTGGAGACGCAAGGAAAAATTGAGAACAGAAGTGAGGCCACTTACCAGGGACGTTAGGGTTTTTTCATTTTTCAATTTTTTTTTATAAGGATTATTGAAAAGAGAATAAATAAAAAATATAATACACATAAGGCAACATTCATTAATTGATATGGCACAGGGTTTAGGGTTTAGAGAAAAAACATGTGGGAGACATTGCGCATTGAGCCAACAACAGTTCCCTTGTTTGTTTGTGTGAATAGTTGAGTTGACCCTAATGAAGAAATTGCAGAGATTCCTAAATTCATAAGTATCAATGAACCAATGCTTGGTTGTTTTATCGTCTTTTGGCACATGCTTCCTTCCTAGACTGAGCTTCTGCAAAACGGGCATCATCAGATATATATATTATATATATATATATATATATATATATAAAATACGTATTTCTGCGCATGGAGAAATTAAAAAAAACGAGTTAGAGTCCTCCCTAAAAATCAAAAGAAAAATCTAAATTATATGGAATCTTAATAAACTAAGACTGCCAGCAGGAGATGAAACAGAAACAACCAAGTTGATTGCCCTGCTGGGAGATCCAACCAATAATTAAGAGCCTTGCAGGACAGATCAGGATTTTAAAAATGACGTGGGCTAAATTTCATTGATGATAAAAAAATACACGGGGTACATAATGAGTCTTACCTCTCAAAAACCCCTTATCCGATACTACTATTAAAATAACATATGTTTAAAATAATATGTATTCAAAATAGTCATTTTCCAAATTAGCATAATTGTTACTAGAATTCCCCAAAAAATAATAGCCCGATACAAAGGTAGAGGAAAAGGACCTTTGTGGAGTTGAGAAGAAGCAACCTTGGAACTGGTGCATCCGATCGATGAGAGTGTTGGGTGTTTTTTTGTTTGGTTAGCCAGCCTAGTGGGGATTAGTTAATAAGATTAGCTTAAGCCACTCAGAAGCGGGGACGTTTTGTGATAAAACTAAAATAGTACACTAGCATAGGCTACTCAAAAGCAGGGATGGACCCACATTGGAGTCAATGGGGTCAACGACCCTATGGACTCCATGAAAGCAAAGTAGAAGGTCCCTTTGAATGGGTGTGTGACCCCATGAATGGTTGAAGGAGGAGGCTGCAGATCTGAGGAAGAAGAAGTTGAACGGGGTTTGTTTTTTTTTTTTTTTTTTTTTTTTCAGGCTGGCCAAAACGTTGTCGTTTTGGACTAGCCTAGCGAATTTTTTTTTAAACGCGCTAGCCAAAACGCCGTCATTTTGGACCAGCAACAACTTATTTTTTTTAAAAGACCTGGCCAAAACGACGTCGTTTTAGTCCAGGTCTTTAAAAATAATAATAAAACATATTGTAATGTTGAAACAAACCCTCTTCGACCAAAAAGAAACAGACCATCAGAACTCCAAAACCCCCATTTCCTAAACCCTCAAACCTAAATCCCCAATCTCCACCCCCCACAAACCTTTTTTTTAAAAAAATTAAACTTTTACACTATGACCCTACAAGATAAGATTCCTGGGTCCGTCCCTGCTCAGAAGACTATTGTCCACGCCACATTTTCCAATCTCCTTCCATCGTGCAAATATCTTTTCCATCCCATTCAACAAATTTCTTTTTTTGTCAAAGTTAGGATATTCTCACACACACTGCAATGTATTATTGAAGTTCGATTTTAAGATTGTCAAAGTTAAGATAACGTAAGGTTTTTCTCACACACACTGCGATGTATTATTGAAGTTCGATCCCAGTATTATTGAAGTTCGATCCTAAGATTGTCAAATTTAAGATAAGGTAGGCTTTTTCTCACATGCACTGGGATGTATTATTAAAGTTCAATCCTAAGATCATACATCTATAAATGAAAATCATTTTTCACGCTTAGATTAGACTCCATTAGCCTTTTTTTTTTCTTTTATCAACGAGTACATTGAACGCAAACTGTTCATTACTTGAATGATCATCCCGTGACCCGTCGTACACCTACAATCTTCTTCCTCTCCCCCAATTAATACGATTTGCAGAAGATGTGTCTCCTAGTGGAGCTAGTCCAAGTAAGAGGACTTTCAAAGGTTCAAAGTGGAGCTAGTCCAAGCTACTTTAAAACGTGCAATACAATATACATGCGTTTATTAATTGATGCTCATCTCACGTGCTTCAATAAAAACTCATTTAAAATATCTATCATCTCATGTGCTTCAATAAAACTGTTCACTGAAAATATCTAGAGCTGTCGGTTCTGCGGTAAGCGGATTGTATATATAAGCTCGTAGTCTCCGCTATATTGTATCCAATCTTAAATACACAACCGTGAAACATATTTTCTCCTCCCTCTCTCTCTCCTTGCCCTTGGTCTCTCCCTCCTTTGTCACAAGTTATCAAAGATTAATCCATATTCCAACAGCTCTACCGCATAGAACCAGGGGAAAACAATTAGCCTCCTTCATCGTCTCAAGAAACATGATGACATCATCACCATCATCAACGTTGATTAGTAATCCTCCTGCGCCTCAACGGCGATTAGCTCAGTACCATCCTACCATTTGGGACCACAAACTCATCGACTCCTTCACCACTCACTACACCGTGCGTATGCTATTTCGTTAACTATATTAATCACATACTTTTCAATTAGGTTATGCCTCACGTGTGTCATGCATACACATCCTAATCATTTTTAGTTATTAATATTCATCCAATGCAGTATGAATTACACGCCACACGATTGGAGAGTCTAAAGCAGAACGTTGCTAAAACGTTGCTGGCTGCATCCACCAGTAACAAAGGCAGCTCTGCCAGCACTTGTTCCGTTTTAAAGCTTATCGACTCAATGCAGCGGTTGGGAGTGGCCTACCATTTTGAGAAAGAGACCGATGCAGCTCTACTTAGTCTCGTTTCTTCGAGCACTCATGGTACCGCAGATGATCTTCACACAGTTGCCTTGCAATTCCGGATACTAAGAGAACATGGCATCTCTATTAGCCCAGGTATAAATTTCACATACTATGGCGTCTCTTTGCTTCAATTGTCCGAACCATCTGTTTCCTATATTTCAATTCTTACTTTACTTGTGGATGATGGTAACAAATGAACAGAAGTGTTTAACAAGTTTAGAAGTAGAGACGGAAGCTTCAAAGACAGCTTAAGCAAGGACGTGGAGGGACTTTTGAGTTTGTACGAAGCCTCACACCTTGGGATGCCTGGGGAAGAAGAAGATCATGTTTTGGAAGAAGCCAAGAGTTTTAGTACCAAAAACTTGAGACAACTGGTAGGAACATTGGAAGACGATAATTTATTAAAGCAAATAGTAGAGCAATCACTAGAAACCCCCCTGAATTGGAGGATGCCAAGAATAGAAGCCCGGAACTTCATCGATATCTACGAAAGAGACAATTCTAAGAACCTGGCTTTGCTTGAATTGGCCAAGTTGGATTATAATCTTGTCCAATCAGTATACCAAATGGAGATAAAGGAGCTGTCAAGGCAAGACATCTACGTTTATTATTTTAATCAAACTGCATCATTGACAAAAACTAGACTGAATGTGTTTAATCAGATTTGATTGTTGTCCGCAAAACGCATGATGCAGGTGGTGGAGAGACTTGGATTTCAAAAACAAGGCAAGTTTCTCAAGGGATAGATTGATGGAGAACTACTTGTGGGCAATGGGGATCAATTATGAGCCCCGATTCTCAGAATGCAGGATTGGCCTCACCAAGTTTGTTTGCATATTAACAATAATTGATGACATGTATGATGTCTATGGATTTCTGGATGAGCTTGAGCACTTTACACAGGCAGTATGTCGGTAAGATGTAGTTGAGATGTTTTTCTTTTTTTTTTTTTTTGAATATTCATAATCATAGAAATAATGTATTTCATATTTGTTCGCTTTTGTATGGATTTTGCTTGCGAGGCGCGCACACACACACTCTTTCTTTTGTTTTCTTGTAGCTAAGCTAGATCATCAATTGTCTTCACATAATCCTTTCCTTGACCTATACAAAGTTACATAATTAATTACGACGTAATCATCTTCACTAGTAGGTAATCGAGACACATGCTACCTAAGTTATTATTTATTTTTCTTTGTTATAATGGAAAATAATTGAACTCTTGACTTAGTCTAATCCTAATTCATTTTCCCGACTCTTTACAGCTTACCTACCTTGATTAAATTTTCAGTCAAATAATCATTTCAAGTTTTCAACCTTTCTTTTTCCTTCCTCATATTTTTTTCTTTTTGTTGTTGTTTTTACACAGATGGAATATGGAAGCAAAGGAGGAGCTTCCCGAGTACATGAAGCCAGTTTATGCTGCCATGCTCAAATTTGGCAACGAATTAGCTGATAACGTTTTTAAAAATAATGGTTTGGACGTCCTCCCTTATATTAAGAAAGAGGTAATTACGGTGAAATGTATATCCACATCTCTTCTCATATATATAGAGCTCTAGTTGAGGGATCCCTCAAATAAGCTTATTTGAGGGACACCTTTGTAGGTAGTCGTGGAGACACTCCTAAGTCTAGAGTGGCCCTAGCCCCTCTAGATTTTTATCCCTCCTCTATTATATTTTATATAATATATAGAATTTGTAATAAACAACTTATAATTTAAGTTAAAATTTCCTGTAAAACAAATTAGGCATGATTCAAGTAGAAATATTTAGCTCTAAACACGTAATTATTGAATACTTATGTGCTTTATAGACTTGTATTTTCTACTTCGGCACCCCCAACTTTACAATTCTAGCTCTGCCCCTGCTTGTAGGGTCCATTCCGTATTGTATTTCACTAATATAAATTATCTATTTTGTAGATACTCATTCATAGATCATCTCTACAAAAAATCACTTGAATCCGATATCATTTGACCACTCAATTGAATTATTGAAATGTTTGTACTTTCTTAAAACACCGTATTTATTGATTTTGTATGACACAATGGGATATCGAAACAGTTTCCAATTTGTCTACTTTTTTGCAAGGATGGTCTATGAATGTAGACTTAAAAAAATAGATTCTTTGGATCGTTGAAAAAAAATTCTTAGGAGACCCTAAAAGGTGTTCCTCAATAAAAAGAGACTCATATATATATATATATATATTTTATATATAATATATCATGCATAAAGGAAAAGGAATCTAATACTTGCCAATAATTTAATAGAATAGTTACAAACACATAAAGTTAATTTGCCATGTTAGTTCTGCGTATACCACTGACAGTAAATACGTCTTCTTCTTTTTTTTGTTTTTTTCTTCTGTTTTTTTTTCGGGTGTCTGTTTGCAGTGGGTAAATCTTTGTAAATCATATTTGGTAGAGGCACGGTGGTTTTACGGAGGATACACGCCAACTTTACAAGAGTACTTAGACAACGCATGGACTTCAGTGGGTGGCCCTGGTGCTCTTCTCCATGCTTATTTGTTGCAAGGATTAGGAAGCCACCTCACAAAAACTTCACTTGAGTCCTTTAAGCATGGCTCTGAAATTGTATATTGGTCATCCCTCATGACTCGACTTAGTGATGATTTGGGCACTTCCAAGGTAACATATGACTTAACTAACGAACAAGAAAAACGCTAGTGTCACTCGCGCGAATAGTTGACATTGCATCATGAGTCCACATGTGATTGATGCTAGCACAACTCGTATCTTAGTATCTTCTATATGTAATGTATATATAAGCTTAATTAACTTATTAGCAAACTTGATATTTAAGTTCTAATTATTCTGTTTTTTGCACAAATTATAAAGGCTGAAAGTGAGAGAGGTGATGTGGCTAAAGCCGTAGAATGTTACATGGAAGAAAAGGGCACATCTGAGGAAGAAGCACAGCACTACATAAACGATTTGATCTGCTATTCATGGAAGAAAATGAATGAGGAGAGTGCAAAAACTAGCATGATACCAAAATCAGTTGTAAAAATGTCACTCAATATGGCGCGGACTGCTCACTCTATCTTTCAACATGGCGATGGTATTGGAACTTCAATTGGGGTCACCAAAGATCGTTTAATTTCTTTGATTGCAAATCCTATTCCTATATATCATGAACACAAGTGACCAAGATCACTGGATTTATTGTAATAGACTAGATTCTTAATTACAGGCCTCCTAAATTGATGGAAGCTGAAAGGCTGAAAACAATTCTATAAACACTCAGTTTGATGTGAATTTTCTGTTCTTAAGCATTTTTGCTAAAACTGCTTTTATTGAAAACACTTTTATGCTAGAAGTACTTTTACTAGAAACACTTTATGCACTCACCGTTACAACAATTCGTGCTCTCAAATAGTAAAGAGCCCATAAAGTTCCATGTCCCATCTTTCTTTCTTTTTTCTTTTTTTTCTGACCTTTTCTATTGAGAGGGGCGATAGTATATTAAACCCACACACACTACACGAATGCTAGGACTCGAATCCAGAACCCTTTCCTGGGAGGAGCAATTGCTCCAAACCACTACTATATTGGGTCTTTTGCTCCATCTTCTATATTAATCCATGGAGGAAGGGAGTGTTGTGGAGACGCGAGGAAAAATTGAGAACATAAGTGAGGCCACTTACCAGGGACGTTAGGGTTTTTTCATTTTTCCTTTTTTGTTTTTAAGGATTATTGAAAAGAAAATAAATAAAAAATATAATACACATGAGGCAACATTCATTAATTGATATGGCACATTAGCTGCCACATAAGATGGTTAGCTAAATAGCATTGCTCCTACTCTAAAGAAGCTGTTTAGCCTTTTGATTGTTTTCCTTCCGCCTGTCCTGCACTATCTACGCGGCAGTAATAATAACTGGCAATTCTGCCACGGTTTACTTATGGAGCCGGCCAAGCTCTCCCCCAAGCAGAATTTAGCTTGCCTTTCTGGTTCTTGGGAGGGAGTCTATATTCTTGAAAAGTCGGCAACCGACAATTATATGTCCGTACTTTCAGTATTGTTTGAAAGGAGGTGTTATTGAAACTTAAAAATTACTCCTTCGTAGAGAAAAAACATGTGGGAGACATTGCGCATTGAGCCAACAACAGTTCCCTTGTTTGTTTGTGTGAATAGTTGAGTTGACCCTAATGAAGAAATTGCAGAGATTCCTAAATTCATAAGTATCAATGAACCAATGCTTGGTTGTTTTATCGTCTTTTGGCACATGCTTCCTTCCTGGACTGAGCTTCTGCAAAACGGGCATCATCAGATATATATATATATATATATATATATATATATAATACGTATTTCTGCGCATGGAGAAATTAAAAAAAACGAGTTAGAGTCCTCCCTAAAAATCAAAAGAAAAATCTAAATTATATGGAATCTTAATAAACTAAGACTGCCAGCAGGAGATGAAACAGAAACAACCAAGTTGATTGCCCTGCTGGGAGATCCAACCAATAATTAAGAGCCTTGCAGGACAGATCAGGATTTTAAAAATGACATGGGCTAAATTTTATTGATGATAAAAAAATATACAGGGTACATAATGAGTCTTACCCCTCAAAAACCCCTTATCCGATACTACTATTAAAATAACATATATTTAAAATAATATGTATTCAAAATAGTCATTTTCCAAATTAGCATAATTGTTACTAGAATTCCCCAAAAAATAATAGCCCGATACAAAGGTAGAGGAAAAGGACCTTTGTGGAGTTGAGAAGAAGCAACCTTGGAACTGGTGCATCCGATCGATAAGAGTGTTGGGTGTTTTTTTGTTTGGTTAGCCAGCCTAGTGGGGATTAGTTAATAAGATTAGCTTAAGCCACTCAGAAGCGGGGACGTTTTGTGATAAAACTAAAATAGTACACTAGCATAGGCTACTCAAAAGCAGGGATGAACCCACAGTGGAGTCAATGGGGTCAACGACCCTATGGACTCCATGAAAGCAAAGTAGAAGGTCCCTTTGAATGGGTGTGTGACCCCATGAATGGTGAAAGGAGGAGGCTGCAGATCTGAGGAAGAAGAAGTTGAACAGGGGTTCTGTTATTTTTTTTTTAAACAGGCTGGCCAAAACGGTGTCGTTTTGGACCAGCCTAGCGAATTTTTTTTTAAACGCGCTAGCCAAAACGCCGTCATTTTGGACCAGCAACAACTTATTTTTTTTAAAAGACCTGGCCAAAACGACGTCGTTTTAGTCCGGGTCTTTAAAAAAAATAATAAAACAGATTGTAATGTTGAAACAGACCCTCTTCGACCAAAAAGAAACAGACCATCAGAACTCCAAAACCCCCATTTCCTAAACCCTCAAACCTAAACCCCCCACTCTCCACCCCCCCCCCCCCCCCCAACCTTTTTAAAAAAAATTGAACTTTTACACTATGACCCTACAAGATAAGATTCCTGAGTCCGTCCCTGCTCATAAGACTGTTGTCCATGCCACATTTTCCAATCTCCTTCCATCATGCAAATATCTTTTCCATCCCATTTAACAAATTTCTTTTTTGTCAAAGTTAGGATATTCTCTCACACACTGCAATGTATTATTGAAGTTCGATTTTAAGATTGTCAAAGTTAGGATAACGTAAGGTTTTTCTCACACACACTGCGATGTATTATTGAAGTTCGATCCCAGTATTATTGAAGTTTGATCCTAAGATTGTCAAAGTTAAGATAAGGTAAGGTTTTTCTCACATGCATTGCGATGTATTATTGAAGTTCAATCCTAAGATCATTCATCTGTAAATGAAAATCATTTTTCACGCTTATCATTTACATGAATGAAAATCATTTTTCACGCTTTGATTAGACTCCATTAGCCATTTTTTATCAACGAGTATATTCAACGCAAACTGTTCGTTACTTGAATGATCATCCCGTCGAACACGTACAATCTTCTTCCTCTCCCCCAATTAATACGATTTGCAGAAGATGTGTCTCCTAGTGGAGCTAGTCCAAGTAAGAGGACTTTCAAAGGTTCAAAGTGGAGCTAGTCCAAGCTACTCTAAAACGTGCAAAACAACCTGCAATACAATATACATGCGTTTATTAATTGATGCTCATCTCACGTGCTTCAATAAAAACTCATTTAAAATATCTATCATCTCATGTGCTTCAATAAAACCGTTCACTTAAAATATCTAGAGCTGTCGGTTCTTAGGTAAGAGGGATTGTATATATAAGCTCGTAGTCTCCGCTATATTGTATCTGTTGAAGAAAAATGTAACCTCCAAATATAATTTCACCACCACTAATCAATTAATGGGAAAATATGAACCTCCCAACATAATTTCATCACCACTAAACAATTAATGGGGTTTTATTATTTTAAGTTCGACCTATTCGAGACATAAGTCTCTTAATTACAATCCCTCGCTACAAGGGAAAACCCTTTGATTCCATCATAAAGAAACAGAATGTATGTGTTTGGTTTTGCGGCTGCTCCCAAGTCCTTTGATTCCATCATAAAGAAACAGAATGTATGTGTTTGGTTTTGCGGCTGCTCCCAAGTTCAACCTCAGGGTGCCTACGTATCCCTTGCAGGAATCAAGCCACTCGTAGTTCAAAGATTCGCAATGAGTAAATGACTCGTTGCAAAAGGAGGAATTTGAATGAATTTTATTGAGGTGTGTTTGAGTGAATCTAGCTGAATAAACCAATGGTTCGATATGGAATTGTGTTTGGGATGGTTGCATCTAGATTGAATCTCTAGATTGCCTACGTACCCTTTCAAATGGATCAAACCAACGTAGTTCGGAGTTGATTTGTGTGGAGATTTGATTGGTGAGAATTTAGTTGCGGTTGCGTCTATTGGGATGCTAGATTGCCTACGTACCCTTGATGGGATCAAACCAGCGTAGTTCCAAAATTTAGAAATTAATGGGTAAGTGTGGTCCAATAATTTAGAGTTGGTGTCTTTGAGACGATTTGAAGGTTTTCATAGGTAGATAACATATGGGAAAAATTGGAAATTAATGGATAAGTGTGGCCCAATAATTTAGAATTTGTGTCTTTGAGATAATTTGGGGATTTTCATAGGTAGATGACATATGGGAAAAATTGGAAATTAATGGATAAGTATGGCCCACTAATTGAGAATTTGTGTTTGACATATTTGAATTTAATCTCATTGGAATTTTTATGGATAGATGACCCATGGGAACAATTGGATGGTTTTGTACCATTTTTCCTTTTTGTTAATGTCCAAGAAAAATAATGAGCAATTTTAATTAACCCACTAATTTTCTAAAATTAACATTATTTGGACTTGGGCCCAAATATGGCAATGAGGATGGTTGAATTAATCCATTAACCATATGACAGGAAATCTGGGCCTATATAAATTTAATAGGTAATTATTTGGATCACCCATTAAATACTATGGACTTTTGAGAGTTAATGGGCAATTATTTTTGACAGCCCATTTTTCTATCTCGGGCCTTTGATATTTGTTGATAGTTGGCCCACGAACGAGGAGCCCAGAAGAGCTTTGGTCCAGCAAGCGATTGAAACAACCTGATAGATATCTAACTCTTTGTAGAGTTTGTTTCCAAGTAAAATCAGACCTTGCAGTCCCATATTTATCTGGAATACTTGTGATCAGTCCGAATTAAGAGCAAACATTGTTATTGTTCAGTCTTTAAAAGAGTACACGAAGTCACAATCAGTACAGAGCCTTTACAAAACCAGAAGAAAAACTGCCGCAACATATCAAGAGGTTTCAGATTTTTTTTGTCTTTTTCCACTTTTTTTCCTCTACAACAAGAAGTTTCTTATGTCCTTTTTTTTTCTTTTCTTCCAATCCCCAACAAAGTGGCGTCAGCCACCTTCTTCCTTTTTCTTTTTCTTTTTGTTTTGACTTTTCTTCTTCTCTACCCAGCCCATACAAAATAAAAAAATAAATGTGCTGTCCTCAACCTTTTTCTTTTCGATGGCTATCTTTCCTCCGGTAAAAGAAAAACAAGGATGCTTCATCTATTTTCTTTTTTAGAAACACAAAGTGGCGTATAGCCACTTTTCTTGCAGATCTCCATTTTTTTTCTGTCTGTTCTTTTCTTCATGACTAACTTCCTTTTCATCTTCTTTTTTTTTATGTATTTTACTCAAAGAAAAGTTTCTCATACAGAGATGGAGAAGAGTGGCCAAAGAGTCCAAGAGGTAGTTCACACCTTTTTTTTTGTGCATTCTGGAATTAACCATTAGAACACCATTTTTGTTCAGAGGATTTCCTTTTGCTCGGCAGAGCTTTGTTGGACAAGAATCCTCTCATGGCTTTTCCATTCATATATATGATATAAGGGTTGCCACCCATTATGGATTTATAATCCAAGAAAATGATTTGAGGGTTGCCACCCATTATGGATTTATCATCCAAGAAAATGATTTGAGGGTTGCCACCCATTATGAATTTATCATCCAAGAGTTTGATTGTTGGGTTGCCACCCAACAAGAACTAATTGAAAGACTCAGTATACCTGTGAAAAGTATTCTCTTGTGTTTATGCTCTTGTAATTTTTTTTTCCTGCAGTAGTTTTCTTCTTCTGTCGTTTCTTTCCTCCTTTTCCTTCTTTTTTCTTTACTGTTGTCCCTTTTATAAACCAAGGGCCTTCTTAGTGTATGAAAACTGAATAATCAGCCCCCCAAAAATAGGAGCCACTAACCTCTCTTAAGAGTTTTCATTGGTTTAGACCCCCACTTCTCTACCCTCAACTTTCTGCTTGCTACATGTGGCTAATAACAAATATCAAAATCATGGGGCTTATCCAACCGACGTTTCAAATTTTTTTTTGTGATTTTTTTAATTCCAACAGTATCCAATCTTAAATACACAACCGTGAAACATATTTTCTCCTCCCTCTCTCTCTCCTTGCCCTTGGTCTCTCCGTCCTTTGTCACAAGTTATCAAAGATTAATCCATATTCCAACAGCTCTACCGCATAGAACCAGGGGAAAACAATTAGCCTCCTTCATCGTCTCAAGAAACATGATGACATCATCACCATCATCAACGTTGATTAGTAATCCTCCTGTGCCTCAACGGCGATTAGCTCAGTACCATCCTACCATTTGGGACCACAAACTCATCGACTCCTTCACCACTCACTACACCGTGCGTATGCTATTTCGTTAACTATATTAATCACATACTTTTCAATTAGGTTATGCCTCACGTGTGTCATGCATACACATCCTAATCATTTTTTGTTATTAATATTCATCCAATGCAGTATGAATTACACGCCACACGATTGGAGAGTCTAAAGCAGAACGTTGCTAAAACGTTGCTGGCTGCATCCACCAGTAACAAAGGCAGCTCTGCCAGCACTTGTTCCGTTTTAAAGCTTATCGACTCAATGCAGCGGTTGGGAGTGGCCTACCATTTTGAGAAAGAGACCGATGCAGCTCTACTTAGTCTCGTTTCTTCGAGCACTCATGGTACCGCAGATGATCTTCACACAGTTGCCTTGCAATTCCGGATACTAAGAGAACATGGCATCTCTATTAGCCCAGGTATAAATTTCACATACTATGGCGTCTCTTTACTTCAATTATCCGAACCATCTGTTTTTCCTATATTTCAATTCTTACTTTACTTGTGGATGATGGTGACAAATGAACAGAAGTGTTTAACAAGTTTAGAAGTAGAGACGGAAGCTTCAAAGACAGCTTAAGCAAGGACGTGGAGGGACTTTTGAGTTTGTACGAAGCCTCACACCTTGGGATGCCTGGGAAGAAGAAGATCATGTTTTGGAAGAAGCCAAGAGTTTTAGTACCAAAAACTTGAGACAACTGGTAGGAACATTGGAAGACGATAATTTATTAAAGCAAATAGTAGAGCAATCACTAGAAACCCCCCCTGAATTGGAGGATGCCAAGAATAGAAGCCCGGAACTTCATCGATATCTACGAAAGAGACAATTCTAAGAACCTGGCTTTGCTTGAATTGGCCAAGTTGGATTATAATCTTGTCCAATCAGTATACCAAATGGAGATAAAGGAGCTGTCAAGGCAAGACATCTACGTTTATTATTTTAATCAAACTGCATCATTGACAAAAACTAGACTGAATGTGTTTAATCAGATTTGATTGTTGTCCGCAAAACGCATGATGCAGGTGGTGGAGAGACTTGGATTTCAAAAACAAGGCAAGTTTCTCAAGGGATAGATTGATGGAGAACTACTTGTGGGCAATGGGGATCAATTATGAGCCCCGATTCTCAGAATGCAGGATTGGCCTCACCAAGTTTGTTTGCATATTAACAATAATTGATGACATGTATGATGTCTATGGATTTCTGGAAGAGCTTGAGCATTATACACTGGCAGTATGTCGGTAAGATGTCCCATTGAGTGTTTTGGGCTTTTTTATGACGTTTTTGGGTTAAGTTTGTTTTAAGAAATCAATGGTAGTTTTATAATTTAAAAGAAGTTAAAAGCTTTTTTGTTATGTTGTAAATGGGCTTTGGGTGTGTTTCTAAAGTCCATTTCATATAGGTTTTTTTATAATTTGAGCTCATATATTGGATATTATAGTGAATCTCCCTTTTTTTTTCCTTGGATTTTTTTTTTAATCACTGAATAATAAATAATGGTGCCATTGCACGGGATACATGAGATACCAGTGACATTCAAATATAATACATTTTCATATTTGTACGCTTTTGTATGGATTTTGCTTGCTGATCATCAATTGTCTTCACATAATCCATTCTTTGACCAATACAAAGTTACATAATTAATTACGACGTAATCATCTTCACTAGTAGGTAATTGAGACACATGCTACCTAAGTTATTATTTATTTTTCTTTGTTATAATGGAAAATAATTGAACTCTTGACTTAGTCTAATCCTAATTCATTTTCCCGACTCTTTACAGCTTACCTACCTAGTTTAAATTTTCAGTCAAATAATCATTTCAAGTTGTCAACCTTTCTTTTTCCTTCCTCATTTTTTTCTTTTTGTTGTTGTTTTTACACAGATGGAATATGGAAGCAAAGGAGGAGCTTCCCGAGTACATGAAGCCAGTTTATGCTGCCATGCTCAAATTTGGCAACGAATTATCTAATAACGTTTTTAAAAATAATGGTTTGGACGTCCTCCCTTATATTAAGAAAGAGGTAATTACGGTGAAATGTATATCCACATCTCTTCTTTTATATATATATATATATATATATATATATCTTCAATAGAGAGAACCCTCAAATAAGTTTATTTGAAGGACACTTTTGTAAGGCCCACTCCGTATTGTATTTCACTAATATAAATTATCTATTTTGTAGACACTCATTCATAGATCATCTCTACAAAAATAACTTGAATCCGATATCATTTGATCACTCAATTGAATTATTGAAATGTTCGTACTTTCTTAAAACACCATATTTATTGATTTTGTATGACACAATTGGATATCGAAACAGTTTCCAATTTGTCTAATTTTTGCAAGGATGGTCTATGAATGTAGACTTAAAAAAATAGATTGTTTGGATCGTTGAAAAAAAATTCTTAGGAGACCCTAAAAGGTGTTCCTCAATAAAAAGAGACTAATATATATTTTTTTATATAATATATCATGCATAAAGGAAAAGGAATCTAATACTTGCCAATAATTTAATAGAATAGTTACAAACACAAAAAGTTAGTTCTGCGTATCCCACTAACAGTAAATACGTCTTCTTTTCTTTTCTTCTCCTTTTTTTTGTTTTTTTTGTTTTTTGGGTGTCTGTTTGCAGTGGGTAAATCTTTGTAAATCATATTTGGTAGAGGCACGGTGGTTTTACGGAGGATACACGCCAACATTACAAGAGTACTTAGACAACGCATGGACTTCAGTGGGTGGCCCTGGTGCTCTTCTCCATACTTATTTGTTGCAAGGATTAGGAAGCCACCTCACAAAAACTTCACTTGAGTCCTTTAAGCATGGCTCTGAAATTGTATATTGGTCATCCCTCATGACTCGACTTAGCGATGATTTGGGCACTTCCAAGGTAACATATGACTTCACTAACGAACAAGAAAAATGCTAGTGTCACTCGCGCGAATGGTTGACATTGCATCACAAGTCCACGCGTGATTGATGCTAGCACAACTCGTATCTTAGTATCTTCTATATGTAATGTATATATAAGCTTAATTAACTTATTAGCAAACTTGATAGTTAAGTTCTAATTATTCTGTTTTTTGCACAAATTATAAAGGCTGAAAGTGAGAGAGGTGATGTGGCTAAAGCCGTAGAATGTTACATGGAAGAAAAAGGCACATCTGAGGAAGAAGCACAGCACTACATAAACGATTTGATCTGCTATTCATGGAAGAAAATGAATGAGGAGAGTGCAAAAACTAGCAGGATACCAAAATCAGTTGTAAAAATGTCACTCAATATGGCGCGGACTGCTCACTCTATCTTTCAACATGGCGATGGTATTGGAACTTCAATTGGGGTCACCAAAGATCGTTTAATTTCTTTGATTGCAAATCCTATTCCTATATATCATGAACACAAGTGACCAAGATCACTGGATTTATTGTAATAGACTAGATTCTTAATTACAGGCCTCCTAAATTGATCGAAGCTGAAAGGCTGAAAACAATTCTATAAACACTCAGTTTGATGTGAATTTTCTGTTCTTAAGCGTTTTTGCTAAAACTGCTTTTATTGAAAACGCTTTTAAGCTAGAAGTACTTTTACTAGAAACACTTTATGCACTCACCGTTACAACAATTCGTGCTCTCAAATAGTAAAGAGCCCATAAAGTTCCATGTCCCATCTTTCTTTCTTTTTTCTTTTTTTTCTGACCTTTTCTATTGAGAGGGGCGATAATATATTAAATCCACACACACTACACGAATGCTAGGACTTGAATCCAGAACCCTTTCCTAGGAGGAGCAATTGCTCCAAACCACTACTATATTGGGTCTTTTGCTCCATCTTCTATATTAATCCATGGAGGAAGGGAGTGTTGTGGAGACGCGAGAGAGAAAAATTGAGGAACAGAAGTGAGGCCACTTACCAGGGAGGTTTTTTCATTTTTTTTTTCCTTTTTTTTTTTTTTTTTATTTAGGATTATTGAAAAGAAAATAAATAAAAAATATAATACACATGAGGCAACATTCATTAATTGATATGGCACATTAGCTGCCACGTAAGGTGGTTAGCTAAATAGCATTGCTCCTACTCTAAAGAAGCTGTTTAGCCTTCTGATTGTTTTCCTTCCGCCTGTCCTGCACTATCTACGCGGCAGTAATAATAACTGGCAATTCTGCCACGGTTTACTTATGGAGCCGGCCAAGCTCTCCCCCAAGCAGAATTTAGCTTGCCTTTCTGGTTCTTGGGAGGGAGTCTATATTCTTGAAAAGTCGGCAACCGACAATTATATGTCCGTACTTTCAGTATTGTTTGAAAGGAGGTGTTATTGAAACTTAAAATTACTCCTTCGTAGAGAAAAAACATGTGGGAGACATTGCGCATTGAGCCAACAACAGTTCCCTTGTTTGTTTGTGTGAATAGTTGAGTTGACCCTAATGAAGAAATTGCAGAGATTCCTAAATTCATAAGTATCAATGAACCAATGCTTGGTTGTTTTATCGTCTTTTGGCACATGCTTCCTTCCTAGACTGAGCTTCTGCAAAACGGGCATCATCAGATATATATATATATATATAAAATACGTATTTCTGCGCATGGAGAAATTAAAAAAACGAGTTAGAGTCCTCCCTAAAAATCAAAAGAAAAATCTAAATTGTATGGAATCTTAATAAACTAAGACTGCCAGCAGGAGATGAAACAGAAACAACCAAGTTGATTGCCCTGCTGGGAGATCCAACCAATAATTAAGAGCCTTGCAGGACAGATCAGGATTTTAAAAATGACATGGGCTAAATTTAATTGATGATAAAAAAATACACGGGGTACATAATGAGGCTTACCCCTCAAAAACCCCTTATCCGATACTACTATTAAAATAACATATATTTAAAATAATATGTATTCAAAATAGTCATTTTCCAAATTAGCATAATTGTTACTAGAATTAAACAAAATATAATAGCCCGATACAAAGGTAGAGGAAAAGGACCTTTGTGGAGTTGAGAAGAAGCAGCCTTGGAACTGGTGCATCCGATCGATAAGGGTGTTGGGTGTCTTTTTGTTTGGTTAGCCAGCCTAGTGGGGATTAGTTAATAAGATTAGCTTAAGCCACTCAGAAGGGACGTTTTGTGATAAAACTAAAATAGTACACTAGCCTAGGCTACTCAAAAGCAGGGACGGACCCACAGTGGGGTCAATGGGGTCAACGACCCTATGGACTCCATGAAAGCAAAGTAGAAGGTCCCTTTGAATGAGTGTGTGACCCCATGAATGGTTGAAGGAGGAGGCTGCAGATCTGAGGAAGAAGAAGTTGGACAGGGGTTCTGTTTGTTTTTTTTTTTCAACAGGCTGGCCAAAACATTGTCGTTTGGACCAGCCTAGCGAATTTTTTTTTTAACGCGCTAGCCAAAACGCCGTCATTTTGGACCAGCAGCAACTTATTTTTTTTTAAAAGACCTGGCCAAAACGACGTCGTTTTAGTCCAGGTCTTTAAAAATAATAATAAAACAGATTGTAATATTGAAACAAACCCTCTTCGACCAAAAAGAAACAGACCCTACAAGATAAGATTCCTGGGTCCGTCCCTGCTCAGAAGACTGTTGTCCATGCCACATTTTCCAATCTCCTTCCATCGTGCAAATATCTTTTCCATCCCATTCAACAAATTTCTTTTTTTGTCAAAGTTAGGATATTCTCACACACACTGCAATGTATTATTGAAGTTCGATTTTAAGATTGTCAAAGTTAGGATAACGTAAGGTTTTTCTCACACACACTGCGATATATTATTGAAGTTCGTTCCCAGTATTATTGAAGTTCGATCCTAAGATTGTCAAATTTAAGATAAGGTAGGCTTTTTCTCACATGCACTGGGATGTATTATTAAAGTTCAATCCTAAGATCATACATCTATAAATGAAAATCATTTTTCACGCTTAGATTAGACTCCATTAGCCTTTTTTTTTTTTTTATCAACGAGTACATTGAACGCAAACTGTTCATTACTTGAATGATCATCCCGTGACCCGTCGAACACCTACAATCTTCTTCCTCTCCCCCAATTAATACGATTTGCAGAAGATGTGTCTCCTAGTGGAGCTAGTCCAAGTAAGAGGACTTTCAAAGGTTCAAAGTGGAGCTAGTACAAGCTACTTTAAAACGTGCAATACAATATACATGCGTTTATTAATTGATGCTCATCTCACGTGCTTCAATAAAAACTCATTTAAAATATCTATCATCTCATGTGCTTCAATAAAACTGTTCACTGAAAATATCTAGAGCTGTCGGTTCTGCGGTAAGCGGATTGTATATATAAGCTCGTAGTCTCCGCTATATTGTATCCAATCTTAAATACACAACCGTGAAACATATTTTCTCCTCCCTCTCTCTCTCCTTGCCCTTGGTCTCTCCCTCCTTTGTCACAAGTTATCAAAGATTAATCCATATTCCAACAGCTCTACCGCATAGAAACCAGGGGAAAACAATTAGCCTCCTTCATCGTCTCAAGAAACATGATGACATCATCACCATCATCAACGTTGATTAGTAATCCTCCTGTGCCTCAACGGCGATTAGCTCAGTACCATCCTACCATTTGGGACCACAAACTCATCGACTCCTTCACCACTCACTACACCGTGCGTATGCTATTTCGTTAACTATATTAATCACATACTTTTCAATTAGGTTATGCCTCACGTGTGTCATGCATACACATCCTAATCATTTTTTGTTATTAATATTCATCCAATGCAGTATGAATTACACGCCACACGATTGGAGAGTCTAAAGCAGAACGTTGCTAAAACGTTGCTGGCTGCATCCACCAGTAACAAAGGCAGCTCTGCCAGCACTTGTTCCGTTTTAAAGCTTATCGACTCAATGCAGCGGTTGGGAGTGGCCTACCATTTTGAGAAAGAGACCGATGCAGCTCTACTTAGTCTCGTTTCTTCGAGCACTCATGGTACCGCAGATGATCTTCACACAGTTGCCTTGCAATTCCGGATACTAAGAGAACATGGCATCTCTATTAGCCCAGGTATAAATTTCACATACTATGGCGTCTCTTTACTTCAATTGTCCGAACCATCTGTTTCCTATATTTCAATTCTTACTTTACTTGTGGATGATGGTGACAAATGAACAGAAGTGTTTAACAAGTTTAGAAGTAGAGACGGAAGCTTCAAAGACAGCTTAAGCAAGGACGTGGAGGGACTTTTGAGTTTGTACGAAGCCTCACACCTTGGGATGCCTGGGGAAGAAGAAGATCATGTTTTGGAAGAAGCCAAGAGTTTTAGTGCCAAAAACTTGAGACAACTAGTAGGAACATTGGAAGACGATAATTTATTGAAGCAAATAGTAGAGCAATCACTAGAAACCCCCCTGAATTGGAGGATGCCAAGAATAGAATCCCGAAACTTCATCGATATCTACGAAAGAGACAATTCTAAGAACCTGTCTTTGCTTGAATTGGCCAAGTTGGATTATAATCTTGTCCAATCAGTATACCAAATGGAGATAAAGGAGCTATCAAGGCAAGACATCTATGTTTATTATTTTAATCAAACTGCATCATTGACAAAAACTAGACTGAATGTGTTTAATCAGATTTGATTGTTGTCCGCAAAACGCATGATGCAGGTGGTGGAGAGACTTGGATTTCAAAAACAAGGCAAGTTTCTCAAGGGATAGATTGATGGAGAACTACTTGTGGGCAATGGGGATCAATTATGAGCCCCGATTCTCAGAATGCAGGATTGGCCTCACCAAGTTTGTTTGCATATTAACAATAATTGATGACATGTATGATGTCTATGGATTTCTGGATGAGCTTGAGCACTTTACACAGGCAGTATGTCGGTAAGATGTAGTTGAGATGTTTTTTTTTTCCTTGGATTTTTTTTTTATAATCACTGAATAATTCATAGATCATAGAAATAATGGTGCCATTGCACGGGATACGTGAGATACCAGTCACATTCAATTATAATATATTTCATATTTGTTCGCTTTTGTATGGATTTTGCTTGCGAGGCGCACACACACACACACTCTTTCTTTTGTTTTCTTGTAGCTAAGCTAGATCATCAATTGTCTTCACTTAATCCTTTCTTTGACCTATACAAAGTTACATAATTAATTACGACGTAATCATCTTCACTAGTAGGTAATCGAGACACATGCTACCTAAGTTATTATTTATTTTTCTTTGTTATAATGGAAAATAATTGAACTCTTGACTTAGTATAATCCTAATTCATTTTCCCGACTCTTTACAGCTTACCTACCTAGTTTAAATTTTCAGTCAAATAATCATTTCAAGTTTTCAACCTTTCTTTTTCCTTCCTCATATTTTTTTCTTTTTGTTGTTGTTTTTACACAGATGGAATATGGAAGCAAAGGAGGAGCTTCCCGAGTACATGAAGCCAGTTTATGCTGCCATGCTCAAATTTGGCAACGAATTAGCTGATAACGTTTTTAAAAATAATGGTTTGGACGTCCTCCCTTTTATTAAGAAAGAGGTAATTATGGTGAAATGTATATCCACATCTCTTCTCATATATATAGAGCTCTAGTTGAAGGATCCCTCAAATAAGCTTATTTGAGGGACACCTTTAGTAGTGGAGACACTCCTAAGTCTGGAGTGGCCCTAGCCCCTCTAGATTTTTATCCCTCCTCTATTATATTTTATATAATATATAGAATTTGTAATAAACAACTTATAATTTAAGTTAAAATTTCCCCTAAAACAAATTAGGCATGACTCAATTAGAAATATTTAGCTCTAAACATGTAATTATTGAATACTTATGTGCTTTATAGACTTGTATTTTCTACTTCGGCAACCCAACTTTACAATTCCAGCTCGGCCCCTACTTGTAGGGTCCATTCCGTATTGTATTTCACTAATCCAAACAGTGTATTTTGTATATACTCATTCAAAGATCATCTCTATAAAAAATCACTTGAACCCGATATCATTTGATGACTCAATTGAATTATTGAAATGTTAGTACTTTCTTGAAGCATTGTGTTCATTGATTTTGTAAGACACAATTGGATATCGAAACAGTTTCCAATTTGTCCCAATTTTTTGCAATGATGATCTATGAATGTAGACTTAAAAAATAGATAGTTTGGATAGCTGAAAAAAAATTCGTAGGAAACCTTAAAAGGTGTTCTTCAATAAAAAGGGATTGATATATATTTTATATATATAATATATCATGCATAAAGGAAAAGGAATCTAATACTTGCCAATAATTTAATAGAATAGTTACAAACACATAAAGTTAATTTGCCATGTTAGTTCTGCGTATCCCACTGACAGTAAATACGTCTTCTTCTTTTTTTTGTTTTCTTCTTCTGTTTTTTTTTCGGGTACTCTGTTTGCAGTGGGTAAATCTTTGTAAATCATATTTGGTAGAGGCACGGTGGTTTTACGGAGGATACACGCCAACTTTACAAGAGTACTTAGACAACGCATGGACTTCAGTGGGTGGCCCTGGTGCTCTTCTCCATGCTTATTTGTTGCAAGGATTAGGAAGCCACCTCACAAAAACTTCACTTGAGTCCTTTAAGCATGGCTCTGAAATTGTATATTGGTCATCCCTCATGACTCGACTTAGCGATGATTTGGGCACTTCCAAGGTAACATATGACTTAACTAACGAACAAGAAAAACGCTAGTGTCACTCGCGCGAATAGTTGACATTGCATCATGAATCCACGTGTGATTGATGCTAGCACAACTCGTATCTTAGTATCTTCTATATGTAATGTATATATAAGCTTAATTAACTTATTAGCAAACTTGATAGTTTAGTTCTAATTATTCTGTTTTTTGCACAAATTATAAAGGCTGAAAGTGAGAGAGGTGATGTGGCTAAAGCCGTAGAATGTTACATGGAAGAAAAAGGCACATCTGAGGAAGAAGCACAGCACTACATAAACGATTTGATCTGCTATTCATGGAAGAAAATGAATGAGGAGAGTGCAAAAACTAGCAGGATACCAAAATCAGTTGTAAAAATGTCACTCAATATGGCGCGGACTGCTCACTCTATCTTTCAACATGGCGATGGTATTGGAACTTCAATTGGGGTCACCAAAGATCGTTTAATTTCTTTGATTGCAAATCCTATTCCTATATATCATGAACACAAGTGACCAAGATCACTGGATTTATTGTAATAGACTAGATTCTTAATTACAAGCCTCCTAAATTGATCAAAGCAAAAAGGCTGAAAACAATTCTATAAACACTCAGTTTGATGTGAATTTTCTGTTCTTAAGCGTTTTTGCTAAAACTGCTTTTATTGAAAACACTTTTAAGCTAGAAGTACTTTTACTAGAAACACTTTATGCACTCACCGTTACAACAATTCGTGCTCTCAAAGGGTAAAGCATCCAAAAAGTTTCATGTCCCATATTTCTTTTTTCTTTTTTTTATCTTTTCTTTTAGGATTTTTTCTATTAAGAGGGCCAATAGTATACTAAATTCACATACACTACAAGAGCACTAGGACTCGAACCGAGGACCTTTCCTGAATGGAGCAATTGCTCCAAACCACTACACTATTGGGTCTTTTGCTCCATCTTCTATATTAATCCATGGCCTTTGGAAAATAATAGAAAAAGAAAACGGCACCTAACAATATGATCTTGAGATAAGCAGCAATATCGAATATAATCCATTCCTATTGAGGAGTAAAGAGAGATTAGCACTAAAATTGTCTCACATGGCACTAAGTGAGTGGTAAAGGGTAGCATTGTCATTTCACAGTCAGGAGGCATGTTGTGTAAGCATGAAAAGGATGGATTAGTAAAGTAATTTAGCAACAGGAAACATATATATAAGAATGGACTGAATGATTGATACTGAACTGGGTTTTAGTAAGTGGATGCAGTGGCAGATATGTAATATGCTACACAAAACAGGCCATGAACAAAACACACGATCCCTCCAATTGACAGAAAATGATGGTGTGTGAAGCCACATGAAGCTCTTGACTTGTGGTTTGACCAAGTCCCAATCACTAGCATGGCCAATCCAACCCCAAAAATGATCCTGATCATCAAATGAAATTAACAATTAATCTTAATTAACCAATAATCTCATCATGTAATTTGAGAGAGAGAGAGAGAGAGAGCATATATATGCATACCAGGTGAAGACGAGGCAAGCCACAGAAAGTTGCTTACTAGGAGGTGCCTTTTGGAGCTCTTCTTGAGAACAAATGCAACTGCATCCACCAAGCAAGTTAGCAACAACATGGGCTGCAACCAAAAGTCCTGCTGCGGCTAATCCTAGCTTGAAAGCTGCATGGCTTGGTTCTCTGCACTCGAAAATCCATAGCCTCAAGTGCTTGACCTGAATAGTTTGAATTATATTCCCAAAAGCTATGAACATAAACATTCCATTAACAAAGAGAATCATTGTCAGAAAGAAATTAATATACCTTGTTTTGTTCAAGCTCTGCTTCGATGCCCAGAATCCCACCTACGATGTCCATTGCCACGATCAAGAGGCACACGAAAAACCCACCTAATCTTGCCATTCTCTCTCTCTCTCTCTGAGCTGAGTTTGTTTGTGGATGATGAGCACGAAGGGAGAAATATGAAATATGAATGGGGAGAAGAAAGAGTAAGGGGGACGAATATGTGTGAAAGGGTGCGTAGGAAAGTATGTAGAATGGATCATAGCTGGGAGAAGTGGGTAAAAAAGCTTCTTTTGTCTACACAGTGGAAGCTTTATTTTGCTTTTGGGTCTTTTTTCTCTTCTTTATATTTTTTATTTGGTCTTGGATGGATTCCTTTGATGGGGGAGCAAGAAAAGAAGGGCATAAACCAGCTCATAGAGGAGCGTGCCTAAGCATCTTTTCTTACACCACCCATATATGCCCAAAGATGAATCGGTGGGTAATTCTCTGATCTTCAGAACCTTTTTGACTTTTCATGTGGAAGATATTTTTGAAACCATTGATTTGATTGTGACTAATGTGTCGATCATTTTCTTTCTCCAAGCTTCAGAAATTTTGGTAACGTTTTCACACATCCTTAATTTTAGGACATCCATATCCTCCACAGTGAAGTGAGTTATAAGTTCTCTGAGTTGGTGATTAGATTCTAGTACTTGAAGCTGTTAATTCTAAGGGAACTAATCAAATAAATTAATCAAATGAAGAAATAAGTAAGGCAATACGTGGAATAATGAATCGTGATGGAGATAATTGAAGGTATTTAACGTAATTCGAATCAGAAGAGTAATTGGACTTTAATGTGGGCCTTTTCATGTCTTGGCTTGTGACATGAGAATATGCAAACTCATGAGCAGAACATTCTTGGGTCTTGGCCTACTTTCATATTCATCGGACCCAGATGTATTGGACCTATTTATACTTGGCTTTCTCTACTGCAATGTAATATGGTGAGCTGAGATAAAAAGCCTGCGAGTTCATATTACAATTCATTCATGTGATTAAGGGAGGGCTTCAATCCTTTTTCTTTTTTTCTTTTTTTTAATTGGTTTTTTTAATGTTTTATTCATATTTTAATCAATTTAAAATAAACAACAAGTGAAAATGTTTGACCCATAATGCCATGTAGGCAACTAATGGGGAGATCTAATCGAAACCCTAATGGCGAAACCACATTGTAACAAATTGAAAATATCAGTCTATCTAATTGCAAAAATAGAGAGAACAGGGATTAACATGCCTTATGAGTGCAACCACAGGGTACTAAACTGTCATTAATTAACCCTTTTTTTTTAATACAAACAATGTTTTAAATTGCGATCAAATTATGTAAAATGTTGTCATTCATCACCTATGTCTAACTCTGTTGATGTTTTCATTAAATTTAGGGGTGTTTCCGTAAATTCACTATAACTAAAAAGAATTATAAAAAAGCAAAATTTAAAAAAGAAAAAGAAAAAAGAAACATTAATCACCAGTAATACTTAAATTTTTATAATAAAAAATAGCTAAAATTTACCTCAAATTTTCATAAATTTGAGTTTTTATAAGAACTTTCAAATATAGCCCAAATACCCACTCGAACATACTTAAATGCCTTTAAAAAATAACCTATCAGATAAAGATTTGTGTATTTTGTACGCACCTGCAGCACTAGTCGAACGGTTGAGTGCTACATGGAAGAAAAAGGCATATCTGAGGAAGAAGCACAAGGCTACATAAACGATTTGATCTGATATGCATGGAAGAAAATGAATGAGGAGAGTGCCAAAAAAACTAGCAGCATACCAAAATCAGTTGTAAAAATGTCACTCAATATGGCGCGAACTGCTCACTCTATCTTTCAACATGGCGATGGTATTGGAACTTCAATTGGGATCACCAAAGCTTGTTTAATCTCTTTGATTGCATATCCTACTCCTATATATCATGAACACAAGTGACCAAGATTATTGGTTTTGTTGTAATTGACTAGATTCTTAATTACAGGCCTCCTAAATTGATCAAAGCTGAAAGGCCGAAAGCAATTGTATAAACACTCAGTTTTATGTGAATTTTCTGTTCTTAAGCGTTTTTGCTAAAAGTGCTTTTACTGAAAACATTTTTATGCTAGAAGTACTTTCACTAGAAACACTTTATGCATTCACCATTACAACAATCCGTGCTCTCAAAGGGTAAAGCATCCAAAAAGTTCCATGTCCCATCTTTCTTTCTTCTTCTTTTTTAGGATTTTTTCTATTGAGATGGTCAATAGTATATTAAACTCACACACACTATACGAGTACTAGGACTCGAACCGAGGACCTTTCCTGAAAGGAGCAATTGCTCCAAATCACTATGAGTCTTTTGTTCCATCTTCTATATAAATCCATGGCCTTTGGAAAATAAAAGAAAAAGAAAAAGGCACCTAACAATATGATCTTGAGATGAGCAGCATTATTGAATACAATCCATTCCTTTTATATTAAAGTAATTGAGGAGTAAAGAGAGATTAGCACTAAAATTGTCTCACATGGAACTAAGTGAGTAGTAAAGGGTAGCATTGTCATTTCACAGTCAGGAGGCATAGTGTAAGCATGAAAAGGATGGATTAGTAAAGTAATTTGGCAAAAGGAAACATACAACAAGAATGGACTGAGTGATTGATACTGAACTGGTTTTAGTGAGTGGATGCAGTGGCAGATATGTAATATGCTACACAAAACAGGCCATGAACAAAACACAAGCCCCCTCCAATTAACAGAAAATTATGGTGTGTGAAGCCACATGAAGCTCTTGACTTGTGGTTTGACCAAGTCCCAATCACCAGCACGCCCAATCCAACCCCAAAAATGATCCTGATCATCAAATGAAATTAACAATTAATCGTAATTAACCAATAATCTCATCATGTAATTTGAGAGAGAGAGAGAGAGAGAGAGAGAGAGAGAGAGCGAGCATATATATATGCATACCAGGTGAAGACGAGGCAAGCCACAGAAAGTTGCTTATTAGGAGGTGCCTTTTGGAGCTCTTCTTGAGAACAAATGCAATTGCATCCACCAAGCAAGTTAGCAACAACATGGGCTGCAACCAAAAGTCCTGCTGCGGCTAATCCCAGCTTGAAAGCTGCATGGCTTGGTTCTCTGCACTCGAAAATCCATCGCCTCAAGTGCTTGACCTTGTTTTGTTCAAGCTCTGCTTCGATGCCCATAATCCCACCTACGATGTCCATTGCCACGATCAAGAGGCACACGAAAAACCCTCCTAGTCTTGCCATTCTCTCTCTCTCTCTCTCTCTCTCTCTCTCAGCTGAGTTTGTTTGTGGACGATGAGCAGGAAGGGCGAGAGATGAAATATGAAATATGAATGGGGAGAAGAAAGAGTAATAAAGGGGACGAATATGTGTGAAAGGGTACGTACGAAAGTATGTAGAATGGATCGTTAGCTGGGAGAAGTGGGTAAAAAAACTTCTTTTGTCTACACAGTGCAAGCTTTATTTTGCCTTTGGGTCTTTTTTTCTCTCCTTTATATTTTTTATTTGGTCTTGGATTCCTTTGATGGGGGGGAGCAAGAAAAGAAGGGCATAAACCAGCTCCTAGAGGAGCGTGCCTAAGCTTCTTTTCTTACACCACCCACATACGCCCAAAGATGAATCGGTGGGTAATTCTCTGATCTTCAGAACCTTTTTGACTTTCATGTCGAAGATATTTTAGAAACCATTGATTTGATTGTGCATCAATTATTATTGTATCCTGCTCAGTCATTTTCTTTCTGCAAACTTTAGAAATTTTGGTAACGTTTTCACACATCCTTAGTTTTAGTACATCCATATCCTCCACAGTGAAGTGAGTTATAAAGTCTCTGAGTTGGTGATTAGATTCTAGTACGACAAAATGTGGAATAATGAATCGTGATGGAGATAATTGAAGATATCTAACGTAATTCTAATCGGAAGAGTAATTGGGCTTTTTGGGTGTGCGAATAGCGCGACGCTTTAATGTGGGCCTTTTCATGTCTCGGCTTGTGGCATGAGAATATGCAAACTCATGAGCAGCACATTCTTGGATCTTGGCCTACTTTCATATTCATCGGACCTATTTATACTTGGGTTTCTCTACTGCAATGTAATATGGTGAGCTGAAATAAAAAAAACCTGCCAGTTCATATTACAATTCATGTGATTGCGGGGTTCAATCCAACCATCCGATCATTAAAAAGTTTAAGTTCCATATTTTCTCTCTTATTGGCTAGTGGAATTAAACTCCTCCCACAACTCCCTCATTATAGCATTTCCAGATTGAGAAAAGCCTTATTAGATAACTCGATGTCAAAATCCATCAAAACCAAATAGGCCCCATCCTTGAAAATTGCCTAAGAAAAAGAAGTGTGTTGGTAGAAAATCGAGTTATCTAAACTTTCTGATTTTAATTGACAAGGTGCATTTATCCATATATTACATGGCTTGTATTCATATAGCATGAGATCAGAATAAAACAATAAAAATAAATAATTGAAAGGAAAACAGAGAAGGAACAGCGGAGCATGGAAATACTAAAAGCAACACCGATGAAATGCCATAGCAAGCAGACAAGCAGTCTGATGTTTTGCATGTTGTTTTTGTGTGTGAGTGAGAAAACAGAGAAAGTAAGGATTGTCTGTTTGTTTTGGGAAAAAGTAGAAAACAGAGTATCATGCATGAACAATGTCAGACTGCAAATATATGATCACCCTTCCAAACCATAATAAAACATATAAAAATACAATAACAACGACTGATGATTGCTCAGCAAGCAAGAAATTAAAAGTATCGGCCTTTCAAACTGGAATTTCCCAGAATGTCATTTCATTTCAATTACAACTGTAAACAAAACAGTAGCTAATTAATACTCAAAATCACACTCTCTGTTTTTCTCTGTTTCTCTCTGTTTTTCTCTATTTCTCTCTGTTTTTCTCTGTTTCTAGCTATAGTTGCTTGCAACTCTGGTTACAATATTGTAATGACATATTTCCAACCCACACTTAGTCCCAAAAAGATCCCACTGACCACACTGACTACTTGATCAAAAAAGAAGGAGACAAATCAGACAAACTAATTAGAAAAGACTAATTAACAACTCAGAAATTAAGGTAAGCATATCACCCAATTAAGCAGTAACTAGCAGTAGTGAAGATGGAGGTAATATCAATGAATTAGTTTGTGGGAGAGTGAGAATCGAAGAAGAGATGGGGATAGTAATGCCGGAGAAGATTGGGGGCTCTGGAGGACCTGCTACAGTTGAACTTAGCCAACTGCTCGACGGAAAAGACACAGCAGCCTTGAGAGTACATGACGGTCTGAGCCACAGGAGAGTTGAGCAACACCTGCAGAAGCTGGTTGCGGCTCAGCCTGTCGAGCCCACCAGTGGTACGGCTACTCATTGGTGAAAGATGATCATCATCAAAACCAGTAGCGCTTGCAGAAGAGGTGTTGGGGGTGACGACGGGCATGGCTTGGAGCGCGGTGACCTGAGCCTGGAGGAACTTGACGTACTTGTAGGCTTCTTCGAAAACGGTGGCGGTGTCCATTTTTCTGTCTAAAGGAAGCAGCTTCTCAAGGCACCGAGTCTTGTCGCTGAGCTTCTGGCGCCGGCCACGAGCCAGAGAGCTAGCGTGCGGAGATAGAGATGGAGATGGAGATGGAGATGGGGTTCCCCTTTTCCTAGTTCTAGGCTTAGCAGGAATTTCGTATGGTGAAGAAGACGAAGAGGGCAAGAGGGCGTTGTGGGTATTGTTGTTAGGTGGAAATAGCGGGAGGGGGGTAGAGAGATGGAGATTTTGGAAGTGAGGAGGGTCGAAGAGGCGAGGGCGTTTGTAAGATGAGGAAGAAGATGAAGAAGAGTAGGGGGAATTAAATGGGTCGAGAGGGAGGAGATCTGGCAAGTGATGGAAGATGGAAGAGCAGTCATTCATGGAGTCATACGGAGAAGGGTGGTGGACGGGGGTGGTGGTAGCACTGGAAGCACTGTGCATGGTGAACTCCAAGTTGAGATCAGGTGGGTTGTTATAAAACTGGTATTGTTGTTGATGGAGATGATAAAATGGAGGAGAAGTGGAAACGTTGGTGTTGCTTGGGCTTGGGATTGGGAAGTAGTCTTGGTAATTGGAAATGGGTTCGTGCTTGGGCAGCCTCAGGATGGGGCTCTGCATCTGGGTCTGGATGTAGTCGGCTTCGGCGGCGGTTGTGAAGTTGAAGGTGGTGGTGGGGGAGTGGGTGGGAGTAGTATTTATAAGGGTGTCTTGAGCGAATTCAGAGAAGGGAAGGGGCATTAGGGAGGAGGAGGCCGACATTGCGTTTGGGTCTAGAGGGTCGTCGTGGGCGGCGGTGGTGGATAGGAAGGAGTGGAGGCTGAGGCCGGCGGAGGACAACATGGCGGTGAAGGTGGGGACCTCCTCTGCCTCCGCCTCCCAAGTGTTGGTTGTGTTGATTTCTTCTTGTGCTTTGGCCAACAATGACCTCATCAGCATCACCAACTCGCTATCTTCCATATTTCTCCTCTCTCTCTCTCCTCTCTCTCTCTCTCTCTCTCTCTCTCTCTCCGTGTAAAAATGAATCTGCGAGCAGAGCAACAATATGAATTATATGATATGGATATGCGGATATATATGTCATAGTATATGAGTATGTAAATAGTGTCAGGGACGTTAGGGAAGGGACACGTGGGGCTCGGGGATTGGCGATCGTAGCATTAAGGCGGCTGTGATGTCAGGGTCCGTACACAGCACAGGCGCACAACGGGGGTACAGGTGTCGCTGCCCCTCCGCATTCTTTGTCGGTTTTTTTTTGTGTGGGTTTTTTTTGTCTTTTTTCAACATTCGCATTCGCATTTAGGCAACATGGGATCACATTTCTTGCGAGGGAAGGGAGAGAGCCAGCCCCCCCCAAAAGGGCAAATCTTTGTTGCTTTTGGAGGCAAAAAGAAAGGGGTAATTTGGGAGTTTCAGACTCCCCAGACATTTTTCTGATGACCGCAGTGCGGGGGAGAAGGAAGGACGATGATGATAGGCGTGTCTTTTCTTACACTTGCCACAGGCCTACCTATATATGTACTACTAGTCTAGTACTGTTCCATTAGACACCCCCCCGAATTTACAAAATTGCCTCTCAATTACTCAAGCAAAGCAAACCATATAATTTCATCATCTGGATTGTAAGGAGTTTGTTGCTCAATTGGTTACGGGTGTTTATTCCCTTACACTCGAGATCTTATGCTCGATTCCCCTCTCCTCTCATAGTCACAATGCCCTTCTAATTTCCAAAATATGTCATTTTCCACATCGCATATATTATTCCACAACACCTCACACTTTGATCTCTCTGCCCTTTGCATTGCATCCTAATTTGGCAAATTAACAAATGCATAACAACTTAATTACTTGTGATTCAATCACCATGCTTTATTTAACTCTGATTAGATATAAGGTTTTTAATATAAATAAATAACACAACTTTGACGTGAAGAGCAAGAGTTTCTTTTTAAGTATTTGCTTTACACACCTCAGACCTTAAGTTATCATGACAAAGGTTCAAACTCCATTATTATTCAACTTGTCACCATCCCCTTTTTCTGCATACATAAACATTGCTCAGACTGTGTAAACGCTCACACGTTAGTTTTCCCACCGCCCTTTCCCCTAGTTAAAGTTAAAACCTTGAGAATTTAATATTTATTTATAAATAAATCAAAGCCAGCATGAGAATGCTTCCTTGTGAATTTCTATGTTAATATCAGAAATGGAGATGCAAAGTTTGCTTCACAAACTGTATAACCATTGGATTATATGCATAGGCCCCAACATTATTATTTTTTTTAAATGTTGTTGATAATTACAGGCCTCTCATATTAGAGGATAAAATTCCTGAAAGTCAAATTGGGCTGAACAGAAATTAAAGACAAGCTAATGCCATGGACTAATCTTCTTCATTTCTTTTTTCATTTCTTTCTAAAATTAGAAGAGGGAGAAAAAGAAAAAAAAACAAATGTTCTACTGGCTACATAATGAATTACAAATTACAAAGATGAAGAACTGTACACAAGAATGAGAAAGCAGCGGAAGGAATCATGTTTTGGAATGATTACCCAACTCCCCCACATTAAAGGGGGCAGCTGTAAAAATAAAATCGAAAAATCATTCCGAAACAATTAACGAGTTAGCCACTAATCCCACTGCTGGTTCCTGACGCTTGCCAAAGCTTGCTTCACCGATCCCACATAGCCTGATATATCGCAGGTCTGTGCTTTAACCAGTGCACCATTTCCCTGTCCAACTGAGAATTATTCACAACGGCATCTAGCATCGGACTGCCAAAAACTTTTGGAGAACTATTGAAACACCATATTCGATCCTTGGGCCAAGGTCTCTGGGGCTGCTTCTCCTGGAGAAGGAAAACATTGAAATATATGAGTTATAAGCTCCAAAAATAATAAAAGAAGAAGCTCAACCGACAAGCAAGGAGAGTGTTTGTCTCAAACATCACAAAAGTCAATTGACTCCTTCAAATCCATCGTCCCTGGGAACTCTGCATTTCCATTTCAAAATAAAAGAATTGCACAATGCAGCAACTACGACAACACCAAACAACGTGTTTATTTTATGTCCAAGTTTTTATTGAGGCATCTGGTATACAATTAAGTCAACTGATCAATTTGTGGCTTAAAACCTTATCAATCGAAGCAATATCTTTCTGTAAATAACATAAACCATGAAAACTTGCCCTGAATCCGTCTTTCCAGTTCATCTATTATCCACACAAAAAGATAAAGAAGTAGGTCTTGATCCCTAATGTAAGCCTTTACTAACTGGAAAACCACAAGTCTCTCCTACAGTTCGTCACATCTGCATCACACGTATCCTTTATCAGCTTAATTTATCTCTATTTGTTGCTCTCATCTTTCCAAAGGCTCACCATATTATCATAGCTTTCTCCAAATCTGCTAAAGATCATGCCAAGCTCCCTTTTTCTCTCTAGAATTTGGATTTCTGATGTAAACCAACCTCTAGAAAACATTTATACAAACAAATTCATCTGAAGCATTTCTTCTGATGAGAATATGGCTAGAAATATGGTATTCATTTTGAGAGAAAATGGCATGTAAAAGGCTGGACACAAAGGACTCACAAACTCTGTTAAGAGTGCAATGCATAATACTTTAAAGAACCTAAAGGCACCAGAAAGAAAAACGAAAAACTGTAACTCACCATCCTCGTAAGCATAAATTTCACAGTCCTTGGGCCATAAACACGCTGCCGTGAAGGTTTCTGAACCTTGGCATAAAAAGAACCGAAGTCGGGTAATGACAAGCAGCCCTTACTTGCTCTAGCCAGGCTACAATCTGGCTCTGCACTTGTCTGGTTATACCAAAAAATCAGCTGCCCTAAACAATAATTCTCCCCATACGTCTTGCAATACTCCTGAAAACTCGATCCCAGTTTATCAGTGTACTTGGGGCCTAGGTCAAGTGGACTAATGTATACTGGTGGCGAAGTTACTGTTTTGTATTCCTGTAAGTAAAATGAAGCATGCTTCAGAATCAAATTAGCAGAATCATAAATCAATTAGAAATTTTTTCTAGAGGATCTCATTAAGAAGACGTACCCGTATTCTAATGAAGCACCGTGTGTAAGCATAAATATGGATCAAGTCAGCAGCAGCATCGTGCCGAGACTTGTATGTACAGGGGAGATTCCGCACCTCATCTCTCAACCTTCCAAATAAACAATGAACTCCATAAAGTTGGCATCGTTTACAAAGTCAAAAGAAAGCATGAGAAAAATAACACAAGTATCTGCCACTCACCAAAGTAAAGATTTTTTAAGTTCATTCCATATGTCATCTGAACTTGATGGATCATGAGCAAGCATCTTGGTTTTGAGATCATTAAGTAAGTGCTCCTCCACATGAGGAGCCATGCTCTGAAGAAGCTCCTGAACAAGTGATCCTTCTCCCTTCCATATAAAGGAAACAGCTGCTTCAGGACTCAACCTCTCCAGTGGAGGTGGAGCATTCTTTGGGTTGCCAAAAACGCATCGCATAACATATCTCACCTGTAGGTATCACAACAGATCTTCTTAATGCAACAGAATTAAGAATTTTGACCTTTTAGTTATGACAGAGAATAAGGACCTACCCACTAAGCCTCATAAGGTAATTAGTTTCCCAACACAAAACGTTAAAGGTGAAATTTGAGAATTAACAAAAAGAAATCCTAACAAAGAATTCAATTGACAATAATAAAATGTGTGTATCAGTTTGGGTTCAAAACATGAGATGTGATTTTTAGTGATAGGAATTGCAAGCTGAGAAAAACGGCCAAGTTCAAAATCTTCATATCATGCAACTTTCCTACAAGGAAGCAGTATAACGAAGCCCACCCATAAGAGCCTATACCACAGTGTCATTATATCATGACAATGTGCTTGAGCACAACTCTCGGTACAAAAGGTATACACTAAATTACTTTAATATGTATTTAACAAAGTGATAAAGAAACAAAAGGATGACAAGCTCCTTTACGAATTGGAAAAAGGCAATCACCTTATCAAGAGTAACAGCCAAATTCTGAAGCCTTTGGTTGTACACTCCCTCAGCCTGTCATGCAAAAAGAAATAATAAGCAAGGGAGCACCCAGGCAGGCATGATAACACCTACACACACACACAGAGAGAGAAACAGAGATTAGTCAACAACACTCACCTGAACCTCAGCATCACTCTTCTCAACCTCAAGACAAATATCTGAAAAATACTTCCTTTTTTCTTCCAAATTATGCTTTAAAATCTCCTCAGGAAGCTTTGTTCTTTCAAAATTGATAAACCTCACCTTCAACCAAAATGAAAGTGACAGGAGAGTAAATGATAGTTGATTTCAAACATTAACAAAAACGAAAAAATTGAGGAAGCAGGAAGGTCACATACCAAGCGAGCCGAATATGCAATCACCCAATCTGGCAACCCACCCAGCAAACAACTGCCTAAACCAGCCCTTCCCAAGTCAAGATAATCCTCCTCAGATACTGAATTGGACTCGCAAGCTTCCAACATTAACTGATGACGATCAAGAATTCCATGCCAGTCCTTCAGCACCTGGTGAATGCACAACACTCTAGTTAATAAAAATTAAAATGACTTTAAAAGATAAAAGAGAAGAATACCAACAACACTTCAATGGCTCCCCTCAAGAGGAACCTGAGCCTCTAAGACTAGAGTACAGCAATTATTTTCTACTACCTTTTGAAAAGCTCCTTCGCCTGTCAAATTCAAGTAGCTTCCCCGGCAAACTTGGCTGCCACACAAACAAACTGATGCTTCGTATTCTTCCTTACTCTGTCAAAAAATAGATTGGCACCAATTGTTACACACTTAGTCATGGAGATTGCAATCTAGTGTAAATGAGACCCATAGGCAAAAGAGGTATACCTCTGTAACAGAATTGTAGTCGAATGTGATCTCCTCCCCATATTGAATTCCTCGTACAGTGTAGATTCCAA